ATGCATCGTAGGAACCCACACATGTTGAATTAGAGATAGGATTAGTCATCAAGAAATTCCTAACTTCTTCAGAAATCTTTCAACCCTCCAAACATCATTATTTATTCCCATCATTTTAGTTTACATCATGTATGCAAGAATTTGGAACTGCCTTCTAAGAAGGAGAATTCTTCCGAGTTTGATGAGCCACTGCAACAGCTCAGAAGGTCAAGGACTGATCCTAATGCTTTTGCTCAGGGGATCTATTTTTCTTTTGGTGGTGTACTTTTCCCAGCAACAATTCATGTATACCGTCTTGCAACAATGCATTTCTTTAACTTTACTCTGCTTTTAATGAGTTCTGAAGTCTCAAACCTCCTCATGCTTTTCATTATTAGTTGCCCTGAAGAATGTTAGTGAAGTAATAAGAGATCAACAACAACAACAACAACAACAACAACAAGCCTTTATCCCACTAGGTGGGGTTAGCTACATGAATTGCAAGACGCCATTGTACTCTATCATTTATCAAGCTTTTAGGAATATTATTAATTAAGAGATCACGTTCAATAACTTCCAAGAGTGTTCTCTTAGGCCTTCCTCTACCTCTCTTAATCGAACTTAAAGTTATATATTCCACTTTTCTCACTGGTGCCTCCCTTGGTCTTCTTTGTATATGCCCAAACCATCTCAACCGATTTTCTACCATTTTTTCCTCAATAGGTGCCACCCTCAATAGTTGAAGTATTAAGAGATCATGGTATATTATTAAAATTGCTTATATTTTGAGACAGTTTCCTTTTCATTTTATAGAAGGAGTCTGATAGAACCAATTCGAGCAAGAAGAAATGATACTGGAAAAATACTGTGATTCTCTATTATCAAGGGAAAATTATAGAGAATACACCCACCAATATCAACTTACTTCCTAATAGAACAGTAACCGAAACACAGATATTCCCCACACACTACCTGGTTTTGAGAGACCAGGACCTCTCCACTCTCAAAATAAATCCTCCTTACCTATTCCTCCTGCCCTCACCCTCATATAAGCACTACCACTACTCTGACACTGTCAGGACAACCATTACCCTTTACTGTGGCCGTTTTGCCCCTGCATCTTCACTTGCTGGTTGTCTTGGGCTTTACTTCCCCTGTACTTTCTTTTATACACCCGACCCCATCTCCTAGCTTCAAGCCCATCAGAGTCTCATCCAAAAGCAAGAAAAGGGAAATGCATGTCTATAGGATTATATTTTCTAGTACAGTAAACAAAAGAAAATCAATAACTAAAAGGCAAGGAAAGATGATCAATACATTGGAGCATTCCAATCTGGTGGATGACGCAATCTCTGCTCCTGTGGAGTAGCTATTTTTGGAAATTAGACAATCACCAAAATGTACTGCTATCCATTATGGAAGTCTTTGGCTTTTAAGATGTCTGCTTTGCACTGCTGTTGATTTCTTCTTAATTCTTTCATCTGTAAACTTATTTGTTTTTCCTGCTCATGTTATGTGATACTCTGATTTTTTTTTTTTTTTTAGGTTTGATTTCAATTCACAGATCATTGTATGAATCCAATATTATTTGGTGTGATTTTGATGTACAGGCCTTGAGAGGGTGCATGGATTTACATTTGGAGATAGTCTTGACGAAAATAGAAGAGGCAAATGGCTAGGGTTTAGAGCAAGGCTGAACAAGGTAACACCTGATTCTATGAGTAGTTCACTTAATTTTCTCTTTTATGCAGTAAGATCGTAATAAAACTATTTATGCAGTAAGACTAAAATGGTTAGTTGCAATGCATGCTACTGTAAAGTTGTAAGACGTTGCATATAAGATGCCTCCTCTAACATTAATCTTTTTGAAGGAAGAGAAGTTATTATACCATCCTTTCCTCACTGGCTATAGATACTTTGATTTGACTTGGCCTTTTCAAGGCTCTATCTGGTGTGCTTTGAACCCATTAGTTTGATCTACTTCTGTTGATTTCATGAAGCTTCTTAGCTTGGAAGAACCATGGACCTTAATTCTTGATGATGCATTAGCCAATTCTTTTATAGCGCCAGCAACTGATGATCTGAAAGACGACAACCAATTAACATGTAAGTGTTCTTTAACAATCTCAGCTCTTCAAACATTGGGGCAAACGCAGTTCACATTGGAGTGATATGAAATTTCTTCCAGGCAGTTTACTTTTGCAGTAAAGAAATTTTAATGTCTTTTGTCATATAATAATGGATAATGTCCTCATCGATAATTCTTGTTTTTTGTATTAAAAAAACTTCATTATTCATGGAAGAAAAAATATTTAGATTTGACGTGAAGCAAATTAACTCACTGATATGAACTCCGTTGATATCCGGTATATATATGGTCAATGCAGAATTAGATATTCTGAACTATTTTTAGTTTCCATCAATTAGCTGTCTTTGAAGAGTGGCATTTTATTCAAGGAAAAACCTTACATGGTTAGCCTCATATACTTAAAATGTTTGGTTCCACTTAAATCAAGACATATGAGTGTTTTATATATTATTTATTCTATAATAAACTCTTATTATTAATATTATTGACACATTAAAATTTACTTGTATTGATTTTATTGGATAAAAGTACTACAAGACTAAGTACCTAAATTTTGTCCTTTATTTAATTCCTTTGCCCCTCAGAACTCTCTGCAAGTGGCTTTTTTCCAAAACTACTGACAGCCAGCTCTAATATTTATTTAAAGCCATACAAGTAGAGTAGCATACCCTCTCCAAAACCTAGCTATTAAAAGAAGAGATTCAACAGTCTCCATCAATTTCCATAGAAAGAAATAATCAATTTGCTTAGATATAACTGTAGCTGCGACATGCAAGTGTGAAACAGTTTGCATATTGCTATATGATCTTTTGAAAGTTTATAATCAGCATCAAGGTTGCATGGACTATGGACTGTTATGACTGACTGTTTACAAAATATTGGCTTTTTTCTTTTCTGCATAATTTCCTATGCTTTCTATATACTTGTGATTTTCATGTCTGGCAATTTTTATCAACACATGAATTTGCAGTTGAGGAATACGAGAGGTCATGGGAACAAAATGAAGCATTGGGTCTGAATGATATTGACACCTCTTCTGCTGATGCAGCTTATGAACCACCCAATGATACCAAAACTGAGTGAGCGCATTTTGTTTTACCCTTAAAAGGGAAAACAATCCTGTTGGGGCGGGATGAAAGAATGTTTTGTGTGGAGAGAGAAGGAAAATCATGTATTTGTTTTGGGTAATAATCTGTATTTTTATTTATATTTATCCTCACATCTCTTGTAGTGCCTCTTTGTCGTTAATTTGCATGAACTCGCATGGCCCATGAACTACATAATCCTCTGATATAGTTTTACCTTTTTGATGCTCTTCTTTCCTTATTTTATGTTTTATCATATTACATTGCTCCCCCCCCCCCCCAAAAAAAAAAAAAAAGTATTGATGTTCCATGAGAATATATATCAAAACCATTTCGACTTAGGATTTAGGAAACAAACATGATCATGACTGGATGTTCACTCTTTGCCAATTCCACTATTAAAAACAAGTATTCTGTAGTCAAGGTTAATGACATTTTAACGCTGAATTTTTTATTTAGTTTGAAACTTAAAATCACAGGGGCCTTGAAAAATATGGTGCAAAACATGGACAATTGCTTCTAAAGATTTGAATAGAACCTTGCGGATTTAAAAGTGAAGTATTTTGGTAAAATTTTATTATCATTTTTTCTATTTTAAAGGCCCAAACTATTTCCAAATCTTGAATTAAATTTACATTAAAGAAATTTCATCTTCTTGTTTTTTTTTTCATCGGCAAGCTACCCTCTAAATCTAGTTCCAAAGAAAAATGTGAAATACTATAGTTAAATTCTGATTTTTCTTTTTCTCCATTACGTTTATTTCTCAATTCTGATGGCATTCACATCAAAGTTAAAGCCCTTTGACCCTTGATATTAATAATTTTAGATTAAATAATTAAATTTTTTATTTTTTTAAATAAAAAGTATGGGTTCATGTGAAAAATTGTGATTTCTTGTTTAATTTTTATAATTTATAAAATAAAATTATGATTATTTAAACAAAAATTATAATTGATTATTTTTAAAACTCAGATTTCAATAATAAAAAAAATTATGTGAAAAGTTATAATAATTATTGTAATTTATTGAATAAAAGTTGTGATTGTTTGAATAAAAGTTGTGATTGATTATTTTTAAAATTTGAATTTTAATGATAAAAAAAATTTCATGTGAAAAGTTGTGATTTTTTGTTTAATTTTTATGATTTATAAAATTAAAATTGTAATTGCTTAAATGAAAATTGTGATTGAGATTAATTATTTTTAGAACTTATTTATTAATCATAAAAAAAATTTCATGTGAAAAGTTATAATTTTTTATTCAGTTTTTATAATTCATAAAATAAAAATTATGATTGTTTAAATAAAATTTATAATTAAAAAATAAAGTCAAACTCATCATTTTTATTTTAAATAAAGAGTAATTTAATTATTTACCAAAAAATATTAATATCAAAAAAGTACTCAATAATTTTAGAGAAATTATGACATTTTGAGGGATTGTTATTTATGTATTTTGGTGATATTTTATTATTATTTTTTCTTTAAAAAATTTAAAATCAGATGAATGGTAAAATAATAGTTTATTTTATTAATATAATTGTCTTGAAAGAATAATATTTTTTTTTAGTTTTTTTAATCTAGTTTTGTAAAATAAAAATAATAAAATATCAAATTTTTTATTTTTCATTTTTATAGTAAATTTTAATTTTTTTTAATTTTTAGAATAGATAATAAAAAATATTTTCGTATAATTTTTTTTTATTTTTCAAAATAAAAAATTATTCTGAAAACTTGTAAGAAGCCGAAGAGCCAAAACTTTCTTCCTCTTCATTTTTGGCGCCAAACAAAACAAGGATATTCTTTTTTTTTTTTTTTAAAATAAAAAAACAGGGCCATCTAGTCGCATACACTCTACCAGAATCGAAGTTAGGTCTTTTGGTTGGAAGAAAAAGCGCGGGAATCACAGATATTAGACTGTGGATTATTGACCGTGGGTTATTGCCAACGACGGCGATGAACAACGGCGAACCCTCATCGGAGATGGAAAGGGGAACCCTAGTTACCATAGATCTGAAGCGTGATGGTGTTGAGGATCTTACAGACGACCTTCATCACCTTCCTTGCTGCATTAAATCCACCGGTCCTGCCTCTGTTTCTCACTACTTCAAACCAAAGCCTACTGGTATTTTCCCCTCTTGCTCCCACCATTGTCGTCGATTCTGCGTTTTTCTTCTTGCTGATTGGGTTTTCCATGTCTTGGGCTAGGGATTGAGGTCGAGGGTTTACCGCTACAGGAAGCGTACTTCAGAGGCAGGAAGTTAGATGGAACAACGATCCTTCTCCCAAATGGCTATCGCGGTATGTGATCTTCTTTTTTTCAAACTTAAGAAATCTGTGCAACGTTACTTAAGCATACTTCATCTCATGGATTTAACAATGCTGCATTCGTCATTCGGTGGCCGTTGCCTGTTAGTATTTCGAGAAATGGTCAACTTTCTTTTGTTGGAATTTCGAACCCCTGATGGCTAGAAATTCTGCGCTAAAATCTGACTAAAATGCCGTTGACGTTTAGATTATTTGAAGCAGATTTTCCGAAGTTTTGTTTTGATCTTTTTTTTTTTTGCCGAGATTTTGATTTTCCGAGGTTTAGTTTAGTGCTTATGTGCTGAAATCACAGATATCTCATTAAATAATTATGGGGATAAAAATATGCAATTTTAATGATTGATATGAATTTGTCTTCATGTACTTTGTTAATTGCACATAGGTAAAGTTTAGATATTTGATTGTAATTATTCAAAATGATGGTGAAATTGATGGGGATATCGCATACGAGATACAAGATGAGTGGTTTAAATGGAGAAAAGTTATAAATAAAAGTTTTATCAAGCTGTTATAAGACTAGCCATGTTATATGGCAATATATGTTGGGCTTTGAAGAGATAATAAGAGCATAAAGTTAGAGTAGCAGAAATGAAAATGTTAAGATGAATATGTGGGTACACACAAAAAGAAAAATTCAAAATGAGCATATTTGAAAAAAATTGGGTGTGATGTCTATGGAGGGAAAAATTGTAGAAAATTGTTTGAGATAGTTTAGATATGTACAGGGAAGATTGTGAGGGGCATTGACAAGGAGAGTGGAATGGATAGTCTTGAGTCCTCTAAAGAGGAGCAGAGGAAGATCAAAGAAAACGCTCATGGAAGTTGTTGAATGAGACCTCATGTTTAACAATATTTCCTAAAGCTTGGTTGATGATAGAGTACAATGACGTCATGCAATTCATATAACCAACCCAACTTAATGGGATAAGGCTTGTTCTTGTACTTTATTAGTTGCATGCTCATTATAGGTGAAATTTCTCTGAAAAATTTTCTCTCTGAATTTGACTCTGCAGGTTTCGTATTGGGAAAGAAAAGTCTGGATGGCTTGAAGTCATCTGCTGCCTCCTGTTCCGAAAACTCAAATTCCTGGGAGATGAAGGCAACGTTTCTAAACATTACATATTGGAACCATGATTGCCTTCCTTCACAGAATGATGATTTCATGCGTGCTTTTCATTGTCTTACGATTGCAAAGGCTGTAAGTTTTTTACTCAATTAGTGGGATTAGGAATATTTGATTCTTATATGACCATTTAATTGAATAGAATCTGTAGATTATCTATTACACATGCCGATGGCAATGAAACTCAATAGATAAACAAGCAGATCCCGTTGTTGTCAGTTTTTTCTTTTTTCCTGGGTATAACTGCCTTGTTGATGAAACTCAATCACTTCAATTTGAATTGTGATAGAGCGGTACCATTTCCTCTTTTATTTTCGCCAACCAGATTATTAATTCATATCTAAGTTGATGTAGCAGTGTGTATCTTTTGGAGAGACATTACTCATGTTAAACATTGTTTGGATGGGAATATGAGACTATTATTAACATGCTTGCCAACTCCTATCTTATGTGTCATCTTTTCGTTTTCTGTATCCCCTCTCATCGATGATGTGTAACATATGGAAGTTAAAATTGATTCAGCCAATTCTGAATGACATTGAATGAAATCTATTGTTTTGCTGCCAAAGTATCTAACTTCACTAGATATTTGCTTGCAATTGCAGCTGCACACACCTGTAACACCTGAGGATTTAGCTTCAACATCTTCTGCTCTCTAGAGACTCGACTGGCCTGGAAGGAAGTGTTGTGACCTTACTGAATTTCAGCTGATCTGTTAATGTAATTTATTGATTTATGTTCTCTTCAATGTAACTTTGTTGAGTCATTTTACTTATATGTATATGCATATCTATCTGTGAATAGTAGATGCATCATTTGATTTTCTTATCTTGGAGAAATGATCGAGGGTGCTTATCTTGGAGTCACTGTGCTTCAAATCATTTGCTTGGAGGTCACCTTCTGAGAATTTGCTTGGAGGTAACTCCAAGGCTCCACCTCTTCACTTTGATTTTTGCCATGTACTCCTTTGGTCCAAATATGAGCCACATTTAATTAACTTTGCTTGCACCAAATCAGAGAGTTAAAAGTTAGTTAACTTGTCAATTTTAGGGGGAAAAACAATACTTTCTACTACTGCCTCTATTGAGTGCATTAAATTTTAACATAACATTAATTACAAATGGATCATATAACCTAAAGAAAAGCTGAACCATTAATCAAATTTCTTATGCTTGATATCCTTGTGGGGGGTTTAGTTACTGAAAGCCTCAATGTAGTGAATTTGGAAATCGCTACAATCTCAGCATCATTAGATATTCTCTTCGATTTCTGCCCTTTCTTGTGTTTGGAGTCGTGAATAGAGCAATTGGTATATATTGTGTCCCTCAAAAGGCTCTGAGCCACTTGAGATTGATTTGGAAAAAGTTGCACTAACCATTAATAAATAGGTGGAGCAACGTTATCACTATCAGCCGTTACCCCTACTTTCAATTCAAAAACTTTATCAGGCCTAAAACATTATGAAGAACCATTTATGAAAATATGACAGATTAAGTTTATGAAATAGCAGACATAAAATTATGAAGGAATATTTGCAGAAAACAGATTGAAAGTCCCGCGTATCTTCATCCTTCATAATTATTAACATACTCCCTTTATTTTTATAAATAAGATGTTTTTAATTGAATTATACAAATCAATAAAATTTGGTTATCTAATTAAAAGTACGGTAACATTTTAATGTTGCTCCCAATTATTATAAATAAAAAATAAATATATATTTTTAAAATAGATTAATGGAAGTATTTATCTTTTTCTCTTTTCAATTTAATAAGGGTATAATTATTTATTTATTAAAAAATATGTTAACAATCTTTTATATTTAAAACAAAAAAAAGTTTTAAAAAATCTCCTATATATGGGGATGAAAGGAGTAAGAAGCAGTGGTATAGTCAATAAAAAAAATTCTATAAAATGAACTAATCCAATTTTCAACGGAGTTAATCTGATATGAAGTATTAACAAATGGAAGGGATAAAGTTTGAATTTGGTTATAAAAGTTCAATTTCAAAATATGAAATATCTAGATGGAGATACTCCCTCCTATTCACAATATAGCATATTGTTAATTAATTTACGGTTTTTTAAAAAAGTAAATTGATTGAAACCTTATTCTTTTAAAAATAACTATAGTACAAACAATAAAACACGCACATGAGTACGTACGAATATGTGTCCACGCACAAATCCACGATAACACTTGTATGCATCTGCATCTATGCATATAGATGTTCCCTTAAGATAAGACTTTGCGCCAGCAGCGAACACAATTGAATCGTAGTTTTGGAATAAGATGCTTCTACGCGGAATCTGTTTATCTTTGTCCTTATCTTTCGCTGTTCGTAAATAAAAAAGCAGACAGAATCTTATCGAATGCCGACTCCAAATTAATATTCCTCCAGTCCAACCGTTAATTTGATGCTTCTTTTGAACCTTTTCGTGAAACACATGGTTTCACTTTGAACTTTTCACATCTCTTATTTAGTATGCTATTAGTAATACCAGAGTGAAAAGAATGTTATCAACACGGGTTGGATTTAGCAGAGGACTAATCTTTCACAATTTAGTGAACTGAGGTTCAAATATTTACAAAAAGAAATGTCTATATTTAGTGGCATAATTAGAAGGATACCTATAATCAGCTTTACTTTACAGTTGGCTCCTTCAAAATTACGGTCGAACACAAAATACTAAAGCAAAAGCTAAAGAAGAGACGAGAACAATCAGATCCTAAATAATCCATAGGAAGCTGACATGTTGGTGATTTCTTGCCACTTTACGCCATGTTGATTGCCAATAAAACTCTGTTCACATTGCCATGTTTGGCACACGCACACATATTCATACACTTCAAGATTTCTGGGCAACAAACATTACAGTTTATCTCTATTTGAGGCGAGTCTTACTTCAAATCCTTAGTAAGAAAGCATGTCTTCCGATCACCACAATGTTAGCCATGCCCATTGGAAGGGAGTAAGTGACTTTCTTCACTGTCTAGCTGTGATTCTTAATCTTCCTCTTCTATTTGTAATGATTATCTGTTCAAGTGCTTGCCTCATATTGTCATTAGATTAGAGGTTATAATTACAACAAAACCAGTTTTATTCTGTAAGCGGTTAATTATTTAATAAATTTTTATTATGAAGGCTACTAAAAATTCGTACAAGGGCTAATTGAAGTGTTTATGGGCATGACATATCTACTTCTTCACGCATTTGTTGGCTCCTTTGAAAGTGTGTCCTATGGTAACATGCCAATCCCATATTAATTAATGATCTCAGAACTCCTTATTTACAAGATTCACGGCTTCCATAGAATCATTATAAATTGTAATCTTCCAAAAACATCCCACTGTGCTGCTCTTGATTGATGCCTTGAAGAATTCTAATTATTTATTCAATTATATATTTATTCATGTATGGTCAAACTCAATGACTATTTTGTTTGATGTATTTAAGGATGGAAGTTATGAACCTGAGATTGGATCAACAGGGGCGGTTAGGGTTCCTGTGAGGGCTCTAAACATCATTTGGGGCAACGATACTCGATTTTGGCGGTTTAAGGACCTTCCGGACGATGAAAGCAGGTAACATTCACATCATATCATAAGGGAAATAAAACATCATGATTATATGTTACTGTCAAATAACAGCCTTACTATTACATGTCCTTCAATTTTTTAATTTTTTTTTTTTAGTATTATATATGTAGTTATTCACTATGAAGCAATGATGCTTCAAAAAAATAAACTTAACCATGTTCGATATTTATCTTGTCTGATATGATACACATTTTGTATTACTATATATATATATATATATATATTAGAACGCTTCTATGACTTAAAAACTAAAAAAAAATTAATATTTCGACTGATTACTATAAAAATCGTTTCATTACTTGTTCAAAACTCAAGATACCTGTACATATAATCTAAAATATTGAAATATATATATATATATATATTTTCAGTACTCGTATCCTAGAATGTTGAAACTTGTGGCAGTCAACATATCATGTTGCATATGTACCTGCTTCTTAGGTTATACATTTCCAACCCCCTCAAAATTGTATGCTTTTCATTAGCTGGTAACAAGAAATTGATGGTTTGGTTTGGGATTTTGAAGGATGATAGGGTTGAAGGAAGGTGCATGGCTGGTTCAAGTGAATTGGATAGAAGTGACAGGAAGAGTTCCAAAGGATGTGCTGTATAAGGCTGAGTCAGTCACAAAATATGAGATCTTTTACATCGTCAAATTCAGGGCTGATGCATTTGGGTGGCACTCTGTGCCAATCAAATTTAAGCTCAGACTCACCACCAAATCTGAAAAACAAAACCACCACCACCACACTGATCAAGAGGATGAGAAGAGCATCATTCTGGAACAGTATAGAGAGAAACAAGAGCTCTGGCATGAAATCCCAGGAGGCATCTTCTCTGTTTCTGACTCTGATGGCTTTCTTGAGTTTGGTATGTTTGAAGTTGACACTGCTTGGTGGAAGGGCAATATGGTCCTCGCAGGTGTCAAGATCAAGCCCATACAAACCTAATGATTACATTATCTTTAATTAAGTGCCCTTTTGTTCATGTTTATTCCTTCTTCTTTTTTTTTTTCCCTCGTCAATATGTTTATCCCCATAATTACAGTAAGAACAACGTGTTTTAGTTCAATTTGCAGGTTGGTTTCACAATCCTGTGTTGAGGTCATGTAATTCTCTTTTCTGTAATTTTGTCTTGTTTTTTATGTTATAGTCAAATAAAAGATGTTATTGGATTTGTCCAAGATTAAATACTTCATGTGAAAAATGTTAACTGTATTATTCTTATATCAATTTGATGCGTTCAGACTTCAAAATGTGAGTGATGATATTGATAGTCCTTTCATCTACTTTCAACCAACATTTTAGCAAGAAAGAAAACTTGATTCTGGACGGAGTACAATTGCATCACCTGTTAAGCTTTTATTTGTGTCTTAATCTATATCAAAATCTTAAACAAGACATAACAAATAATGAGTAAATGAACAAATTATTCCTGAGCTTTAAGTCAAGTAGCCCCACAAACCCTGAACTCATTTATTGTGTAAATTATTTTTTTAATTTTTTAAAAACAGTATAATCTGGCCTTTACAATTAACAAAAGTTAAATTTGACTGTTAGTTAATAAAAAATGACACAAAAAATTATATAAAGTGATTAAAAAAATAGGAAAATAGCAATCAAAGACCTCTATATGAAATTTATATCAATTAAGGATCAGTTGTTATCAAAACTCAAATGGATACTTATCGATTTGGGTTAGTTTTTTATCTACAAATTCTATTCGAGTTTTAACAACAATTAATTTTAAATTAACAATAGTCTATTTGAGTTTGTTTTCCAATCGGGTTTTGACAACTTATTTTTGATTGATATAAATTTAATATAGAGGTCTTTGATTGCTATTTTGTTTTAAAAAATTATAATAAAGGATACAAAAATTATAGATAATGACCCAAAAATTTGGTCATTTTATGATAAACTAACTTATATTTTCTAATCTCATTTCCCTTTATTTTAAAATTCTGGCTCCGCCCTGATTGCATCGTTGTTGTTGGGACTTCTAAGTTCACTTGCACCCATTCAAGGGTCTAATCCATCAGGCAGAGCTGTTGAGTTTGACTATTAAATGTTTTGACTGTTGTTTTAGTTCTAGACTCGCTATTGGTCTTTCTATCAACAAGGGTCAGTATGCTTCCTACTTACTTTGTATGTTCATTTCATGCAAAGGTTTTTCAAATCCTTTGGGAGAGAAAAAATATGTTTCAAACTTTGCCTTTCGAAGTTCTAGTCATATTGTCATTAAGCTTGCCGTTTTACAAAATGTTGTCGTCATGCTGGTTTTATTTTTCTTTATCGTGAATTCCTTTCTAAAGAAGTAATCTTTGGTTCGTTGGTTTCTTATTTTGAGTTGGGCCCCTTTTATGCATGTTTGTTGCTGTAATTGTAAAGCCCATTTTATATTGGCGCTTATGTTTTTCTCTTGATATATTCTATGTTCTACTATGTAGTTGTTTTCGTGTTCTACCATGTTGTTTTTGTTTTGGCGCATGAAATTTAGATTTTGTAGGTCCTCATTCCGTTGTAATTGTTTTCTTTATGTTTTAATAAAATTTGATCTTTCTTGAAAAAACTATGACGATTAGCCTGGGAAAAAAATTATTGTTTTGAAGAACCTAATATCTCTGCCACTACCTATTAGAAAACAGCAAGGTGTGAAGGAAATAATATTGGTATCAATGTATTGATGTTACAATTTGAGGTTTTTCATAATTTAGGGAAAATTTGAGTACAGACATGGCAATTTCAAATCCTCCTTTTTTCGGGGGGTAAAAAGCAACTTGTAATCCTTACATTTTCTTCTATGTTAAAAAAATAAATAACTTGAAATTAGAGTAGGCTCCCAGTATTATATAATGTGACTTTCAATATTTTTTTTATAGTTTAAATTAATTGGTGAGAAATACGTTGATGATGGAATTAAGAATTATCAATAATTCAGAGCATCATTTAACTTGGGAGATGATGAATGACGAAAAGAACGATAGGTGATCAATCCCATATTCCCACTCCCATATTCCCACTAGAATCAGATGCCTTATCTTGGAATAATAAACTTTACATTCTTTAGTTATGTATCTCACTCCTACCCACGCTACTTTCTCTTTATCTTTCAAAACTTTGGCTTATGGAATATATTCCTTTTCCATTTTTTTTGCCCTTCATATTCTTCTAAATAAGTTCCCAAGTTTATATATATGTATGTATACGTATATTAATTGCTTCATATAAAGTAGTTATCAACTAAATTTATTCTTTTTAAATTCAAATGATTGAAAAACCTCCCACTTAATCATGAACATGTATAGAGGAGGAGAAAGACTGAGAAATAACAAAATACTCCTCCGGTTTTATTTATAGAATAGAGAGAGAAAAAAATTTGATTCTATTTACAAGGAATTTGCCAATTTCCAAGACTCTTCTTTTTACTTTTGTCCTTATTAAATGCTCTGAATAAAAATATTAGTAATAAAATTTAAAAACATTTATTAGAGATAAAGGTAAAAAATTTTAAATTTTAAAACAAATTTAATGTGGTTTAAAGTTTTTCTTGATTATGGTAAAATATATTAAAAGTGATTTATAAATAAGACTGAAGGGAGTAAAAAAAAGTGTTGAAATTATAATAAAATTTACAATTTTCAGAAGGGGAGAATGACATTTGAGGACTGAAAATTAGAATTAATTCCATTTTAGGACCGGAAGATTTCCAAATTCCTAATCAAACTGAAGTTAGAATTTACTGCATCTAATTACTTCTATTTCAAGGACTTGAGTGTGTGTATATATATTAACTTGTGTTTTGTGAAATTGTAAGGACAATAGTGCATGCAAGGAAATAATGGGGAATGAAAACTCAATTCCAGAACTGCCACAACCACCACCACAACCGCCATCATCCCAGCCACCACCTCTACCAGCAGTGGCCAGTCAAAGAAGAGAAGCTCCTCCACCCTCATCACCACTACCACCACCACCACAACAAGCCGCTCAACTTAGAGAAACAAAACCCTCAGAAAAAGAGAACAAGAGGGGAATAGAAGCTGTAAAGAACACAAGAGAAGGGAAACAAGGAAATCATCGAAGCTTGAAACCACCTGAAGCTGTGAGTCTCCCAGAAAACCTTCAAAAGATATTGAAGGATGCTGACTCTCCCATTGATAAGTCTTCCATGGACAAGCTCTACGATCAACTTTATTCTTCTGGCGTCTTTTTATCCCACAAAACCAAGGCAAGTCCACTCCCAGTTAACTCCAATTGATTTTTATTAACTATATGTCTCGGTGTCAACTAGGACTTCTATTCACATGTCTTCCGGCCTCTTTAGTTTCTTTAGCACCTGAATGTTAGGTTAATTTTACCTATGAAACAACTAAACCGACAAACGCAGACATGAGCCTACTTTGATGAAAACTTTATCTCCTCAAATATATATATATATATATATATATATCCTATGTATATGGTAATAGAATTTAAAGAAATGATGATGTGCAGAAATTCTGGGTGAACAAGAAATCAAATTGCAACTGTTTCATGTTGTATGCAAGGGCACTTTCAATCACCTGGGCAGAAGACCCTCGCTATTGGAAATGGATTCAACTCCAAGAATCAAGGTACTTATAATTCACAAGCCTTATCCTACTAAGCAAGGGTGCACACAATTCACAAACAAGCATATTTCACACACAGACACACACAATTTTAAAAAATATGTACCAACAATATAAATAAACCTTGATTTAAATAATGAGAGGAATGGGGTGTGATGTTGCAGTGGGGCAATGATAGAGGCAGCTGAACTGAGAAGGGTGTGTTGGCTAGAAGTGCATGGGAGGTTAGACACAAGGAAGCTGACACCGGGAGTTATGTATGCAGTCTCCTTTCATGTGATGCTGAAAGACCCAGCTCAAGGCTGGGAGGTTCCTGTGAATGTAAGGCTTGTGCTCCCAGGTGGGAAGAAGCAAGAACACAAGGAGAATTTGATTAGCAAGGCGAGAGTGAAATGGATAGAGATTCCAGTGGGGCAGTTTGTGGCGCCAGTTCACGATGATGAAGGTGGAGAAATGGAGTTCTCTTTGTATGAGATTGAAGGCGGGGCTTGGAAACAAGGCCTTGTCATCAAAGGAGTCTCCATCAAACCTAATTCTAATGACTACAGAATTTCCCTGGAATGATGCAAATCATGCACAATGACAGTTCATATCTGGTCTAGTACAGTTTTAGAGTTTAATAAAATTGTTCATGGAGTTTTATGTAATACTTTTATATATATATATATATATTGAGATACTTATGATATAATACAAAAGTTTCTATGACAATGTAGATTGTAGCATGGCTCACAAAATTAGTGCTGTGATCCTAATTTGACTAGATTTACCCACTTCAATACAATGCATCTGTGCAGAGATATTATGGAACTCAGATTTCAGTAGAACTCACAAATATTTGACTTCGGAGCAGAAGTTTGTCTATTCAGGCATGCTATTGATTATTAAATTTACAAAATACTTGAAGGTTTGTAAATATGGAAGAAACAAGAAAAAGAAAACAAAAACGATCTATGACATTTGTTCAATTAATCTTCAAAGTGTGGCAGCATCTCTATAGAAAAAAGCAATCTTCGGTGCTTTAAACATCTGCTCTGTATCCATCAGGTTTATACCACAATGAAAAATCAATCCCCTTGCTTATTAATTTCTCTGTTGCGGGTCCAATTCTCTCCAGCAGCTGAACTCATCAAGGCAAAAAGATATTAATCAAAGAAAAGGATGTCAACATGAATCCTGATGGTCCCCAAAGTAATTCATTCATTTTTTTCCATATCTTGGCAGAAGTTTGAAGAAAAGCAACTTGATAGGCTTGCATGCGACATACACAAAGTTTATAAGGAATAACGAACTAATAACATCAACTTCAGACTTCAGAGTATTTGCAAGAATAGAAAAGCTTCCCCCAAAGTGAAGGATAAAAAAGAAAATATGCCCAGGTATATACAACTCGTAACCCAGTATTTTCAGCTATTTATAACGTACTAGGAGCATGAACAGAGACCTATCAGCAAATAAATTTAGAACAAGTTATCGAGCAAGTTAGAAGGGAAACAATCAGGGCCAACTAACCTTTGTATGGATCGCACCATTAGAAACCAAGACAGATCTATCAAATACGCAAAATTGTCCACCGTCCATCCTAGTAACTCTCCCACCAGCTTCTTCAACCATCTATAGGAAGGAAAATGAAATGAAGCTAGGTAAACAATTTTCATAAGGGCCCTAGGAGATTGAGCTCTCACACCGTTGGATCTGTTTATCGGATGCAACAAATGCTTCAAGAATAGGAAGTACTTGTTGTTTTCTCGTTGAGAAGTCACTCAAGCGGATTTCATTTTAGACCACAAGTTCAGCCGTTCAGGGATGCAGTGTTGGCTTGTGATAACAAGAGTACGTATGTACAACTCATAAAGCTTACCAGAACTCCGGCAGCCATGTCCCATGGCTTTAGACGATATTCCCAGTACGCTTCCACAATCCCTAAAGCTACATGACACATATCCACTGCAGCGGCACCAAGTCGCCTAACTCCCTAAACATTAAATATTCAAAAATTGAGAGAGAAGTGAAAGGCACAGAAATGAGGAACAAACTCTTTGAGAAACAGTACATTTGAAAAGAATTTAGGTTATTACCCTGCTGACATCAGTAAATTCTTTGAATAATTCTATGTTCGTAGACCATGCATCATCGTGATCATACCCAAATCCTGTAACCAGAAGAGATCGCTCCACCTGAAAACAAGAAAATAAAGATTAGTTTACGCAAAACAGTGGGAAGACCAGATTATCTTCTCTGAATTAATTAAAAATTACAATGACAAGGAGACATTAAATAATATTTGGTAAATCCAAATCAACCAACCGCAACTTGGCAGAAATAATAAACATGCGCAAAGTGTACTTACATACAAAGAAGAATGAATAGCTTATCACATAAGAAGATGAATGAATGAAAGAATATAAACATACAATGTGGAAAAAACTCGAACAATAAGATAAAACTGACAGGACAAAGTAAACCCCAACGAAAGAAAAAAATATACAATGTCAAGGATAGTTGCAATATCCTCGCAACAAACTCTCAAGATCATACCAAGCTTCAAATGTCAAGTTAATTGGCTTAGCAGTATTCATTATGAAAGTGTAAATAATCCATTCCTCTTAAGTTGCAACACTTATTCCTACAATATTTGACAACGCTTCAACAATAACAATAGTAATTAGTAAACCTTGTGAGACGAAGAAAATGATATAGAAAACCCCTGTCCTTAGAAGAGAAAAGTTGACTAATCACCAATCCGAATGAGAAAAGTGGGGGAAGAAAATGGAATCCAAATAATATTGAGAAAATATCATAACACATCAGCAAAAATACGTGATTTGTGCAATATTAGTATTACACAAAACTAAAGTAAGAGATTCCAGTGACCATATATTGCTGCCACTTATTATTATTAGCATAAATTATGCACAACATCAAAGGAACCATCTAATATTACTCACCTGATCAGTTGTGCTAACTTGGATTCTTTGTCCATTGCAGAATGCTCCCCCACCTAGAAGGTAAAGAAAACTGGTTGCAGAGTTACATGAAGTTTATAAACAAATAAATTTGGTAAGTCATTGTCAATTTATTTTTGGAGTAAATAGCAGTTAAAATAAAATAATCTTCACCAGCAGTTGCAGAGAAAATGCGAGTATTCCAACACATAGGACCTCCTACAAACTCAACCTGAAATAGATAAAAATTTATATTAATAAATCAACAACATTTCTTCCAGCTTCATCCTCAATGATAGAAGGTATAATAGAAGATTGATTGATGTTCAATATCTGATGAGCAGTTACGAGCCTACAATCATATGCTTCTCTAAGGAAAATAAAAAATTCACTAGGAAAAGAGAAACTCAAAGCAAGGATGTGAACCCCTAGGCAATAAAAATTGGAAAAAAAAAGGAAAAAGAAAAAGTAAAGAAGACAACACGACACAAAACCAATAAATGTAACTAAATCAAAAATACAATGCCACCCTCCATCTCTTTGAAAGTGTACGAGGAAACTTCTACATAAACCATTAGCTCAAAAGCATAGAGAAGTGCAAACACTCCTATCAATCATAAGGTAAATTAAGAAAGATAATACATAATAGCAAGTGTAAAAATCTCCATAAAACTCAATTCTTCTTGCTAGAACCAGTCTGTGTTATATGCCAGAAATCCAAATGTGGACACAACCAAACTTCCTGACATAAACCAGAAACTCTACATGACAAGCTCCAAGCCATAGGGTGATCCAAGTAACTACAGATCTCACAACTATCATATACATTAACTTGAGATTTAAAAAAAAAAAAAAAACTTATGATCAACAGTCAATCAAATTGTAACTGAGAAAAATGCTTTCAAAGCCTTTGATACTGCCATTTCTAATAACAAAATTACACTAAAACTATATTTGAGCCCTTCTCAATATGCGAAGAAAATACCATTGGGCCAGTAACTTACTGGACTTGCCAATTCTAATTACATTGATGATGGCATTCCATACACTTTCTACAAGCTTAAACGTATATGATTCTTTCACAATCAATCAACTGAAAAAGATCCTTTTATTGATGCATTACTATATACACATTCAAAAATTCTGCATGTAAATGTCATTCAATCATAAGTCCACACATCACACATCATTTCAATTCTTAGACTTGAGAGAAGCCATTTTTAAAATCACAAGAGCAGCGATTAAGTACATCAAACAGAAGGAAATTTTTTTTCCTCTTTTCATCAAATCCAAGGAATAGCCAAGTTTTTGCTTCAATTATATCAATTATATTAAAAAAAACAACACCACATTCAGAGATTCAATCAATACTGAAGTTATTCTTGTTTATTTTATCCCATAATTATATGAACATCCATGCAAATAACAAGAAATAGAAATCAAAGATATGGTTCAAGTACCACAGCAGCAGCAGCAGGATTCCCTCGATGTAGAACTCCAACAGAAACTGCAAAGCTAGGATAGCCGTGTGCAAAGTTTGTCGTCCCATCTACATACATATCAAAGATCTGTGGGTAAATTATCTAAGTATCAAATCTATATAAATTCCAATACAAAAATAAAAAAACTTGAAAAACATGCTGTTTGACATGAGAAATGCAAGCATACATAAAGGGAACTTTTTTAGAGAAGAAACTTCATTAAAAACAGAGAACCATATGAGGGGAATTAATATCATTCCTTTAAAATAGGCGTTAGGAGGTATGGCAAATTTAGGAAACACTTCCAGGCAAAGGAAGTAGTTGCTTGTACTGACCCCGAAGTAAAAGGCATAGTGCCTTTGTTTAGTTACATTATTAGCAAAGTAGAGGTTTGACAGTCTTTCATCAATATATTTTTTCACCCCCCCCCCCCCGACCTCACTTTTTCTCTTATTGTCTCAACAATGATAAGCAAAAATGAGCATGGACTGAAATTTCAACCTAAAGGATCAATGCACCAGAGATAATCAGATGCTGAATCTCCTATAATTCCGCCCTCTTCCCCAAGAATAAGATGGTCTCTAAAATTCTTTTTCACCACCTGTAATATGGCAGCTTCACTCATTTTATCTGTCCTGTAAATAATTACAAACTTGTATGAGAATAAGATGGAAATAAGAAGAAATCTTCCTCTGTTAGAAAATAAACAATGCAATAACTCATCAAAAAATAGTTGAAGATCAACCATGAAAGAAACTTGGAGTTCAAGCTTTAAAGATTATATACATTCAGAGAAAACCAATGTCTGAAATTAATAACACTGGACAGAAGGTACTTTTCTCTAGAAAAAGAGATATCACAGACAAACTCCCAAACCCACATTGATTAGAGATTCAATGAGACCTTACTCGGTCACCAAGTCAGTTAATCCTTTATATGTAATATTCCGTGGCTTATTGACAGCATCCATCACAACCTGGAAATAACAAAAAGATATAAATAAACATGGTAATGTGGTTCATAAAATATAGCACGTCAAAACCTGCGCAGGGTTAACCAAGTCAGTTAATCCTTAATAGTTGGTGCTAGGGATGCTTAAGCCTTGTTTAAAAAGCTTAAGCTTATGTGATGATGATTCTTCAAATGGTATCAGAGAAACAGAGCCTCTTTGACCAAGCATTTTAAACTTTCAAATCCTTGCCGCTCCAATTCATGATAATTGACTCCACCGTTTTCAATATCTAACACCTCTCTATTTCCGCTTCTATGCCTCCAGCGAAACTCTCTTTATTTTTCCCACCACGGCAGTATCCCCATTTCCAGTGTTTTCACTTCTAATTAATTAAATTTTTCACAAAAATTACCTACATTCCATTTTAATTCATTAAATACGCTAGAAGATGTCCCTTATCGAGTTGTCGCAGATAAGCATAGGCTCACAGAGATTAGAGTGAGACTTCTAATTACAAAATAGAAGCTCTTGCATTTTGAAATCTCCAAAAAAAAAAAAAAAAGCTGAAGAGGAAGATATCCTTTATCTTTGTTGTCTAAAGCTAATTGAAAAAAATAAGCCATTGAAGTGGCGATCATCCAAAGCCTCGAAATGCGATGAAGGAAATAACAAACCTCAGCACCAGTCTGAGCAGCAGATTTGACCACTTCAATGAGCTCAGCAGGATCAATGGGTCCAGTTGATTGGGCACCCACTTTCGGAAACCTTTCAGATAGTAAAGATTTTGTTATAAAGTGAGGTCTTCTTGATATTGAGCTCCAATTATGAAGGAATTTGCTGAATCTTTCAGGGAAAGTGCGAGAAAATTGGCTCGAGATGCATAGCGACGACCTCGGTACCACAGAAAACACAGGGTGAAGGTTTAAGCTAGCCGAGAAGACCATTGATGTAAACTCAAAATGCGTCCTTTCTCCTGCTGTGAACCTCTGCTTTGAGATTGTGAAGTGGGAAATGAAAGCGAAGAAGACTTCAAGAAAAAAGATGCATTTCCAATATATAATATTTAATTCATAATTAAAAAATAGCTTTTTGACCGAAATCATAAAAAAAACTAGCTTGGATCGAGAATTAGGCGGGCGCGCGGAAACAATAATATGCAATGCACCAAACTTCGATCCTGTATTTGTTGAATGGTTAAAATATAAATGGCGTGTAATGCTTCAATTCAATGTAAATTAATTTATAAAATTATAAATAAAAAAAAAATTATTTTGTCTTTTAATAAGTAATCATTAGGATAATTATGTTGATAACAAAAAATTAAAAAGAAATTTAGGGAAGCAACTATGATTTTTAATTTTGGTCAACGGGAAGCACTATGATTTGAAGATAGTTAATAAATTATATAATAAAAAAACATAACTTTAAATCTTTATATTTTTTTTCTGTTTTTCATTTATTTTTATACTTTTTTAATATTTTTAATTCTTATATTTTTATTTTTTATTGTTTTATATTTTTTCATAAACAAAACATAAGGACTTTAAAAGAATTTAAAATAATGATAAATAAAATTATGAAGACTAAAAACATCGAAAACAAAATAAAAAGACTAGTCGAAAATGCAAGTAAAGAACGTAGACATAAAGTTATATGTCTTTTATATAATTTTAAAATATTTAAATTAATTAACATCTTTGAAGCAATAGGAAAGAGAATTAAAAGATTACATTTTTACTTTTTAGTGAGTAAAAAATCTATAATTAAACTAAATAATATATTTTAACGAAATCTTGAAAGGTACATTAGTACGATTTATGATTTGTAAATAGTATAATTATCTTTCTTTTTCTTATCTTGTCTTTTAATATGTTTTCATAAAATTTTGAAAGGTATATTTGTAATTTATAATTTGTACACTCTTTTTTTTTTGGGTGAGGTGTAAAAACACATTTTAGTTCATTATGATAAAGGGTTAAATAACAATTTAACCTCCAACACTATTTAAAATTTTAAATTCATTTTTTTACAATATTTCTTCTCAACTTTTAAAAATAATGCAATGTAATTCTCACTATTATTAAAAGTTAACTTAATCCTTATTATTAATAAAAATTAGCTTAATTTTTATCATTAGTAAAAGTTAACTTTGATTGTTAAGTGGTTTAAAAATGACAAAAAATAACCTTAAAAATTATTAAAAAAATTAAGATTCTGCAATTTTTTCCCTTTTTAAAATAATTTTAGGTCATTTTTATAATTCTTTAATACTTTTTTATAATTTTCTTGATTTTTTTAATTAAATAATCATTAATTTTTATTAACAAAAAAGTTACATTATGCTGTTTTTTAAAAATTGAGGGGAATATTTCAAAAAGAAAGGGCCTGCCCCTCTAGTTTAGGAGCCATCAGGTTTAGGGGTTAAATTGCTGGCCATGGCGCCATATGATAAATTTAGTTTTTCTTTTTTTCTTTTTCTCCCCACAGGTCGAAATTTAGTTTACTCCCTGTAGCTTGCATTCGAAGTTCGAACCTTCCGCTTGAGTGGGATAATTCAGTTCACATTTCCAGAGAGATGATGCAGCTCGCTTCGCTAATTTCTAGTTGCAGTAACTATACTCATCCCCTCTCGATTAAGGTAGGCCTCTTGTATCTCCCATCGTTCTTCTTTGTTTACTCTGCAATTTTTGAGACTGAGTAAAAATTGGTTCAATTGTGAAGGGAGAACAAAACCTCATTCCTGTTAAGGCAGAAAATGTGAAGTTTTCTTTCAAGAGCTTGGCTCCGCCTTTAATGGCTGCGCTTGTGGCCTTATCTCCGTTATGCTACACTCCAGGTTAACCACTCAAGCCTAACCTGAATTTTGAAGAATCCCCACTTGTTTTTTTCCTTAAATACTAAAGTGCCCCTGCTTTATTGTTCAAACTTCCACAAATACCATTGCTTGTTTTCTTGCCTCATTTTGTTTTCGTCTGTTTGTGTTAACCAGAAAAGGTATAACTCCCTTTCAGTCTTTTCTTACGTTAGCATATTCCTTATGTGTGATGTCGATGTCTGAAAATTTTAATTCATGTGACATTACAGATATCACATTGGTCCTAAAACAGGTGAAATTGCGTGAAGCTCAACTACAAGTTAACGTCTAGTTTTGAGTGACTCGCTAAGTGATGAATGTTTTGTTAGATGGCCTATATCTCTTTACACAAAATGACCATAGGAGAGCTTCAAGCCTAAGGCTAAGTATGAAAAGAATCTTGAAAAGGTTGTTATAAACATCTAATTTCTAATTGAATGTGCATAAAACAATGCTAAGTATCTTATTATGGTCAATGGTGAACAGGACATAAACAATCCAACACTAGACTAGATTGTTGGCCATGAAGGCATGAAGATGCCATGGTGGTACAAAGAGACGAAATCCTTCTAAAAGAGGTTAAAGAGAAAATTAGCAGGATTTCTATGGGTCCGGGTAGAAGTGACGAGGAAAAGGAAATGCAAGGTTAAGTAGTTAGTGAAAATGTGATAAAACTGATTTTGAGGGTTATACTTAAGCATTTATTTTCTTTTCCTTTTGTTTGGTGAATCTACTCAAGCTTTTTATTTCAGAAAAAAATGTGGCCCAGACTAAAATTTTTGATGTTCAATTCATATTGACGTCATTTTAAAAATTCTCATAAAGCCTGTTGTATAGCAGATTAAACTTTTCAATGAACTGACCATTGACTTGGTATGCGACCTAAAGCCTCGCTACCCAAGGGGCCAAGACTTTGATTTTTTCTATTCCCATTTTAAGGAGTGAATTCAATTATTGCTCATCCCATTCCCTTCACTAAAAATAAGTTTTGGTACAAGGTGTGGCAGATAAATTCATTGTCCACCTTTCAAGTCTGATGGACTTTCTTTCAAAAAGATGTATTAGAGATTTGATGAAACCAACGTGGACCTTCACTTAACATCTTAAAGTTTGTGAGGAAATAGTCTTTGACAAAGCCAATTGGCACACAAATGCCTACAGTGTACTGTAATGCAAACTTTTCCCTTTGCTTGGTCTTGTTTTCATTACTAAGAGAAAAAAGGATTTTGACCCCAAAAAAAAAAAAGCGAGAAGTTCTAGACATGTCAATTGTTGTGAATGCAGCAGAACCATGCAGTTTGTACTCTTGCTGACTTCTTCAATGCTACAGTTTCAAATGGCCAAACCATAGATATCCAGAGAGGAGCCTCTTTGTTTCGTCAAGCTTGTATTGGTTGTCATGATGCTGGTGGGAACATAATACAGCCAGTGAGCTTCCTGTTGCACAAGACATCTGTATATATATGTTTGTTCTTTCATGTCGTTTCTCTGATTCATATTCTTTTATTTGTTTTTTCTTCCAGGGAGCAACTCTATCTATAAAGGATTTACAGAGGTAACAAAACAACTACTTGAGCATCCTTGTGATGTAGATAAACCTAGAAACATCAAGATTTCAAAAGGATTCAGAAAATCTAAGTTAACATTGAATTTTCGGCACACATTTTTGACAAGTTATTGGGTAAATTAAAATTTTGTACCCTTGAAATATACTCCCTCTGTTTTCATTTATAAGAGAAACTATTACTTTTAGTTTGTTTTTTTATACAAGCAAAATCACATTTTTCAATAGGCATTTATTACAAGCTTCCTAAATTACTCCTCATAATTTTATTATTCATAGTCATAAGAGACAATTAATGAAGACTTAATTAACATAATTAATAAAGGATACTATAGTCCAATTCTTTTATTTTTAGACATAATATAGTTAACCGATTTTCTTAAACTGTGTGATATAATTTTTTTCCCTACAAATAGAAACGGAGGGAGTAGTATTTTACTTATTAATCCTTCATCAATGTTGTCTTTAATTCACGTTTTCGTATCTAAATTACTGACACAAATGATACAAAATGTGCACCTTCAACTGTCCATTAATAAAATAAGCTGGAAAAAAAGAGACTTTTGGGTAATTTGGCAAACAAAACATTAGTTTGAGCAGACTGAAGAACTAAAATTGGAGAGGGGATAAAAAACTAAGGACCGCAGTGGAAAAAGTTTGTATAGTTCGAAAACCAAAACATTGCTTCACTCCAAGTTGTATGAGAATGTCTGAATTATTTCGCATCCAAAATTGGCGTGGCTCAAGTTTTGAAGTTATGATGTCTAGTTTGGGACTTGTGTTCTAGATCTTCCTGGTAAATTGCTGTCTTATACATTATAGATGTTCTGTTTTGCAAAAGCAAAGTTCAAGTTCTTTGGCTCATGGAAAATTTGAAGAAGACTTCTTAGATCCCTTCTTTTGTTAAACGTGCCTGGAAATAACTCGAAGGTTGGCCCTTGCAGAAATGGAGTTGACACAGCAGAAGGGATCTACCGAATCACATATTATGGCAAGGGAAGAATGCCAGTAAGTTCTCTAGTGGAATCCAAGGATTTGCTAAATCTGAGAGGGGAAAAAAGAAAAGAAAAGAAAAGAAAATCTGTGACTCAGTCAATAATAGAATTGAAAGGGAACTGACTAGTATTCAACACAAGGATGGTCTCACCATCTCAGTAATTGATCATTTCCCCCTTACAGATTTGTCCTTCACCATTCTAACTTTTTTGTAAGTTAAATATCTATTTTGGTAAATAGAATGGAATTAATTGAAAAATTGAAGGAAAAATGACTTTAGTATCCTTACTTTCCAAAGAAGCATAAAAAATAAAAATGATCAAGTGATAATTACAAGGGAAAATCACATTTAAGGATCTGTGAAGAAAGTTATTCGCAGATAAGAATCAATAGCAAATTACAATTCAAGAAAAAAAGAGTTCGTATTTCCATTTTAACAACAATCAATTTCATATTGGCCCTTGTCTACAAATAATTTTTTCATAGGTCTTTGAATGCGATTTTCCTTAATTACAAAAGCATAATAAATGTGAAAAATGAAGGAAATGGAACCTCTTCCCTTCCTCATTACCAACCCAGATAAGCATGTCATTTGTTACACACACTGCGTGTAAATAATGTGCCAAACATGTTTATATATATATATATATATATATATCATGATTGACTTGATTCATTGATATTTTACTTGATTGTCTATCAATTGATCATTCCATAAATGTGGTGAGTGTAGTTTCCTATTGCTGTATTGCTCTTTACCATGTCAAGTTATATTAATATCTGTTGTACCTCGTACATAAGATCTCTCAGAAACGTGCTTAACGTATTTTTCGAAAGTGCTTATTGTATGATTAGAATAGATTGATTTAGCCAGTCTAACTCGGGGAAGATGGTCTAACATGTGCATGGTCGCCTATAATTATGTACACATACGCAGGGATTTGGTAAGGAATGCATGCCCCGAGGTCAATGCACATTTGGAGCTCGTTTGGACGACGAAGACATAAAGGTCTTAGCTGAGTTTGTGAAGATGCAGGCTGATCAAGGATGGCCAACTATACAAAATCCACAAGATTGATTGATTCACTTATTAGCCTTTATATGTCTGCTTTTAACTCTATCGTAGCAATGATTCTATCATGTTCATTCATTTGAGCCCATATAATTATTGCTACTGCATGATTCTACTAGCTCCTTCGCATATTATGTTATTTTGACATCCTGTGGCCTACGTAAAAGAAAAAATTTTATAAATTACTTATCAATTATCACCAAAATCTTCATGTCAATAATAAGACTTGAACTCAAGCCTTTATTAGAATAGCACGCTAACTGGACAAGTCTTCAATGGGCAGAAGAATTTCCTTTGGGGGACTTAGTGTACAAAGTCAATTTCTTCCTGCATCTTTTTAAAAATTTTCAATTTTTTCTTAATATCTAATTCCTTGTACATTTGAAATATTTGGGTTGGGGGGGTTTAAAATGTAAATATCATTTTCACTACACTAATACGTAAGGAATATCCATATTCTAAGAAGGGTTTATTCCTAAAATATTGAAACTATTAGATGAAAAGATTTACACATCAAACAAAAAGATTGACTATACCAAGAGGATAGTATTTATGTATCATATTTTTTTAAAGAAAAAATTATTTGTGTGTCTTTTTAATTATTTATGATCAGTTCAGTGTACAAAATATCTATTATAAATAGGCTTCTGGGTCTGTATGAACCTGTTTAAAAAGCTGGTCCCAGCCTTCCATTTGGATCTGTCAATATTTCAATTTCAAAATAAATAAAAAAACAAAAGAAGGACAAAGACAAAAGAATCCAACCAAATCTAAAGACAAAAAGAGCCTACTCCCTGTGTTCTGCCCTGCTCATTGTCTTTTATACAGCACATCTAACAAGATATGGGGAGAATTTCAATCAAGGATCATAAATCAGACTTTATTATTAATACATTCTAAAAAAGTTTGAAACTTTAGTTCAATCAATGAAAATTAAGACGAATATAATTTCAACAGTAAAAAAATTAAAATACTCTTCGCTTGTTATATAAAATCATTAATTATCAATTTTTTTATTAATATGAATTATAAATTACATGAATTTATATGTCAATAATTATATAAAATTTGATATCAATTATTCAATCACAAATAGTAATATCAATTGTTAAATTACAAACTTTATTTATTAATTTATAAATATTAATTGTAAATTACTGACAAGTATTGTAAATTAAAACTAATGTTAGTAAATTAATAAGTAAAGCTGGCAAATTAACAATTGATATTACTGCGTGTATGACAAACAAATGTAATTTACAACTCATATTGATAAATTAATAAATAAAGTAAGAAAATTAATAATTAATAATTTTAGATAAGAAGTAAATGATAGTTTGGTTGTTTTACTATTAAAATTATTTTCACTTTAATTTCTCTAGACTGAATTAAAATTTAAAATTTCTTTTGGGCTCCATTAGTAATGTCTTATATATAGTTCTTAACTAAAACTCTCCCCAAAATATGTGTATGATCTCATCATGATGTAGTAGGAATAGGAGAATTAACATCAGATTTATCTTCATTCCTTTTTTCCTTCTACTACTTATTAACTGCAAATTTAAACCATTTAAATTAAATTTATATTTTTGAAAATTATCAAATCTAATTTAATAGTTTAAATTTACAGTGATTTTTCCTCTACTCTCCATCGATGAATATAAAAATTGTATGTCACTTTTTTTTTTACTGATTAGTAGTACTATAGATTACTGTATCCGGTATTCCGGTTTATATCATGACCTATATGTTCCAATATTTTTTGGCATATCGATTCTTATTTCAAGTAAAATTTCATTATTTAATTAATTAATCTAAGTAGATTAAATCAGATTAAAATTAGTTTTTTATACATATAAATTTAAATTATTCAGATTATTTGGATGGTTAATATTGATTTCTTTTCCCTTGCTTTTGATGGTTAATATTGATTTAAAATTATTTATTTTTTGTCTCTGAGAAAGTAAGATGATGTGAAGTACAAGATCGACTAGGCTTATAATTATGTGATTGTAGCCAGTAGGGACTAAGGGATCTCTAAAGCACATGGGAGCAGTATCTTCATTAGCTGTTATTTATAGTAAGATTGATCATCTCAACATCCAATTGGTCCCAAAATATTGTGGAAAGAGCTTTTTAACTAATTAATTAAGGCTTTTTAATAATAGCTTGAAGGAGGACCATAATATATGTGCATGCATGTGACAGTTGTATAGCTAGCACACATGATGCTGCCAATCAATTTTACCTTTGGTAGCCCAACTTTGTTCATCAAGTTAATAATTAAAAAATTATCGTTTCAAAAGAACAGATTTGGTTTCAACATTAAAATTATATTATATATAGTAACTTTTGTAAAGGACAAATTCTTCATTTAAAAGATTGCCCATATCAGACTCAATTTAAGACAAAAATTCTTTATATAGGTATTTTAGTTGCCAATATCTTTTGCCGAGTGTACAGGTAAATAATGGCTAATTTAGATAATTAGTAATAGATATTGAAATTAATGAAATTGGATCTAGTAAAAAGAATAGTCTCTTGATATTGAATTAATATTTAAATTCTTATTTAAAAAAAAGGTGCCTACAAAAAGATCTAAGAGGGTTGCTTACTTTTGTGAAGGACAAATTCTTCATTTAAAAGATTACCCATGTTGGACTCAGCATAATATAAGATAGAAAATTCTTTATATAGGTGTTTTAGTTGTCTATATCTTTGGGAAGAGTAACAATTATTGATATCAAGATGGTTGGATTTGCTAGAAGGATTAATCCTTTATAATGTGGTGAATAAATATTTAAATTATTGTTAAAAAAGTATTTACATTTAATATATGACGACCATGCCTTAAGCAAAGTTATTTAATATTTGTAATATTATAAAAATAATAATAACGAGCTACTTACAGCCTTCAAGTATACTAAGGAGGACCATGCCGTATTAGGTAAGCAATTTTAGTTTTTCATTATTAATGGACAAACTAAACAACTTGCTAATTAATTAATTAATCAATAGTAAAACTGGACCAATTAACAAGTGACAACTTTTTTCCGGACATGTTCAACTTTTCCCAATTTTCCTGCTTATCTTTCTCCTTCTTTTTTTTTAATTTCTTCAAGGATCACTGGATCAGTGGTCCAATTATATTATGTGTAATGCAAATGACTGAAAACCCTAGAGAGAGAGAGAGAGAGAGAGAGAGAGAGAGAGAGAGAGCCAATTAACAAGTCATTGTCAATAGCTGTAAGGGAAGGACCAAAACCCATAATACATTGTTGATCAATTAATCAAACTGATCTTCCTCTCTCACCTTTTCCCACCCAGAAGCATTCATATGTATATATATATATATGGAGATATGCGTGACTCCTATTTGTTCTTATAACTATATATAGATTCAATTTCCTTTCGTTGGTTTATTTCTGTGTGTGTGCTTGTGGATATCTAACTCCATGGGAATTCCCACCAGACTAGGGTTTCTGAGTTGCAGATTGTCTCTCATTCTCATCACAACTCGAAGGTATATATGTTGGTTTGAGAGCTTGAAGCTGCCAGCATGATCTGGTATTTATTACAAACAATCTCGCGTGCGCGCGCACACACATGCTCGATCGATTTTCTTATCCTCTATTTTTAGTTAACAGACACACACAGTGAGTGGATACATATCAGACATAAAGCTCATTTCAATCTTAAATACTGACATTTAATTTGCTCCTCTAATTCATTAGAAACACATAGATGTGTGTGTGTGTGTGTGTGTGTGTGTTCTTGAACACGTTGGTGAAAAACCTTTTTAGGCTTCTTATTTATAACTGGTTCATGAATCTGGAAATATTGAGTTCTATCAGGAAAACTATTGGGTTAGATCATAATTAGATACACAACACACACACAGACACACACACACATATCAGATCATCCTGCAGCTTCAAGCACTCAGTCACCAGCAGGGCTATTTCTATTCTCTCCGATTTATACGTTGAAGTCTGGGATTGTCATTATATATACAGGTTCAAGGTACTAAGCCTTCACACCGTTATTTTCCTTTATGCAAATTTTAATTTCATTTTTGAAGACACACACACACAGATCCACGAACACTGCGCGCGCGCTCGTTTGCAGTGTTATTTACTTTACCATGGAAATATAGCAGACGAAATTCTACAGGAAAGACAGTGAAGAATGTTAGTTGGCGAAGAAGGATATTGAAGAATTAATGGCGATATAGATAAGACAAATTGCATGTGAGAGAAGACCTGAATATATTTATCTTGATTTCTAATGCCTTTATTTAACTATTTTGGGAGCTGTTTCATAAGAGACGACGGCAGATTGAATTTGTTAGCTGTTTATTAGGTACAACTACATTTGTGGTCCACTTTGTCACTTCAAAAAAATAAAAAAGAGGAAAAATAGCAATCAAAGAACGCAAGGAAAAAAATCAGTCAAAAATTAATTGTTATTAAAATTTAAATAAAAAATAAGCTCAAATAGACTGTTGTTAGTTTAGAATGAGTATTAATAAACAATTAACTAGTGTCAACAAATATTTATTTGAGTTTTGATAACAAATAATTCTTAACTGATATATATTTTTTCTAGTAGTCATTGATTGATATTTTCTCAAAAAAAATAGTTTACTCGTTTCTTTTGCAATCAAAGCTGATTATCAATGATGATCTTTTTGTTTTTTGGTTAATTTTTGAAGTAAACATAGATTATCTGGACAAACATATAGTCTAAACAAAATGTTTAATTTGAATAGAATGACAATATTTATATGCATGGCTCCCTCTCTCTCCGTGTGTAGATATAACCTCTTCAATAATTATTCATCAGGCAGTCATTTAACTAACTGATTTTTATTATTGTCTATGTAATAATATAATGTTTAGTAACAAGAAAAGACTAATTTGGTTATTCTTGTACTTTCATTTTATTTAGCTTAAGCTTTCTAGATGATCATTTCATGCAGGTTCTGAGAGCTTATAAATTGTTGAGTCTGGTTTATATGTCGCTAGACTTTGGTGATTACCACTGTTTCCATGCATGTGTTTTAAAATGAAGATTTCCAATTAATTACTAATTAGTAAATAGTGTGTTTATTTGGGTTATTAAAATAAGTTTTCTCACGCACACAAGCACTTGTGTGTTAATGAAAAATAAGACACATAAAAACTTGGAGCAATTGCCATAAAAGACTCCATCACCAAATTAATTGTTGAAAAGGAGTTTGGAGAGGTTTAGGACTGAGGTCCTTCACTGGAAATAATTTAGGACTGACATATTGACATGTAAATGACAAAAATGCCCTTGCTAATTAAAAAAAAGCAAAAGTTCAATAAGGTCCTTCACTATCAATAATTTTATGTCAACACTTAATATAAGGTCCTTCAATGTCAATATATTAATTTGGAATACTAAAAGCAAGGTTCTTCAATCGTATGTAGTTATTATACATGTGAACTTTAATTATATGTAAAAAAAATTAATTTATTTGAATAACGTCTTTTGATATTTTGAAATTTTTAACTTGGATGAATACCAAATGTTGTTATTCAAATGTCAAAAATACATATTTTGAAAAAATTTCTTTTCTCATGAAAACACCAAAAGATATTCTGAAAATGTAAATAGTTATCTTGAAAGGATATTCTGAAAACGTAAATAGTTACTCTAAAAATGCATATGAATATTCTGAAAACACAAATGGTTATTCTAAAAGTGCATATGCATATTCTAAATACTAGAAGTAGCTTCAATCATATGCAATAATTTTTTCACTATATGCATTTAAACTTCAATTATATGCAAGTAAACTTTCATTTATTTGAATAAGAACTTTTGATATTTTGAAAATTCCTAACTTAAAAGCATTTTAAAATACTAGAAGTAGGGATCTTTGGTCATATGCAGTGATTATTTAATTATATGCATTTAAACTTTAATTATATGTAAGTAAACTTTCATTTATTTGAATAACAACTTTGATATTCTAAAAATTCCTAACTTAGAAGTATTCTAGAATATTAGAAACAAGAATCTTCAATCATATGCAGTGTGTAACAGTACGGAGCCACCCCTTGGGCCTCGACTCGGTACTGGACTCTGGCCCATCACTGGACCAAAGCCGACTTTCCCACAGGTGGTACTGTGGTTATTCCTCACCACTGCCTCTCCAGGGTCTTTTGGAACCTCCCCAGACTCGAACCTCCAACCTCTACCACCTTAACGAAGTTGAGGCGAAGTCTGGTACCATTGAGTCACTTGACTCAATGGTACCAGACTTCGCCTCAACTTCGTTAAGGTGGTAGAGGTTGGAGGTTCGAGTCTGGGGAGGTTCCAAAAGACCCCGTGAGGGTGGGGTGAGGAATAACCACTATACCACCAGTGGAAAAGCCGGCAATCATGTAGTGACATGTGTGTTGTCCAGCGCCTGGGAAAAGACCCTGGAGAGGCAGTGGTGACCCAGGAGGGCTGTTACATAAAAGGCGCCTTTTATGTAACAGTACGGAGCCAACCCTTGGGCCTCGACTCGGTACTGGACTCTGGCCCATCACTGGACCAAAGCCGACTTTCCCACAGGTGGTACTGTGGTTATTCCTCACCACTGCCTCTCCAGGTTCTTTTGGAACCTCCCCAGACTCGAACCTCCAACCTCTACCACCTTAACGAAGTTGAGGCGAAGTCTGGTACCATTGAGTCAAATACATAAAAGGCGCCTTTTATGTAACAGTACGGAGCCACCCCTTGGGCCTCGACTCGGTACTGGACTCTGGCCCATCACTGAACCAAAGCCGACTTTCCCACAGGTGGTACTGTGGTTATTCCTCACCACTGCCTCTCCAGGGTCTTTTGGAACCTCCCCAGACTCGAACCTCCAACCTCTACCACCTTAACGAAGTTGAGGCGAAGTCTGGTACCATTGAGTTAAGTGACTCAATGGTACCAGACTTCGCCTCAACTTCGTTAAGGTGGTAGAGGTTGGAGGTTCGAGTCTGGGGAGGTTCCAAAAGACCCCCGTGAGGGTGGGGTGAGGAATAACCACTGTACCACCAATGGAAAAGCCGGCAATCATGTGGTGACATGTGTGTTGTCCAGCGCCTGGGAAAAGACCCTGGAGAGGCAGTGGTGACCCAGGAGGGCTGTTACATAAAAGGCGCCTTTTATGTAACAGTACGGAGCCACCCCTTGGGCCTCGACTCGGTACTGGACTCTGGCCCATCACTGGACCAAAGCCGACTTTCCCACAGTACTCAATGGTACCAGACTTAGCCTCAACTTTGTTAAGGTGGTAGAGGTTGGAGGTTCGAGTCTGGGGAGGTTCCAAAAGACCCTGGAGAGGCAGTGGTGAGGAATAACCACAGTACCACCTGTGGGAAAGTCGGCTTTGATCCAGTGATGGGCCAGAGTCCAGTACCGAGTCGAGGCCCAAGGGGTGGCTCTGTACTGTTACACAGTGATTCTTCTACTATATATGCATTTGAACTTTAATTATATGTAATAAAACTTTCATTTATTCAAATAACAAATTATGAATTATGAAAATTTTTTAACTTAGATGGATATCAAATGTTGTTATTTGAATATCAAAAATTTATATTCTAAAAATTCTCCCTTTTCTCATGAAAACATTAGAGAATATTCTAAAAATGTAAATAGTTATTTTGAAAATGCATATGGATGTTTTGAAAACACAAATGGCTATTTTGAAAACACATATGAATATTCTGAAAATGCAAATGATTATTATGAAAATTTTCTCATTTTTCATGAAAAAACCTATAGATATTCAAAAAAATATACATCTTTAAAAGATTAAGCATGGGAAAATATTGAAGAAGAATACAAGCTATGAATTGATGAATACGTTTATTGACACTATATTAATACAAGCTTTTACATCTCATATGGATTTTGCAACAATTACAATTTATCAATCTCAACTCTCAAAACATCAAAGCAAAACATAAGTTGCCATCAAAGTTTGATCATAGATACACAATAAATGTAAGGAAGTCTATTGGAGCTACTCTATTCTCTTTCTACATTACATTACTACAAGCCTCTTTGTTACTTTTCATAGGTACTCTTATAATACTCCAATAACACATTGTAAGGTCGCTCTTACTAATACGAAATTAACACTAAAATCAAGGCAATCATTAATCTAATTCAATTAGATTATCAAGTTTGTAATTTTTATAAATTAGATCCCAAGTTTTTATAATTCAAAATTACTTAATCATCATTTAATGAATTTCTAATCAAAGTAAATTATTGTTACGGAAGTATGAGATATCTTATAAGAATCAAAAGATTCAAAATCAGTTGAAAACTATTGAGGAATGAAAAATAGATTGACACACCATAGCATGTGCACATGCGCCATGGCTGTCCTTTTTTGTGCCACGCGTTATGGTATGTTGCACGTTATCAAATAGCACTCTGCTTTTAAATGATAGCATTTTGAGAAAACTTCTCATGTGTCCCATTTCTCCGTCCGATGTCTGAATGAGGTGATTTAGTTGTTTATAGAAAACTCTTTTTATAAATTAGTTAATGGCATGAGCTTTACTTTTAATTTATTTCACACAAGGAAACTGGACACTCCAACACATTTTCACAACTTTTCACATTTTTTCACAACTCAAGAGTATCTAAAACCCTATGCATGTGCCAAAAGCTACCTCTAACACCTAAAACACACTCAATAGACTTAAGACTACCTATACAAGACACCACATGCACTTAAAACTCAACAATTCTCAATTTTCACTCCATCCACTTTCACTATTATAAAATCTTAAGTTCAATTCATTCGGTTCTTGCAACTCATTTGATATTAAGTAAAATGCCTAATTACCATTAGGATTAGGTGATTATGACTTAGATTAAGATACAATCCCTATAAAAATTATGCCAAACCAAGACTTGACTTTAGAATTATAACTTGTCTTGACCATATTCTAATACTTAGAACCAATCAAGAATTAAGCAATTAACTTCAATTTAAAACCTAAACAGAAGTTAAATGATTCAGACATCACCATCAGAATTAGATAGATTAGCATTTATATAACAATAATCATTGAAGCATAAATTCAAATATATAAAGTGTATTATTCAATTAAAGAGTCAATTCTTAGTATCTAAATTTCTTAAGGAATGAAATCAACCATGAATCATTAAGTCAATAGCAACAATAAAAATAGAGAACTCAGAGGTGAATTGCAAAAGAACCGAATTGGAAAGTAATTAAGGAAATTCAAATGAAAGTTTCATTTTCCTGAAGAACTCAAAAAAAAAAAAAAAATATTCAGCTCCTCATCCTGATCTCTTCAACAACTAATTGAGGGAGACGTCCACAAGAAGATGCTATGGAAGTATGCTTGAAGGAATCCGTGAGATGAGCGAGTCTGACTGGATGAGCGACGGGAATGAGGTAAGATAGAGAACTGAAATCAAGAGAGAAGGTTCTGCCGTGGAGTGCGACTGAGCTCTGTGACTGAGAGGAAATGAACGGTGGCGTGTGTGATCAATTTCTGCGCGTCCAACTCTGTGACCGAGAGAGGAGCATCTGCGTTTTTGTGTGTGCGTTGGACTGAACAGAGAGCGTCGAACCTCGGACTGAGAAGAAGACGAATGCGACGGTGTCTCTGGCTGTGAGGTGGCTGTGCGATCTCGTGGCTGAACTCTGAACCCAGAGGAAGATGCATGCGATGATGTGTGATCCTGTCCGATGATTCCCAGTCCGGTGGCTGAACTCAGCGAGAGATGATTGCTTGCATGTGCGATCGATGTCGCTGAAGATGAAAGCTTCTGCGCGCGTTAACGAACTCTGCCCCCTCCCCGTTCCATGCTTTTTTTCTTCTTTTTGAAAAATCAAAAAAACTGATTTAAAAATAAAAAAGAAAAAATTACCAAATTAACCTATTAATTTCTAAAAACACAAAGTAACTAAAGTTAAATTAATCTAATATAATTGAACCAAATAAAATCTTAAAAATGAGAATAAAAAAATTGCCCAATTAAATAATAAAATGTGTTAAAGAATTGAAATTTAATATTAAAAATAATTAATTTTAATAAAATGTGCAAAATAATCAAAATGCTCTTAATGTCAAAATTTAATGAAAAATAAGCCAATGATCAAATGCCAAAATCATGCATAAAAAAATATGAACTAATAAAATATAGTTACAAATATAAAAAAAAAGTAAGTAAAATATGTGATTCATCAAAGAGAAACAAATTTAGACTTACTACAGCATAGCTGTAACAACAACTAAATTGTATTGTGACAAATTCAGACCATATGAATTAGTTATAATGTTGAATCACTGAATCAAATAATTGAAATAGAACAGGACAAGTTTCTCAAGCAATCCATATTCAAGCAATGAGCCCCCATCAATTCCATCACTTAACAACAGGTCAAAATCAGACGGTGCTAAAGATTGTTGTTTGCAATTCAAATATTTTGGTGAAGAATCAAAAGCACGTCTATCATTATGCCAGTATTGTACTCAATACCGAACTCAGAAGAATGATTGAAGTTCACAGTCAAGTGGTAAAATAGCAAACTCAAAAGCCAACGTTGATATGAAGCATTCCACCACCAAATTCAGTGCCGCTATTGTTGTGAAACTCCAATTAGAGAAGCACGATGCACGAGCCATTCCTCTTCTCAACCACGGCACGACGCACAAGAGGGTTAGTCCAAAAATCAAAGAAATTGCGGCTGCGAGAACACGAATCACTTTGTCTTCCTCCTCCTGTTGTCGATGGTCTGGAAGTCGGCGAATATGGTGATGGGCGCTGGAATCTAGAGACGAGAGGAGAGATGATTTGGTGAAGGTATTTTGGTCAATTTGAAGTTTTGAATTAATGCCACCGGAGGACCTCAATTTGTAATCTATTCCAAGTCCTTAGCAAAATAAATTTGGTCAGGTTTTTATGAGCAGTTTTCCCTAAAAACTTTGTCTTCCTAAAGTATATAGTTTGATTATTGGGATGGGAAACCTAGCTAGCTAGAGAAATATTCATACCAAACACAACCTAAACATTTGTCATTATAAGCTAAAAGTCTTGTGCTGATCTAGAGATGACTTGGAATAAAGAAAGATCCAAAGGAAAAATTCAAACTGCTTTCGTTTTAAAGCTACATGAACACACACACACACACAAGATTAATTCGAGAGTTTATTTAATGAAGAAAAGGATTAATTCTACAAGCGATTTGTTGAGTGTAAAACCAGATAATAAATGTGCAAGTTATGAAATATGTTCTCTTTTATTGTTTAGTAGATAAATAAATATATGGCACATGCATATTGAAGTATAAGTGAAAGAGATCATAAGCATGAGAGATTCCATTTTATCAATTATGTTTTCTGAATTTGTCTGTATCCACGTGAATTTGTTTGATGATATATATATATATATATATATATAGAGAGAGAGAGAGAGAGAGAGAGAGATGCTGCTTTCAGTTCACTTTCATTCTTGTCGCTTTAGTTGCTCCTAAGACAACATGAAGAAGGGAGCCTAGTTCAAGTTCATATCTCTCTGGTTTGTGAAAATTTAGATTAATCAAATAATCTTGATTAAAGAACACTGAAAAGTTATTTGTGTTATTTTTTTCCACAGTGAAAAGAAAAAAAAAACTTGGGTATTAGAGAAAATTATACATTTGAATTTATTTATTCATGCATTTAAAGAGAAAAAAATTATTTAAAAAAGTATGATTATACCTGAATTTTACATCATATCTTGTTGGTTGGTATAGAGTGCCCCAAATAAGTTTTAAGGTAAATAAGGTACCTGTTAATTAATATATCATATAAAATATATTAAAAATTATATTATTTATAAATCATAAATATTATGATCCGTTCTCTTATTATCTAACTAATTATGATTGGTGCAGATAAATAAGGAAAAGCGGAAAGTAAAGCTATGACTGTAGATGTATAAATGGCAGGTATATAATTTACAGTTGATTTTAAGTCCAGTTAAATTTTGTTAGCTTTATATTTCTGTGTGAAGTTTAGGAGTAAAAACCATGTGTAATTTTAGTTAAAAAAAATCAAATAATTTACTCTGACTTTTTTATCATTCTCTTTCTCCCCTAGACAATGAAGCAATGGCAAAGTGAACATTCAGTTTATTGGCCACAAAATAGCAGCATAAAAGACTACTTAGATCCACTTTTCGCTGTTCCATAACTAAAATGAAGTAGATACATTATCTTATGCATTGCACAAGATTCGAAATAAATAATAACATCCATAACTTATTAGTAGTATAGTTATTATGAATTTATAATTTATATTAATAAATCATTCACAAAATGGAGGTTTTCACAACCCCAGCAGCAAATCTTGGAACATAATCATCGAGTTGCATATCACATTCAGTGCATGTTTCCACATTCTTTTGGGAATTGCTGTAGCTAAAACCACAACTAAACTACTCCTTTCGCTCGAAAATGTAGCACGCTTTTTGAAAGATTGGATGTTAAAAAATATTAAACATTTTTAGTCTTTTAAAATATAATTATTACTTTTTTAAAAAAATACCTCTATTAAATAAATTACTTTATCTTTATTTTAGAGTGAAACTCCATATTAAATAAGAATAAATATAAAAAGATAGAATTAGTTTGAAGACAAGTAACAGAGGTAAGATTAGATTAAAAATACTTTACATTTTTTAATGAAAGGAATATAATTTAAAGCATTATAGAGTGAATCTTGTAAAGAACATACAGTTAGCAAACACCCTGAAGAAAATGCTGCTGCTTGGCAAGGATATATATTTCAGTCCTTCATTTTAACTTACAATTACAATAGGGATTATAGTTCTTCCCCTTCCAGATGTCCTTATGATACAAATCCTACACATCAAAAGTAGTAGTGTAGATAGACATCGCGGATTACACAGTGCTAGCTAAATCTCCACTATAAAATATTATATAGTAATTATCATGTTACCTATTATCATCACCGGGCAAGATGAAAAAAGAAAAAGAATCATCCAGAAGGACATCAACTGATAATTTAACCTTCCTTTTCAAAACCACCTCCATCCTATCCGAAGGCGATTTCTAAAAGCCATACGGTTGCTTCAATGGGTCAATATACCGTGGTATTTCTTATTACTTGATTATAATTCTTCAATGGTAAAAGAAGAGTTTGATTGCTTTCTTCTCTTTGCTCCAGGCTCTCCCAAACGCAAGGAAACAGAACCATCTTCATCAGGGCCACTCCGTAATGCCGAAAGATTTTGCAAGTCTAGGTGGTCTCTTTCTTGGTAGCTTTTATGTACTGGAGACTTGCCTCCATAACTAGGAATGAACTGGTGTTCTACATTTCTGACATGAAATTCATTCGATCTTAATGGTGGGTTGGGTCCTCGGGAAGGTTCATCTTCAACAGGAACTTTCTGGATGTTCAAGCGAAAAGGCTCAAAGCTTGAAGGAACAGTGGAAGAGGACTCTCCAAATGTAGAATCATTTCCTACCGTGGAACCACTCTTTTGCTCCAGTATTGCGGCTATAAAAAGCAAAATAGCAACATAAGGCTGGTCAGCTACAGCTTTGTTTTGCATCTGTACATTTAATTAATTTTTCTTTTGGGAATATAATTCTGCAGGACAAGGATCTAGATCCTCTGTATTTGGTAAGCATGAACTTGAGAGTGATTGTGTGCGTATGTGTTCCGAATCCACAGATCGTATTGGTATGGCTCATTGAAGAAGGCATCACCCTTGCCATAAAAACAGACATGTTGGTCTTATCTCTACTAAAGTAGCAGGATTTAAAAACTTTCAAGAAAGGTATAATATCCATCAACATTAGTCATGTTAATAGCAGCCCAGCTGCTTTTCCCTAACTCAGTTTTAAAACATAATTGAAAAGGTTCTATATTTTGTGGTTGAAACATTTTGCGCTAGTTACTCTAGACTTCGAACCTTTCCACAGGATAGAAGACGACTTCAAACCCCAATGGTGTCAAGATCTAATTTAGAGTTGCCACGTGTCATCTAAAAAATACAAGAAAAAATAATAAAAGTGAATATAAGGAAATTCAATGCTTAGGCGCCAAGGCAAGCACCTTTAACTACATTGTGGTGAACTTGCCATTATAGCAAACCAAGCGTAACCCCATTAAGTATTTGGGACAAGTTTTCATATATGTAATTAGTAGTCTAAGACACAGGAATTGGCCATGTTTGGCATGCATGCAACATTCACTCATCCCCCAACATTCATTGCAAAACAGTATAGCACACACTATACTGCAGGACACATATGCTGACAATTCTAGCAAGAAACACATTACTGCTTAGTAACTAGAGTAGGTGAAATGTTAACAACTGAATGTTTCAAAAAAACAAACCTTGGAGTGCTTTATTTGTTGTTATGAGATCAAGTTCCAGGAGATCAAGGAGTCGGCCTAGATCAACTCCACTAGTCCAATTCTCTGGTGGTTGGCCAACTTTTAATTTCAAGCGTCCCCTATTAGCTGTCCCACCCCAGATAATGCCCACAGGCCGTGGCTTCTCCCCATTCTGACCAGTCAAGAGAATGAGGCTTCCACTGTCACCTTCAAGGTCAAATGTCTGCTGGTTCTCACCGACAACAAGAAAATCAGTGAGAAAACAAATCCCTTTCTCATCATTGTACTCTAAGGCATAGGCCATTATAGTCCCTGTAGTCAAACCAGAACTTCTTCCGACTTTAATCACCTGCCTCCCAATGAGACTGTTTATTGGTGACTGCAAGTCTATGATATTGACATCACCAATCTCACCCACACCTTTTACAGATGTCGTTACATTATTCACATTGAAATCCTCAGCAAATGGGATGAAGGCCCCGTCAGCTCGCACAAATGTCTCTGCAAATTATGACAAATAAAACATTAAATTATGACAAATAAATTTGAAATGATACATGTCATGAGTTTGGCAAGCATTTTTGGAAGACAGTCATCCATATCACACATGACCTGTCAACATTGCGCGAACTCATTGTCTGTTTGGCCATCATGTAAATTTATGTTTTTTTTTTGGTGAAAATAATGTAAATTTATGTTGCTTTCATGAGAAATGTTTCTCTTTAAAAAAATCAATTTCTTGAAAAATCACTATGATGACAAAGCAGTTTATCGTTTTGTTCAGATCAATCAGGAAGCAAGTTTTTTATTCTTACCATTTCAAAATTAGTAGGCTATTGACAAGTGTTCTTTTATACTGCATTCTTCTTCTGCAATCCTAGTAGAGGTAAGGGTAGTCAGGTGGGGGCCCTGGCATTGGGGGCCATGTTTTGGGAGAATGGAGACCGGACCGCAGTGGTGTATGCAAAGGAAGCAGCAATCACATAAGTGGCTGATTGGCAATGGCTACAAAGTGGTAGCACAGGACAATGGAGATCATGGTAGTGGTGGAAGTGACCATGGTCGGTTCATTGTTGGAGGATGGGTTACCCATGGGGTGATGGAAGTTGCATTGGCAGGGCAATGGAACTGGGGTTATGGTGTTATCAACTTATCATGGAGGTGGACATTGTGCCAGCAAAAGCATTTATAGCTGAATTTCTAATTCTTTATATATCTTTGGAAACAGAAGCACAGATTGTACCCAACTGTACAGAAATCACTAGACACATAAATAAATAGTTCTTCCTCATCAATTTTCAAGTTCTAGTAGTTGCTGCTATAGAAGTGTTCATCTTTTGGGAATTCATATCCGCCAACAGATAAGTAGATTAAAAGACGTTATATAATATCAGAAAGATCTCTGTAAATTTTGTCCCTGGAGGAAAGTTTGGTAACTTACCTCTTACTGTAGAGAAAGCACAAGACATATAATTTTGATTATTAATCACGATTAAGATAATGCTTCAAACAAAGACCTCTTACTGAACTGAGGAACCCTACTGATTAAACCTCCTGGCAAGGACTTAGCGTTCAAAAATTTCAATACAGTGCATTCCTTCAAGTAACCTACTAAAAGCAACATAGCACCTATTTCATGACATTAAAAACATGAAATCCTGAGACAGTTTTAAAATTGACAAAAAAAAAAATGACTAGACTTTCAATTGATGAATCATGATAAAATGCAATTGGGGCTACGCTACCTGGGTTTGTTCCAGCAAAAATGCCATACCAAAGATCATCAGTGATAAATGATGTTGCCCTCTCAACTGCACCAAGATAAACACCTGGTCCAAGGCTGGGTGGCAATGGATGAAACATTTTCTGGTTTGGGTAGTCCAAATCAACAGCTACATGGCGATTTGTAAGGAAGCCAACCTGTTGATTTCCTGTTCGGCTTTTCACAATAGCTCCCAAGGTTCCATATGTCTCTTGGCTTGCAACCTTTTGATAAGAAGCAATTTAACAGAAAAAAAAAAAAAGGTATGCACTACATTATGTGTTGAAATAAAACAAAACAAAATTATCAAGAATTCAAGATTCAAAGATCAATAATCTAAGGAGTACTGACTATAACTCACAAGACACACATTCGGGGAAAATACATGGGCTAATATAATCCAAAACCCAAAAGGATTTAAATGCCTAATTAAATCTTAGATTACCCTCATTGCCTGATTACAAACCCTGATTCCAGAATCAAATTACATTGTTACATTATAAAATAAATAACCATTCTACTGTCTCATACTGCAAGAAAAATATGTGGAGCATAGAGAGGCAACTTGTCAAGCATTCAGAGAGATGGCAGCACTAGAGCAAGATTCAGAGAAAAGGGGAGACAGAAAATATAGGGAAGATTAAGAACCAGTTGCCTTACAATCAGTATCTGAACAAATTTTAACAACAACAACAACAACAACAACAACAAGCCTTTATCCCACTAGGTGGGGTCGGCTACATGGATTGCAAGACGCCATTGTGCTCTATCATTTATTAAGCTTTTAGAAATATTATTAATTAAGAGATCACGTTCAACAACTTCCAAGAGTGTTCTCTTAGGCCTTCCTCTACCTCTCTTAATCGGACTCAAAGTTATATGTTCCACTCTTCTCACTGGTGCCTCCCTTGGTCTTCTTTGTACATGCCCAAACCATCTCAACCGATTTTCTACCATTTTTTCCTCAATAGGTGCCACCCTCACTTTTTCACGTATGTGCTCATTTCGAATTTTATCTTTACGTGTATGTCCGCACATCCATCGTAACATTCTCATCTCTGCTACTCCAACTTTATGCTCTTGCTGTCCCGTTAGAGCCCAACATTCACTACTATATAACATTGCCGGTCTGATAGCAGTACGATAAAACTTTCCTTTAAGTTTATTAGGCACCTTACGGTCACAAATAACTCCTTTAGCTTTTCTCCAATTAAACCACCCAGCTTGAATTCTATGTGAAATATCTCCACTGATTTCGCCATCATTTTGGATAATGGCTCCCAAATATCTAAACTTTTCCACTTGAGGTATAATTTGATCTCCCAATTTCACTTCCAAATTATTTTCGAATAGTCCTTTATCAAATTTACAATATAAATATTCCGTCTTACTTCTACTCAGACGAAAACCTTTCGACTCCAATGTCCTCCTCCATAACTCAAGTTTGCAATTAACCTCTTCTCTTGTCTCTGCTATAAGAACTATATCATCCGCGAAGAGCATACATTTCGGGATTTCCTCTTGAATATGTTCCGTCAAAACATTTAAAATCAAGTTGAACAAATAAGGACTCAGAGATGATCCCTGATGTAGCCCAATCTTTATAGGAAAATCCTTTGTTTGACCACTAGGCGTTCTTATACTAGTTTTTACCCCCTCATACATATCTTGTATGGCTTTAATATAAGCAATCCGTACTCCCTTTTTAATGTATGGCTTTAATGTATGGCTTTAAAACAGTTCTTCTTATACTTGATTTTGTCCTGTACACTATTATTCCACCACCAAGACTCCTTATCTCTCGGACCAGGACCTTTCGATTCTCCCAAAACTACTTTTGCAACCTCCCGTATCTTTTTAGCCATATCCTCCCATATGATGTTAGCACTTCCCTGAGAATCCCAAATTCCTTTATCCAAAAGATTTCGCTTGAAAATATCTTGCTTCTCACCTTTTAATTGCCACCACCTAATCCTTGGTGTTACTACTTGTCGACGTTTTTGGATTTTACTCATAATACACACATCAAGGACTAGGACCCTATGTTGTGTCGTTACAGCATCTCCAGGGATCACCTTACAATTTTTACAAAGTTTTCTATCTGTGTTCCTAACCAAAAGAAAATCAATCTGCGACCTTGAGGCTCCACTTTTGTAGGTGATGAGATGCTCATCTCTCTTCTTGAAACAAGTGTTGGCAATCTTAAAATCATACGCCAATGAGAAATCAAGAAGAGTTTGCCCTTCATTGTTTAGCTCTCCAAAACCAAAACCACCATGCACCCTCGCATACTGACCAGCTTCCCTCCCGACATGCCCATTAAAGTCTCCTCCAATAAAAATCTTTTCACTCTGTGGTATGTGTCGAATCAACCCCTCCAGATCCTCCCAAAATAATTCCTTAAGACTGGCTTCTATCCCGACTTGCGGCGCATAAGCGCTAACAATATTAACAGTCTCACGTCCAATTATCATTTTTAAAGAAATAATTCTGTCTCCAATTCTGCTAACTTCTACAACGTTCTTCTTCCACTCCTTATCTATAATGATGCCTACTCCATTGCGTGCACTTACTTTTCCTGTATACCAAAGTTTGAAACCTTGAATATCCTTAGCTTCTTCTCCACGCCATTTTGTTTCTTGCAAGCAAAGGATATTGATTTTCCTTTGAATCATAACCCCTACAACCTCTACAGATTTACAATTTAATGTCCCAACATTCCAAGTACCAAATCTAATTTTGCTCTTATGGACTAACTTCTTTAGCCGCGTGCGTCCAAAATGACGCGGTAGCCCTTGCTCATTTAACACTACATCCGGGCGCCGATGCAGCGGCTCTAACTCACTTATCACTGTACTCGAGCCATGCAGCGCGTTACTTACGGGCAACGACCTAGCATTAACATTATAACGTCTATTGTCCATGTTCATGATAGATTCAACAAATTTTTACATTGGCTGTTGATGGCCTAACACAACCCTCCTCCTTTACCCGGGGGCTTGGGACCGGCTATAAACATAGGCGGAGTTTAACAATGGATCATAAATGCTACTACCTGATCCATCTTTTGAAAAAAGGGATGTTTCCATATTTGTCACCTGGATAAACTTTTTAGCAGAAGAGATCCAATCACAGGAGAAAATACAACCAGGGGTCATTCACTACTTCACTGGAAATGCTTATATTGAACTAACTGAATATGATTGTTTTAATTGATCATTCAAAATTGTTTTGGTGGAATACTCAGCATCTAGTTGATTGACTAGTCAGTACTGTTTTATCAGATGAATCAATAATTTAACAATATTATCACCAGATCAAGTAGTTTAAAAGTCATTAAAATAATATTTCATATGGAACAAAATTCATAATGAGAAACGAAAGAGGTTTGAGTTTTACAGAACTTGAGCAAGAAGTCACCAATTGCATCATCATCTTAAACAATAAAAAACAAATAACTTGGTGTATCTCAAATTCTTATTTTTCAGTTTTGAAGAATTTCATGTGGTAAAAGGTATTTCAAGATGCTTAGGCTGGCCAAGTACAATTTATGTATATTAAGCTGGGATAAAGACTACACCCAATACTATTGGCACTAAATTGGAACAGTCAAAAGACAGTATGAAATCTCTCATTCATAAGCCAAAATGTGATTGGTAATTTGATAATAACTATTAAAAAAAAAAAAAAGCCAGCTTCTCTGTAACCTCATTTTCGCACAACAGCAAGCTTGAAGCTTCTATTCCTGCTCACTGAAGCCAATTATTTAATATCATTTATCATTAACTCTTCCATAATGCACCAAAAAAAGCAGAGAAAATTTTTTACAAAGCACATTAAAGTCAATTTAAACACCTAAATGTAACCACCCAGGTAATTTATCTCAGACAGCCTTGATTTCTCACTGGAACATTGCAACTTATTAACAAATCCATTCAGCAAGGAAGTACAATGATATCACCTGAAGAAAATCCGAGAGTTATGCCTCTGATTGCTTATTTATTCATGTAAGAAGGGACAAATGCATACGCGGGAGAGAAAGCAACATGTCTACCATTCAATCCCAAGAAATCAGCCACATAAATTTGAATTAAAGCATAATAACTATATCAAAATTCTAGGAGAAACAGAAATAGAAAGGTAACGTTGATAAGCAAAGGAAATAAAAACACAAACTAAAATAGCGAGCAAACACAGAGAAGTTGAGAGGCAAATATGATAGTGATGATCAAGAAAACAAAGATATGTCTCTTTTGACCAAAAAAATTGATATGTCCCTACAGTCTATCAAATAAACACCTGATTGGCAATCTATTTTCCGTTCTCTTGCATATATAGCAAACATAAACAACATTAATTCTTCAGACAAAAAGTACCTGAGAACCAGAGCCAATGATTGGATCACTTCCCCTTAAGCCATCAACAAGCTCTGTGTATAATTGTTCTTTGGGAGTTGCTGCAGGAGCGCCATAATAGGAGAACTCAACAACATCTACATCACACCAAACACCTCCAGGGCCCTGCTTTCAAATTAAATACTTAATTTTGTTAGATTAAAACTCAGGCAAAGACTAGAACCACCTCTACATCTCAAGGAGTATTGAAATAATCTATTGTAGTCTAAGATAATATTTTTCCAATAAAATATGTTTTCACAATTATTTTCATATCATCACATGCAACCATTTCTTCTTTCTCCCACATAATCTTACAAGTACAACCTGTCCAATCAGAACTTTTTATTTAAAAAAAATATTATTAAAAAAAAAGGCTAACCAACAAAAGAAATATGTTGGATTGACACAGGAAACCATTATAAACAGGCCAACAAGCCTAACCACCACTGGCATTTGGCAACAATAAAGCATAGAACCTTTCTCATTTGATTCATGCAACTAAAGCTATATATATTAACAAATGTTATTGTCAAGAGAGGGGGGAAATGACCAATGGAAAGATAGGCAGAAATTAGAGAGATTCACACTTTTTATGTCAGAGAATTTCTTTTTATTTTGATTTATTGTCCACTGCCATATGTCCCACCAAAATACCAAGCATAATTTAGTCTAAGAGAACTAGCAGTTGCTTCATGTGCCAGCCACAAATTTATTAGAAACTAAACATACAAATGAACACTTAAATAAGCAATTCAGAATTTTAAGGAATTCCCCTATCAACTCTTCTAATATATAAAGCCAAAACACAGAGGCAAGATGCCTAGATGTAATTGCAAAAATGATCAGCACAGAATCAAGCAAATGAACTGTAAAAAAATTCACTAAAGCCATGTAGAAAACTGCAACATAGCCAGAAGAACCAAAAGTCCCCACCTCAAGTGCAGCAGGTAAGCATTGGACATAGTTGAGCCATTGCCTGTGAACTTTACGGGCAACGAAAACAAGGATAGCTGGAATATTAGTCAAGACACCCCCTCTCATCCGAAATCCAATTGCAGTCCCAAGACTAAATCGACGCAGGATCTTGCTATGGAAAGCCCTGATAGTCATCAGTTCAAGCAAGGTAGTAGCTTGCTGTCCTGTTGGCAAGCGACCCAAGGTTTCAGGTAGTACTCCCTTTTGAAGGTTTCCAAAATAATTGGCCCTGTCTTCTGCTGTGTCATTTAACCTACTCAACGTGGGCCAAGAAAAATAGGCAGCATTGCTCTCAGAATGTTGAGCACCTGATGCAAAAGGTTGCCAGGGCAATGGACTTGATGAAGGATTAGGATGACCACAGTAGTTCCTTTCTAGGTCCAAGGATGACTCCTCCGATTGTGTTGACCCAGAGGGATGAATAGTTAAGTCCAAGAGAGTCCCGTCCATCTCTCAGCTCTCCTACATCAAAATTACTGCAGTTAAGTAAGACAGAGATAACCTCCAGTTTCTTTCATGCTCCTCAATCTTTAAACATTTTGCAACTAACAACAGCTTTATGATTTAGAAATATGTACAAAATTGAGTATAGACTTGTCCAGAGAAAGAATGAGATTTGCACATAATAAATTCATTTGTGCAAACTAAAAGTGACAAGTAACAAGTACTAGAGAACATTACAACTACAAGCGCATATAAATCACAAAGACTGGTAAATCCCATAACATCTGAGCTGGAAAGAACTGGAAACCCAATTCGTTTATGTATAATAAGTAACAAAATCACTAGAAAACTCCAAACAAAAAAAAAATCCGATAAAAATTTATCACATGCGGACTAATGCTAACAATTGTACGACAAGATTTCTTAACAATCTATCCATTACAAAGAGCAGCGCCACGCTAATTTTTTTGTTTGATTGAGGATATGAAAATATAAGCTTTCAAATATGACAGAGAATCAAACATTTATGGTAATGATCAACAACGACTTTAAACACATAATGAAAACAAGCATTCAGGAATTATGCCAATAATTTGCAGAAGTCTAAAAATTATAACAAACTCATGATACGTAAAGCAGCAGAAGAAGAAGGAAGCCAGAAAAAGATTAGGATATTGAGATTTATAAATAATCAGGCACTCCCTACAGGAAAGTATAGGTCTTCACCAGCACAAACAGGCTAGAAGGCTGAAGTACATCAGAAGCTGGACGCTTTGATACCAGAAAAAGGAAACAAGATTGAAACTAAACAAAACCAGAAAATCATTCTTAAAAATGGGTGAGCATAGAATGGACCAATGGGCATATACTCCCAACAAAATGACAACACAAAAAGCTCTCAGCCCGAGCAGAATCTGAGGAAAAACGAGACGCAGCCCAATGAAAAGGGTTCTGACGAGGTACAATTTCACAAGCTTATCCAAACAAAACTCACCGATCAGCAATGTTGGAGCTATGGAAATAGACTCAAAACAGAGGTGCTTAGAGGTAATCATGCCCTAGTGCATGTAGAAGAATCTCTATACCACATCAACCCCACCAATCGTCTCTCAGATTAAGATTGCAAAAGATTTTCACTTTCTGAGAAGAACAGGTTCGATAGGCCGCGTCATGTGAATAGAGGCAAGAGTTTAGCTAAGCTTCCCCTTCTGCTCTTGGAGAAGAGAAAGCCTTCAACTGTGGGTACGTACGAGAAAATAATACTGATAGAGCTCCAGAAAGAGCAATATACTTTATCGATCGTCCACAAGCGACTACTTTATTCAGCCTTCTACGATCTTTCCCATATTAATATGGAATCGGATTTCAATTTCGCAGGAAGGTAACGATTTTTGTAAATAAATAAATACTGAAGATATATTTGCTATCTATTTGAGCAACCACTCTAATTGTAAATTGTAAATCTAGTTGCAAATCAAGTAGTGTGGGGGCACGATGCGTGTTTATTTAAAGAAAATTCGACGTATTTGTTTCTCTAATGACCAAATGGATGCTTACAAAATCAGATTTTTTGCTTTGGTCATTGGCAACAAAATTTTTGCTTCTTTTGGGATTTACGTAAAGCAAAGCTAGAAGTACCCAAATCAATTTGATCTCTGCTCAATAACCAGTAATCTCAAAATTTGAGCAATCATTTATAAAAGAATCAAAATCAATGCTAACTTTATTAGACTAACACAAATGGTAACCAATGGGAGACAAGTTCGTAAATTTTTTGTGCTAAAAATCACTATACAGGAGTCTTCAAACATGATCTAACAATTGGGAATCATGCCGATGACTGTAGGTGGTTATGTGCGTATTGTGATGAGTGTGTGGTTATTCTTAAAAAAAATTAGAGATTAGGTAAAAAAAAATAAGAGTGAGTGGGGGTAGCATAGCTTATAAAGGTTAAAACCTAATATCAACGGGTGAACCAGTCCTCAACCGATTCAATTAAGAATTTTGATGGGATTAGAATCTATATTTTTCTCGCTTTGCCAAGCTTTAAATGACACTGTTTTGAGTTAAAAAAATAATTATAATTAGATTAACTTCCATGTTAATCACGGTTTAAATTATTAACTCTTAAAATACTATCCCGTAGAATTTAATGATGAACTCTTATTTTTAGTACCTTGCATGAAGGTGAAAGAAGTAGAAATAATATTTCTTTTGGGATTTTTTCTGGAGAAATGGATTGTAACAATTACGAGTGGTTGGGGGGAGAGAAATTTGGAGGAAGGAGGTGGGGGCACCTGTGAGGAAAAGGAACAGTGAGTATTTGGATGAGATGGAGATGGGATGTCATAATAATAACAATAATAATAATAATTTATATTTATTATTATTTTGTGGGTGCCCTTTGAAGGAAGAGGGGCCATCCTTGTTTGCTCCCCAAAAGCAGCACAGTCTTTTTATTTTAATAATAATAATAATAATAATAATAATAATAAAATTAATTTTTAAATTTTTAATTCACTTGTAATTTAATTCTTTAATTATAATTTATTGTGACTTAATCTCTTAATTATGACTTGCCTATGACTCAATATCTCAATTTTTAAATCACTTACAAATTAGTCCTTAAACTTTTGTTAGTTTTTTTTTTCATGTTAGCTTATATCTCACATTAATAAGCAAGAGGAGAGTATTTTAAAATAATATATGAATTTTTTTATTCCTTTTATTTGATAAAAAATTTTAAAAAAATTTAAAAAAATAAAGATCGAATTATAGGTGAATCAAAAGTTAAGAGATTGAGTCGTAGTGAGTTATAATTGAGGGACTGAGTTACAAGTGAGTTAAAAGTTAAAGGATTAAAAAATTAATTTTTTTTAATAATAATAACAATTCATTTATTTCTCCCACTTTCTATCATTTTCTCGTCGGCCAAACGCACTCATCTACTCACACAAGGGGCTCCCGCCTTCTTCGCCCTTCAAGGGTTACATCATATTCCCTTTTCCATTCCTCAAAACAGCCCACAGCTTCCAAATCTTTTCATTGATAATCTTAATCAAAGTTATTGTCCTTTAAGGGAATTTAGGAGAAATGTTAGTCATCATGTCCAACAATATTTTTTTATATAATTATCTGACTTAATCATATTTAAATATTACTTTTTCATTTATAAAAACTTGAATTCAATATCTTATACTTGAACAAATATAATCATGTTCCTTCACATAGATTATAATAAAAGTCAAGTATTTCTATAAATATTTTTTAAATTTAAAAACATGTCCTCTTTTCATAAGCCTTGAGGACTGCGACTCAGCTCACTTGCATTTTTTGTTTTAAAAAAATTTAAAATATCTATCAAACATGCTTCCTAATTTTTGTATGTGTACCCAACATTTTAAAACCTACCTATCTTTAAAAAAAAAAAACAAGAAGGAGAAGGAGAAGGAGAAGATTTATTGAGGCTTTGAAAAGTCTAGATTAAATTGAGTACAATTTGTTCAGATGACAAACTATACAATTGTTTCAAGCTCGAAGCTTAGAGACAAGCTGATGCAATCAATTGAATCAAAAAGTTGATATTACTTTATATTGGTCATTTAGAATTTAAACTCACACTATTATTGTAGATATGAGCTCTGCTTTTACCAATCTGATTAATATTTAACGATTTGATGAAAATTAGTTTTAGGAGTTAACTTTTAATTTAAATAATTCCCTAGCAAACAAAACAAAAATTAAAATACAACATCAAATCTGACCTCAGAAGTAAATAAATGGAGTGATATCATATCATGATGGTACATGCGTTTATAAAATTAAATTAAAGTGATGTCGTAATGTGTTAGTCAGTTAATTAATTTGATCCGTAAATTAATGGCTATTGCTAATAGTAAAATCATGAAAATGGAAGGAGGATCTTCTACACAAATGAAGATACACTTTTTATTTATTTATCTCTAAGAAACTCAACAACAACCACCCTCTCTCTCTCTCTCTCTCTCTCTCTCTCTCTCTGTGAGTCTAATCCAGCATTATCTTCAGCTTTTTATTAATTAAATAATTTAATATAATAGTCACCTTATCTTCGTCAAATTTTCAATCATCAAATCATGATACCATTCAACTTCTGAAATATTAAATCATAAATGCAAAGACTGAAGGCACTTAAATTATTATATATCTGGTGCGCTTGCTTACATAATCAAGAATCAATTTCGCTTTGCAATTTGAGCCATTGGGATTAAAAACAAAAAAAGGAAAGGAAAGGAAAAGAAAAAAGGGAAAAGAAGAAAAAGGGAAAAGAGATATCCATCTTAATTATCTTTATCAAAATAAAGTATTTCATCTTTTTGGCTCGCCAAGATTTCCTCGTTTTTCAAGTATGTGAAAGGAATAGAAGAGGGACGAAGGAAAAGGTTAACAGTTTTTTAAGTAACACTACTATACGTGAATTTAATATTTTATAAATCTAAAATAATAAACCTTCACCTTTTTATCCCAAAATATTAAATCTAAACATTCTATTTTTAAAATATTAGGTGAAAATCATAAAGTTGTAATTATTTTATGAGGGCAAATATTAAATTATATAATATGAAAAAGACTCCTAATATTATATAATAAAGAATGATAAAATTGGTAAAAACGTTAATATCATGTCTTGTAAAAACCTGGATTCGTCTTCTTATTGGAGTAGAGGTATTGTTGGCAAAAAAAAAAAATTATGAGGTTATGTTTGAACAAAAATAAATTTTTATATTTAAAATTAGTTTTTCATGTTTTTTATTTTACTCAATATATTAACTATACCAATTATTTTTATATACATTTTTTCTCCATGTTTTTTCTGCCAACATATTTCTTTTTCTTTTATTATACATATTTGAATGAGTTAAATTCAAATATTTTTCAGCTCAATTGAGGATAATTCAACATTTTCTATATTCACACACACTCAAACATGAAATATCATACTTGAAATAGCCATAGTTCTTTTTACGATGACCAATCATCTTGATTTTGTCAACGTATTTCTCATCATACAAGGGCTTCACTCTCTCTTTACCAATGTCCACCCAAACATGCTTCTCATCTATACAAAAATGGTGATTTATGGAGACATGATCACACATATACATATATATTACGCTGTTTATTTATGAAACATTTTGTGGAAGCTTAAGTGAAGCTTCTCGCGAGTGGGCTGTGTGAGGCACATCAAATAATTTGAGACGAAGGAGGACGAAATAAAAGATCTTCCAAAAACAAACAAAATTGTTTAATAATAATTTTAAAAAAATGGGATAAGAAAAGTTGTTTTTGTCAAGAAAAGCAATTATTGGAATGGTGGTGGACCCCACCACTGCTTAGTCTCAAATGGCTGCTGTTATCTCTTGCGCACGCTTACCTCTATATGGCCACACATATTTCCCTTCCTAATGCACTCACACTTGGAGGGATTCAATTGAATCAATAACAGACTAGCAATTTCAATCATCAATTGATATTCAATTGGATTTTAAACCATGTTTCATGTGTTATCATAATTATAACTTTTAAGCAGCTTTTTTTGGACCAATGAATTTGAATTTGAGATTTACAATCTTCTGTTTAAAATCTATATAAACAAATGAGTTGGGATTCAATACAAAAACAAAAAATTTAAAGTTATAAACTTATCACTATTTTTTAATCAATGAGAGATAAAATTGAGAGATGAGAGGGAAGGTGAATCGATGAAAATAAAAACACTTACGATAAAAATTTGAAGAAAATGAAATTGTTGAAAACTCAAATAACCAGAATTTATAGAGAATGTAAAATTACAAAAGAGTTATAATAAAAATGTATTTGGATTTGGACAAAATTCAAATCTATAGAGTTTTATGTATCTAAACAAGAAATTTAATTCAAATTTAAATTCTCATACATCCAGATACAAAAATACATAAATTCTATTTTACAATATTTACAATATTTATTTCATAAGTAACCACTAAACACCTAATTTAATTGATTATCAAACTGTATTGGTTCAATTAAAAGTTTTGAATTGGAGTCTTGTGAATGCATATGGTTGGTCGTGAGAAAATGGGAGATATGGTGATAATTTTACTTTTTATTTTTTATATTTAACACTATATGCATCAACATATTGATATAGCCAATTATTGGCTCAAATTAAATAAATATACCTCATTGGGCTTGGGTTAGATTATTTTGCATTTAAGAGATGGACATGACAATGACATGTCTATATAACTCATGTTGGGCTTCTAAAACTTAAGCCCAGCCCATTACACAGCAATAGCCCACTGTCACAAATTAAGAAATAAGGATTTCTAAGTCAAATTAATCAAATCTATTTATTTTTTTAAGGGCTGTTGCGCATATAGCCCATATTATAAGATCAAGTAAAAAAAATAGCATATTTTTTTTAAATTTTAAAAACAACCTTTTGAATATTTAATTTATAATTAATTTATAAAACTGCCTTTTTAATATCTATTTTTTGCAAATATCAAAAGATTCAAAACATAAGAAATCTTTAGAATGAGAGAAATGAATGCGAGAGAGAAGATGGAACTAGATGCAAGAGAGACGAACGTGAGACAAAAGAGTAATGTAAGCGAGCCACAATCACGAATGTGAGAGACAAACATGAGGTGAAATACATCGACAAAATGGAGCATGTCGGTGAGGAAATGGATCAATAGATTCATGATTTTTTATTTTATTAGTTTAGGTATTTGACTCTCTGTGATAAACTAAGACTCCAAACATTTTTGTAAACTATGTTTAATCTATTTTGGGCAAATGATTATGTATTTTTTGTGTTATTGATTTGTGACACTACATTATTAATATACTATCACAGATTAATATAACTAGACAATCAGACATAAATTTATTTATTTCTAATATATATGCGTATATAAATGATGTAGTATTGCAGATCAGTAATACAAAAAATATATAATAAATTTTTCAAAATGAATTAAACATAATTCGCAAAAAATTTAATGTTATCGAGAAATGTGAAGATGATGAAAATATGATGATAGATAATAGATTCTAGCCTAGTCTTCTGCTTTTAGAAATGAAAATTTCTCTTCAATGTCCTCTTCATAGTGTTCCTAGGAAAAATAGAGAGAGAGAGAGAAGAAAAGCTTTGCGATGAAAAAAAATACCAGTAATTTTATATTCAAAGAAAAAAAGAATGATTTAGAGAAAAAAAAGAAAATATTCAGTCAGTTAAAGATTAGTTATAATAGATATATTATATTTTAATAATAAATTTAATCTGAGAATAAAAAAGTAAAATATGTCTAATTGATTTTATGAATAGGCCATATTCCAAAATATTCAAAAATCTCATCCATAATTTATTTGAGTTGTATTTTTTTAGGCTATTAAATTAATTTCCTCTTTAATATTTTATTTTAGGGAGAATGACAGGGAGGTCCCAAAAAGATGAATTAATTTAAATTAGATTTCAAGTGTCAAATTTCAGAAACTTGCAAGTCCATCTATTGATTTTGCAATTGCGTTATGATGAATTTGAAACTTGTTTTATATGTTTTAACATGGTTGAAAAATTAAATAAAATTATTTTTCCTATTAAAATTTGGAATATAAGTTGTAAATTTTTAAAATTTAATACTTGAAATCTAACTTAAATTAATTAATTCTTTTGAGACCCCTATATAATTCTCCCTTTTTTTATTCATTACATTTTAAATTTTATCAAAATGTATTTTTATTTTCAGTATTATCTCCATTTTCATCATTTTTTTAAAAAAATTACATGAGTGTGAGTGTGGCTGTTCAAGACATCATTGAACTCAAATAGAGTCGTTTTGTTTTTACTATCTCTGTTGTAATGGTCTAAACTAGTAACTAACTATCAAGCATTTTGCTTGTTGTTTTCATTCAGCCAAAAAAATGACATGATTGAACTACTTATAAAAGATGTATAATAGACTTGAAAGTGAGTCAAAACATTTCAACTCGGTTGACTCATTGTGTGCTTACAACAAGCACAAGTGCCCAGGACTGTTAACCAGCTAGCTAAATTCATCTTCACGTTGAAACACACCACATGTAAGTATGTGCAACAAGTCGTTTGTTTTGCACATACATGTTATTTTGTGTATGTCAAACCCAAATTATTGTAGGAGGAATGTTTAAGGGCAGATGAGCCAATAAAAATGCATTAATAGAACTAACAGGCATTGATTTTAGTGGAAGGAACTATAATCATTTAATCATAAGGTTTTGAGTTTGAGTTCGTATGAATGTAGAAAGTATTTTTGAAAAAGTTATCTTCAAATGAGATCAATAATACTCAAATTTATTTCAATCATAAAGTCATATGAAAAAAAATGTATTGATAGATATGAAGTTGGTATGGGATGTCAAATCTCAAGTATAGTATTATAGGGGCAGGTTTCCACCATACTCAATTGGTATCAGAATTAATAGTGAATAATTTGAGAAAGCTTGATCATAAAAGGCTAGGACCAATAACAGAAAAAAAAAAGTCAAGTGAAGCAATATTATAGAGTATAGATGGATTTTTTAAGTAGTGATCAATTGATGAAGACCATAACACATAGTATGAATTATTTATGGATGAATATAACTTTTGGTCCTAATACTTTATTCACGTTTTGCTTTTGATCTTTATACTTTTTTTTCGGTGTTTTAGGTCCCTACATTTTTATTTTTCATTATTTTTCATCCCTCTATGGGCAAAGTATAGAGACCTTGAAAGGATCCAAAATAATAAAAAATAAAAGTATAGAGATTTAAAATATAAAAAAATGAGTAAAGTATAGGAATTAAAAGTTATATTTATCCATTATTTATTGAAATATTTGGGAATAATACTCCTATATTAATAGGGCTTTCTTTTTGCTCTACTTACTTTTTTTTTTTTTTTTTGGGGCCAAGATTCTCACCACACTAAAAGTATGTACGGACCATGATGTATACAGTTCAACCCAATACGTAGTTTTGGGGTCCCAAAAAACCACGTTTTGAGGTGGCAAAGTGTCCATCATTTATTAGTGTGCGTGGATAGTCTTTAAATTTTAAAATATTTACCGGGTGAACCCCTATCAATTTCTTATTGAATTTGATGTAAAATACATTTACCTAAAACTTTCTCATCATTGTACATTCAATATGCATACATGCTGAAGTGTAGACAAGATTGTCTCTTTCACACGTAATATGATATTTACAGTTATCTAATATACATGTCTCCGTTCAACTATACAGGCAAATTATAAACCAACCATGCAGCTTTGATGCATGCTCTGTAAAAATTGTAAGTTGTAGCTTTCTCAGTTTGAGAGTCCCACTTTGTGTTTCATGACAACAAAACTGTGTGAGTATATGAATGAGGAACAGCTCCGATTTCTCAACTAGAAGTCTAAGACCTGTAATATGGCTCCAAGGATTATAATCCTTGCTTGATAGTGAAAAATTCAGAGATTTCTCAAGGTCAGATGATGCATGTGCGATCAGAACTTGGACCAAAATCAGGACACATGGCAGGTTTCTGGTGAAATTTATAGCAATTCCATACATCGGATACAGTAATAGTTGATAAGCCTAGCCACAAGGCTTTCTGGTTCTGGGACCAGAGCAGATGTCAAGCTGTTCCAGAAATGAAATGTCAATGACTCGTGAAAAATTTTTCTGAACAGAGAATCTTGCTGAGCTTTTTCTGTCCCCGATGTCGGTGCCATAAAGAATCTGCTTACAGATCAATGAAATTAAGGCATACATGAGGACAAATGCAAACATTTAATAAAATTAACAATGAAGAATGTGTTCGCAAATATCTCCTAATCATTCCTATGCCATAAATGCAGGAAAGAGGTTGTCATTTTACCTTGTGATGTTCTGAGAACTAATTGGGAAGAACATGTATGAGGGTTGCTCTTGCAACTCCATCTGCTTAACATATTTATTTCTTCCTTTCAAAAAATTTCTTGCAACCCTTGTCAAAAGATCAGCACCATTCCATCTCAAATTGGTATCATCATACGTTAAATAGAACTCTCTCAAGCACTCCTTTATGAAGAGACTGCATTGAAAGAAGAAACCAAAAAAATGCTGTATATTCCAAAACACTCATCAGTGCTGTTTAATTCGTTGTCAATTTGGTGGAAGTGGAGTCAGAGAAAGATGCTTCAGTGATTCTCACTAATCAATATCTAGTCGCTAAATTATAAAGGTTTATCAATGCTGGGTAAGGAGAATAGAACCAGGGTTTCAGTGACATGATTGGAATTCCAGTGTACTACAATCCTTTCAGTTATATATTTTTATTTTCCTTTTTGTTTGTTTTAGATAATACCACATCCTTCGCACAGTTAAATTTACTATCCTTGGTTTAATTCTATTCAGTTTTAACCCAAAAATGATAATTAATAAAATTACTCCCTGACATGATATTATTAGGACACCAAGCCATCAATACCTGTGCCTTCTAAAGGCCATCACAGCACCATTCAAAGCACTTCCAGCAATGTGATCCTCCATACCAACAGAATTATTAAGGGAAGAGATTGGTTTCAATACTATGATATCTGAATCCAGATAGATCCCACCGTACCTTAGAAAACAAAAGCAAATGTCATTGCTACAATAGACTAATGATAATCTTCGCAAGAATTGAACATACATAGCAAGTCTGCAGCTTAATCCAATTAATACACAGCAGAGATGAGGCACACACTATCAGAATATTCACTAGGTCACAAAATCACTTCACTACCGAGAAATCGTCACCAACTTTAACTGGAAAGTCTCGTGGCAGCATAAGGCATACCAGATACCCAATAAAATGTTTTTGTTTTTTTAATCACTGATTTACAGGCAGCAAGAAGATCGCTTTAGTTTGGGTGTCTATCTCTTCACTAGACCAAAATCATGTTCAGTAGAAGTTTCAAAGCAACACTGGACCTGTATCAGATGTTCTGATACATCTCTTCATTGAGTAAACGACCACAGCATTACATAATTATTAATAGTTTAATATCCATGTCTTGATTCATGTAGTAGAGGAAAAGTCACAAGGAGACTACGCATGCTTTGGAAACAATGAAATAGTTTAAGAACACTTTTAAGTTGGAATTTCAGACTTCTATCACAAGCAAATATGCTGGACAATTATTGTGGCAAAACATGAAAGTGTGCAAGGGAACAAACTGCAGAAGAAAATAAGCATATAACTAATGGAAGTAGATTTACTTGTACAGAGCTGCAAGACGGATAAGCTCACTGTAATGAGTAGAATAGAAATTTATCTGTCTCCATTCAAACCAGATGGAAGCAAAAATCTGGGTTGGGGTATCCTTCAGCAGTTCATCAAGATTTGGCATAGCAACAGCAACTTTATAGCTGCGAAAAATAATGCTTTAGCTGGAGATACAGAATTTAAACAGCATAAAAATTGGTTCAAAAGTAAAAGGAGACACGGGGAGGAGGACAAGTACCCATCATTTACGAAGTTATATTTAAAGAAGTCAAGCTCAATTGTCTCTGAGAACACAATAACACAGACGTCTCGATGGTGGTAGAGTAAACTCTCAAGCCCACGTTGATGCCGAACACTATACATCCAAGGTGGTGAATTCCACACCATAAACACCCTCATATCACATTTGCCCATCCTGAAAAAGGCATCCATAAATTCTGAAAATGTTAAATGTGAAGGCAACCCAGGATAGTATCCCCACCTCTTACCATCTGCATATATATGATTAAGAAACTCAGGCCTCCTCTGAATCTCAGAGGCAACATCCTTAGAGCCACTTGACCGGTCCAGTTTGCCAACATGAGCTGCATTGTTGTCTTGTCCTGTCTCACTGTCTTGTTCCTCACTGCCCGCATACTTCCGTATGCCAGAATTCAAATCCTTTTCAGTAGAACCTTCGCCAACATTTTCATTTAAATTCCAACGTTCCGCTCCTTCAACCTCACTCCTTGAGTCCCCGTCACTCTTGAAAGCAGCTACATTATCTGCTCCATTTCTCACATCGTCGTTTAAAGTTCTACGCTCTGTTCCTTTAGTCTCACTTCTTGACTCTCTATTGCTCCTAGTCTTGCAATTGCAAGCACTAGCATTGTAATTTACGGCCTCATTATCATTTTCTTGCAAGTCTGAATCACGGGTCTCCTTGGATCTGTCCAACGTCTTCTGACCGAGAAATGGGGTTCTATTAAACTCATTCATCCACCAATTCTGTAAATTTCGGTCACCCTCTGTAAACCTGGTCAAGCTGACACCATCAGGATCTTGAAGCATCAGATTATTCATCGGGTCCAGAGCAGCCCAATTCGACTTGAACATCTTATTCTTCTTAAAAAATTCGCCCTTTTTCTCGAACCAATCACCCCATCCTTCTCTCAAGGGTGAGACTCTCGTTCCCAATTTCAACAACAGTGCATCCTCAATTCCTATCACCTGTGCTGCTTTCCTCCTCACGTGCTCGTCCACCGGCGTATCATCGGAAGCAAACGCAGCCTTACTCCGATCCTCCTCCATCCCGGATCCGGCAAGAAATCCAGCACCATTATCATCCCATTCCTCAATCGAGCGCTTATTAAAACCCCTCCTTATACACCCAGTTACGTGATCAAAGAAATACCCAGAACCCTTGATCCGACTATTAGACCCCGCATACCCGTCTCCCAAATCAGCTGGTTCTTTTTGTCTTTGATGGTGATTCTCATCAATAATATCAATTTCGTCGATGGCATCCTCGATTTTTCCAGTCCAAGAATCGCCTTCGTCTTCATGAAAGGGCTCGTGGAGGATGTGAGGGTGAGGCAGAGAGCGAGAGAGGAGAGAGTGAAGGAAGGGGACGGAGAGAAGAAGCAGAATAAGGGAAGGGACAGCGAAACGGAGGTAGGATCCATAAGGGAAGCGTCGCCGGGATCGGAGAAATCTCAGCATTGTTGAACTGAAACTAAACGGAGGGTCAGTGCATATTGAAAAGTTGAGTAAATTTGACTGCGAAGTCTTGAAGGTGAAGGCGGGAGGAGACTCCGCATGCGCGGCTGGTAATGCTGTTGTGCCAGCTCATTTGGTTGTGGCGGAAACAACAGCTGGAAAACCCCGCATTTACGACGACGCCTTTTCCAGTTTCATGAAGCCGAATTATATAATTTTTACAATTTTTTTTTCAAGGTCATGACACTAATTCCTCTAAAATATACAGTAATTTAAGGGTTGTCCTCTAAAAGTAGGTGCTCCCCACGCACAATTCTAAAAATTAAATTCTGAAATAATACTTAAGAGACTCAAACTACTATTATCACTTATGAAAGTATCAAATTTGAAATTTAGACTACTATATAGAAATGACTCATTTATGAAAAGATTAAAAAAAAATTTTGAAAAACCTTTTGAGATCATCTCCATTTCAAATATGTCAATGATAGTGATACGGGTCCTTTCATAAGAGCTTGTCCTTTCGGTTGCAATTCTCTTGACTCCATCCACCTTTTACATGATTGTACTAAGTTAAGGGAAGTGTGAATGAAAATAGTAAGGTATTCCAAACTTAACACTTTCTTTTCTCTTTTATTGCAAGACTGGATATTTTAAAATGCAAAAAATAATGTTGGAAGTCTAAATACTAGAAGAGTCCCATGGAAGAAACTATTTGGCCACATATATTGAAACATTTGAAAAGAGTACTGTAATTATGTATATTTGGAAGATTACATTTTTGATAAAGCCATCATTTTCACTAGTACCCAAGGACATCATCAGTGACTTTTGTCTTCAATCTCAACTCAAGAATGTGCATTTGGAACATGACAAATTTCTTGCTAAATGGATCCCACCCAAACCTAGTTGGGTTAGGTTGGACACCGATGGAGCTATCTATACCAATGGAGTTGCAACATGTGGAGGCCTCATTTATGATGACCATAGTTATTAGATAAAAGGTTTTATCAAATACCTTGGTTATCATCCCAACACTATTGCCAAGCTCTTAGGCATCCTCAAAGGTCTTGAGCTTTGTTGGAAGAACAAATTCACCAACGTTAATGTTTACTTTGACTCTTATGAAGCTTTGGCGCTTATTCAATATTGTCATAGCCCGAATCATCCTTTCAATGAAACTTTAAAAAAGATTAAATGTCTCGCCATGAAGGACTAAGTTATCACTTTAAATCATATATTTAAAAAATTCAATAGTTGTCTGGATTGGCTTTATCATCAAGTTTCGAATGATAATATCAATGTTTTAATTTTTGACAATCCACTCTTAGGGTGTCGACTTTCTATAAGTCTCGATCTGATGTAATTTCTTCTTGTTGCACGGTTTTTTGTGGCCTTATATTAAAAAAAAAACCACTATGATCACTTGATATATACTTTTTATATTCTTATAATTATAAATTATAAATCAATATCATCAATATACTATTTGATGTTATGTACAGGGTAACTCAATAATTATTATGTCTATAGTTACTTTTTTATTCTTATTAAATGTTTTAAGATTATCAAATATTAAATTATTTTTTAAAATATGCATATTTAATAGTGGTAAAATTGAAAACTTATTTAAATTTTAGAGAGAATTAATGAGAAAGTAAAATATAAAATTTATAAGAGACAAACTCACAACATTTATAAATGATACGGTGTACAATTTATCTGTCTAAAATTGCATTTCATCAGTATTACAATACAAGGTATATATTTATTATGTTTTAATTGGAAAAAATGGTAATAAATATAGAAATCATTATATATAATGCTAATCTTTAGGTTTATCTTAATTATTATTTTTATGAACTAATAACCTAGAATACTCTCTCCATTCAAAAATATAAAATATTTTTTAAAAGATTAGATGTTAAAAAATGTGAAGCATTTTTAGATTTTTAAAGTGTAATCATTGTCCTATTTTTAAAAGTATCCCTATTGAATAAATACTTCAAATTTATTTTAAGATGAAATATTTGATTAAATATGAATAAATATGAAAAAATATAGTTAATTTGAAGATAAATAATTACTTTATTGGAGTGATATTTAGTTAAAAATGTCATATATTTTTTAATAGATAGAGTACTTTTAAATTTTAATCCAAGCCTAGCTCAATGTCCCTAAATTAAAAAAATAATAAAAATATAGTTATTATTAATTACATTAACTACGACTCTGGGTGTTGTACGTGTTCTTTTACCTTAGGTATCAGAAATGTTAATCCGTTCCAATCTTGGGTACATAATTTCTTAAAGAAAACTTTTAAGTGGCAAAAGACCTACCTCATTCGGTCGTTGATTGGTGGTGATTTGAATGTATAGCCATACGAAAAACAATGGATTCTTGCCAAACAATGGATTCTTGCCAAATCTTCAAACATGCTTGAAGTAAATCCTTCTTGTTAACAAGATGCCTTACTTTCCAAATCGTTATAAATTAATACTAAAACTTTATATGTTTGCTGATAATGATAATTGTGTCTATAGCAATTGCAGCAACTAATAATTGAATTCAACGTCTACTGGTGAATAATGGCCGCAACTGGAGAATTTTCTTCTTTCTTTTTATAATATAAATGAAGGTGCTTGATCGTGCAAACTCCCATTCTTGTGTTCTGAAATTGAGTAGCACCTACTGTGATGAATATTTAACCAATCAAACACACGAGTTTGCCTCATAGTTTGATTTTACCAAAGAATTTTCAATCAGGGAAATGAAAAATCACTACAATAGTGTTCAAGAAGCCCAAATTAAATTAAAAAAATACTAATACCAGAGGCGTCACTTCTTTATAATTTCTCATGGCATTCTTCACAGGAGAACACTAGTGCCAAACAAGGCAACCTTACAGTAAAGATTCTGTTCAAACAGCGCCAGCTCACTGAATCCACGGCCATAACAGAGAACCAATCCACAGCACAGAGAAACAACCATGAATCAAACTTGCCATGCAATGTTCCGGACAAAAAAGTATTGACATGCAATGCAAATTCCATTTCCCAAGTGACTTAACTGACTTTAGACAGCGATCATTTACATCAACCCCCAAAAAATCCCCGCCTAAGCTAATTGACAACCCCCACCGAAAAAAAAAAAAAAGAAAAAGAAAAAAGAACATCTTTGCAGATTAGTCTCCATAAGGCACTGTAAATTCTAGAGACAGGAGAAAGCTTCCAAAACACGGATATTCTTCTTGCGTATTAGTTTCTTTTCCCCAACCTGCTTTGTTTACATCGAAGCTAATTCCCACTAAATCTAAAATGCTATTACTGTAGTCTGGCACCCTACCACCAATAGCAGCTTCTCCAAATAACAGAGAGGTCTATCAACATTTTTGGTCAAGGACAGATGTGCCTTTCTTCTTTTCAAAGCCATCTTCGCACGTTTCTGAAATTTCTGCTACTCCACTCGCTTCTGGGGATTCATGATTCATATTTGAGCCCTTCTCAATATTACAGTTGCTCTTTTCACAAGTCAAATTTGAAGCATTTGCATCACCAGAGTTCTTTTCAGATTCAGGTGCATCTTGAACTTCAGTAGGAAGGAGCTGCTTGCCATCTTGTAGAATTCCTTCTCCAGTGTTGATACATCCACTAGCACCTATGACCTTTTCTTCATTGTGTGCTTGACAAATTGAATGTTGTATTTCAGTGTCTGAAAATATAGGCTTTCTGTCATCCCTGACACATAAACCTTCGTTGCTATTAAAATTCCTGGCTTCGCAAAAGGCTGAAGAGGAAGTATTTTGGTTGTGCAAGCGCTCTGGACATCCTGATCCATCGTTTAATCCTATCTTAGGTATGAACCACCCTTCCCTTGGTTTTCCTCCTTCTTCGGAGTTTACACTTCTAGAGTGATCACTTTTGTCTTCAAAATGCTTTTGACAATCCAAAGTCAGTTCTTTACCAACTATTTTGAGGTTTTCATCAATTCGACTCACAGCCTCGCAGCTTTTAGTATCATCCTTGGGCTCCAAACTTCCAAGTGATGATGATACTTGCAAATTTTGACTACCAAGATTGATGCCCTTGTTGTCATCAGGAGTTGTGCTCTTGCTAAAATTTGGGCGGATCAACTTTCTTTTCTTTTGTTTCACTGTCTGTAAGTTATCACTCCTAACACTCTCATCAGAGCCTTTAATGTGAGTTTCATTATTTCTCCATACCTGACTGCGACGCTTGAAATCCACAAAACGTGCATCTTCATCTATTGGATTAGTTTCACTTGCACTCTCATCAGAGCCTTTAATGTGAGTTTCATTATTTCTCCTTACCTGACTGCGACGCTTGAAATCCACAAAAAGCGCATCTTCATCTATTTGATTAGTTTCACTGTCACCTGCAGCAATCACGATATCCATACTTGTATCATCCAAACTCTTCCCAGAGGAAGCTTTTGTTGACCTTGAGCTTCTGATTTTTCGATCCCTCAAACGTTCAGCTTTGTTGAGCTTAACCCATGGATTGATCTTTCTCTTCATCCCCCGTTGGTTGCAACTTTGTCGAACCACGTCCATTACTTCATCCACCGAATTCAAAGAACAGACATCAGATCCCACTTGGCTGTGATTGCTTCCATATTTTTTGTTGTTAGAAGGATGCACAAAAGATAACCGAGAAAACACGCTATTTTTGTTCTTATAACCAGAATAAGAACTTCCAGAATTCCCATAACATTCAAAATCAGGATCACGTTCAGGAAATAATGGATCACCATAATGGATTTGAGAAAGACCCTCATTTTCCCAAGGCATAGCAGAACAAGCTTCATTGTTCTTCTGCAAAGTCATTTCATCATGACCCAGATTTTCTTGCAATGCTATGGAGAAATAATCATCGCTTAAATGTGTATTGTACTTGTCACACAAGGAAGAATATGACTCGGAACCCCAGCCACTGTTTCCAATATCCAATTGAGGGAGGAGACCTGATGATGACTTAAAAGGAGAGCTGTCAAGACCTTCATACTCAACAGGCTTAGTTGCAAGCCGTTTGGAATTCTGAGCTGCACACAAGGTCATGCTAGTCACATTATTTTCAAAGGAAAGGGGATCATCAAGGCCATAGCTGCAACCGTGAGAATGGTTTGTATCTTTCATCTCTGCATGAACATAAGATGGTTGATCATCCAGAGAATGCATGATATTTCTTCTATAATTGTTTGATGGAGAAGCATTTTCTCCTATTGGCTTACAACCATCATTAATCCTAATCCTAACAGATGACAGCTGCCTAATATTCGAACTAGGGGCATCAGGATCACAGAGAAGGATGCTCTTGGAACTTAGATTTCCTTGTGCTACACAAAAATTGTCTGAGATCTGTGCCTGGATCGAGTGAGGCATAGCAGAAGTTGCCACAAGTTGATTTTGAACCAGAGAATCAGGATCTAACATGGGCTTACTTGGAAAGAAAAATGAACCGACATTGGAATCATGCACACTAGGACTATCATTAAAAAATCTCTGACCAAGTTTTGCATTGTGTTTGCTCAATAGCCTCTCACTCACACGTAACCTATCATCATGACCTGTCACTACACCAGGAAAATTTCCAGAGAGACAACCTGAGATTGCTGGCCTGGGCTGCATGCCTATAGAATGCCCTTCATCATCAACTTCTCCAGCGTAATAAAAGGAACCTCTTCGGTAGTTATGCATTGTCAAGGGTAAAGTGCCAGCAACTGCATCTTGCTCATTTTCAACCATTAATGCACCCATGCGACCACCAACAGATCTTCCAACTTTACCCAAAGGATAATGCTCAGGTTTCAATTGTCTCCCAGGAAGCTTTCTCTTGCTGAACAAATCTAGAAGTCTATGAACCTACACAACAACTTTAAAACAATAATGATAAATATATTAAAAATAATTAATTCAAAACAATCTAATTACATAAAAGACCAGACCTGTTTTTCCGATAGCCCAAAATGGAACTTGTTTGGTGAAAAGTAATTTTCTCTGATTGCATCCCGAAACTTGTTTTCTTTGAGAGGTTTACAGTCCCAAATTGGATTGAATTCAACCTGTAACAAAATATCATAAACAAATTGAGATCAACATATTGATCAAGCATTGAAGCTTCCCCTCAAATTCAAAATGAATCATTTCCTTTCGTTCAAGGTCAATAAATGACATATGAAGGTCATTACCTGAGCAGGAAATTGCCTCCCTGATGAACTGAAGGCGCTAGGCACAATATTCATGGCACCATCACAACATGACTTATATACACCATATAGCTCTCTCTTATCATACTCAAACAGAAATAAAAGCATTCCTGCTTTAACCTGTTTTACAAATGGGATATAACTAGATGGGAGGCCAAATAATCTTCTTTGGAAACATTCTTGTAGTGTTGCATTACTTGTCATAAAAATTGCACCAAAATCTGGATCTCTTCCAACAGCATCTTTGAGCTTACCATAAGACCCCATGGATACGGAATAACCTCTCTATAATATACTGTCACATTTGGGAAAAAAACATATAACAGGCTCCATGATTTGCATGATTTCTTTTCTTTTTAACAAAAAAAAAACAAATATTAATATTCACTTTTTAAAAAAAGAAAAAGAAAAGGGCACAAACGAGAAGGACAGTGATATAAAATATGACAAATATTACTCTAGAAGAAAATAGTTAAACAACTTTATGTTACTTTTTATTTCACTTCTTTACGTACATTTCCTTCTTGTGAAGGAAACCAGCCAGCACGTGGGAATATTTTAAATATTTTGCTTTAGCAAGTGGGCAGAGGTTTCCTTGTTGGGAAGGAAACCCCAAGCTTATAAATAGGTTGTCTCATGTACTAAGGATCACACTTGATGAATGGATGAAAATTATGAGTAAAGACTGATAGCCATCCCTTTCTCTCTGCGTTCAGCCTCTCCCTCTCTCGTTTCCCCCAATTGTTCTTGCTTTCTTCACTCTCCCTCTCTGTTCTTGTCCCCTCATCTTCCACTCTCTGTTACTGTTTCATCCCCCATTTCCCTTTCTGTTTGAATTAGTGTGAGTGTAAGTATGTTTGTTTTGCATGACAGGGTATCCTCCAAGGACAAGGTCAAAAATCTCAACAAACTAAAAAGGAATGAAAGTCAAACATGGAGCAATGCGACCCAAAACAGACATGCGACTGTAACAATCTGAGGTCTAATATCTCATGGAAACAATTGTCCTCTTACCTCATACAATAAAACACGGGTTTTAATTTGTCCCAATTAGTTTCATTATGCCTCTCGGTATGTCTACGATCCATTCCAACCAATTTCTTACTGTAAAAGCTCTAATTGACTTAACTCCAATTTCACTTTAACCATCTTTCCATTTTGCACTTCATTCCATTAAAACATTGGACAGTAAAAAGTCAAATTTAATTAGATATGAACTTCAAATATAAAAAGTGTCGATATGCATTCTGTTTTCTGATTTTTCCCTCGAAAGGCAGACTGGCCAAATTTCACATTCAAATAGAAGTAGAATCGCAGAGAATTTCAGTTTCTCAAATGCAACAGCACCAGAAAGCAAATTTTTCCAATATGATATGATTGAAATGGTAGATAGTGGTTCATAGATACCATAATACAGCTACTAAAATGTAAAATCAGTGTCCTTTCTGTTTTCGGTGGGCGACTGAAAATCAGTGTCGTTAAAACACACTGAATCTAACATTTTCTTAGATATCAGACAAGAAAAAAGACTACCAATGTTCCAACTAAATCACTGACAACTACTGAAATATTACGCATATTAATAAAAATATTTTAAAAATGAAAATAATGTATTCTTCTGGAGCTTTCCGACTCGAGACGTTAGAAACCAAGAAAATAACCGAACGCAATAAGCGAAATCATCAAACGAAACGATCAGGCAATGAACAAAAAATGAACGCGATTAAAATCGATCCAGAAACATAGGTAAAAAATCCAAGAGTTACTTTAACAACTTGTAATGCGGAAAGAAAAGAAAACACAGAGAAAAAGAGTTAGGAGGGGAAGATGCTCAACCAATAGTGCAGGAGATTCGAGGGCTAGTCCGATAATGCAAAACGGAGTGCTGAAGATGAAGAGGGTTCGAAGCAGAAACACGCCTTGGGCTGGGATGGTTACAGAGGGAGAGCCGAGAGCGTTTAGATTATAGAGAGAGAAATAGATTTTCTGTGAATGCGACGTCGACGTGGCTGTTTCCTTTTCGTATTCAGCGTTTTTGTGAATGACTGTAAATGTAAATATTTTATATATAAAGAATTCCCTGCCACCAATCAACTATTCACTATTTCCATGTCAAGACGTAATATTTTGATGATCCTCTTAATGTCTTTTCTTTTGGAAGATAATCTTTTAAAATTTGAGTTATCCATTATCAATCATTAGTTAAAGTTAATAATTAATAGTTAATTATTCATTATAGTTATTAACATATTATTTTTACTAGCATAAATATATATACATGTGTTATATAAAGAAACCTTTGGTTATTGGCACTATATCATCTATATAAATTTATAACAAGTTAAATTATTAAATTATATATCAAAACCAGATCCAGGTCATTGATTAGTCATTCGACCAACTTGGTTTGAATTATCTAACTATTTTAGTTGTTAGATCACTTTTGAAAGGTGGCTGGATAGTTAAATACTTAGCAATCATGAATTATTTTAGTCATTTTATATTATTTTATATTTATAATATTTTTTATTTTATTATTATATTATCAGTTTGACTATTTCATGCAAACTGTGAGCTGTTGACTTTTTTAATTTAATATTCGATCTTGTTCAGAAAACATTTTGAATAGCATCCATCTTGAAACCATTTATTAAGAAATACCTAATTTATATAAAAATAAAAATAAATAAGAGAGGATTTATAAATGTTAATTAACAATACAAAATAATTAGCATAAATAGTAGGCAAAAAAAGTAATTAGGATATTTTTGTGCATGAAGAAAACTTAATGAGGATGAATTTGCCTTTTTGTATATAAGGGAACTTTTGTATAAAGGTTCCTTTGCATATGAAGTAATTAAGATATTTTTGCATATAAAGGAACCTTTGGGTATTAGCACTATATAATCTATATAGATTTATAATGAGTTAAATTATTAAATTATACATCAAAATCAGACCAAGTTGTTGATTAGTCACTCAATCAACTTGGTTTGAACAATCTAATCATTTCAACTATTAGATTACTTTTGAAAGGTGGCTGGACAGCTAAATGCTTAACAATCATGAATTATTTTAACCATTTTATATTATTTTATATTTATAATATTTTTTATTTAATTATTAGGTTATCAATTTGACCGTTTCATACGAATTGTGAGCTGTTGACTTTTCTAGTTCAATATTCAATCCTATTTAAAAAATATTTTAAACAGTATCCATCTTGAAACCATCTATTAAGAAATGACTAATTTATATAAAAATGAAAACAAATAAGAGAGGACTTATACATATTAATTAACAATAGAAAATAATTAGCATAAATAGTAGGCAAAAAAAGTAATTAGGATATTTTTGTATATGAAGGAAACTTAATTAGGATGATTTTAACTTTTGCTATCTTAAACCTTTTAATTTAATAGAGAATATTTTTAGTATCTTGCCAAAAATATATATAAGTGTACAAATTAAACAAATTTTTACAGGTTTTTTATTCTAAAATGATAAATAAAATATATAAAATTCTCTCTTTGATTCTTTTTATAAGTAACATTTTAAAAGATTTTTATTTATCCTTTATATAAACCACTTTCTCTTGATTTTCATGCCATTTGACATACAATTCTAAAATACCTTCTAACAAATTCTAAAAGAAGTGTCATATTTAAATTTTAAAAATAAAAAACCTTTGCACACTTCGGATTACTCTTTTTTAAATATAGAAATAAAATTAAAAAGTAATTTATTTTTAAAACAATTTTATTATTTTAATTATTTCACCTTAATTTCAGTTAGTTAGAAGTGACTTATAAAAATAATTTTAAAAATATGTCATTAATAAGTTAGTTGAATACAGTCTTTTTTAAGCTATTAAAGTAGCACGCTATGTATTATATTGTATTCTTTTCTGTCCGTTAATTCATAAATCATGGCTAAACTTAAGTGTATTTATTATGGTTAAATTTATATTATCAAACATCTTAGTAAAATTATAGTATAATATATATAAATACATTTAAAAAACAATAACAATTGATCATTAATTTATAAAAGTTATGAGATAATTTTCAAAAAGTAACAATTTCATATGTTTTGATCAGATCCATTGATAACAAAAATATAGATGATTAGTTTTAAATTCTTTTATATTAAAAAAATAAGCTACTTTTTTGGGGGGCATGACTTATTCAAAGGTTCTTTTTTTTCCTTCTTCAACTCATTTCAAGTTTATAATTACATCATACTATTTTACCATTGTAGTACGGTATATTCAAATAGAAAACAGCACTAAAGCCCAAATAAGGGGGTCAGAGTTGTTGGAAAACAGGTTGGTGTTGCACTCACTTAGTCACCGACGATCCAAAAGCCAAATAGAAAGTAAGAAGAAGGACTAGCTACCCTGTGCCCATGTGGTTAGAGCTGGGACTCAGAAAATGAGATAAAGAAAAGGAGGAGGGCAACCTGAATGCCTGATGGGAAAAATAAAACTACAAGGTGTGCCACAATTCAAACAGTGCGCTCCTGTATCACTTTACGTTTTGCATGTGACATAGTTCTACTTAACCTGTCTTAATATCTTATTTTCCAATCAGCAGGAGGCTCAAGAATCCTATTCTCCTCGTATGCTCCAGATATTTCACTTGGGAAGGAAGGAGGCGGAGTGGTGGACACAATCAGCTTTCCACAAAAATTCTCATGGAGATACCCATTCTCCACTGTAGCAATTTGGCAAGCTTAAAGTCTCTCTTCTGATCAGCCCATAAAGGATAATCTTTCTTCTTCCTCACCTCCTCCATTAAAGACATCCCCTTGCCTTAAGCCGTAATTTGAGTAGTTTAAACTTTAAGGCTCCCTCATTGTTTCTTATCCCCAAAACACCATCCAACTAACCCAAGGTCCACATCCAGAATTTACAGCATTGACTGGTGGAAGAGCACTTTGGCACCAGAGTATACAGTTTTGGCATTATCTGCATGAGGAAAATAATTCATATATACATAAAACGAATTACTTGACATTCATATGAATTTGGTTATAACTAAAATACATAGCTTGAAACCTTACCTGCTATAGCCGCCAGACTGATAGCAGAAGGGACGTTAGCCTCAACCTCAACAGCAGCTTTAGCTACGGCAATGCCTATAGATACACTCTGCATAATATCCAATCCTGCACAAATTGATGCGAGTGTTCCACCAACTAAACAATCCCCAGCCCCAGTCAGCCTCACAACTGATGCAGGGAGTGAAGGAAAATGAACAGCAAAAAGACGAGAGCTTCTATCAGGCTCTGAAACACCAAAACACCAATTTGGTGGACACTTTTGCATAATGATCTTATATAAATTTTCACTAGAGCCACTTCGTGTGGTTTTCTTTAGAGGACTTCTAATGTGGCTTGGCCCTCCTTTACAGCATAACAGCACCCCTTCTGAGCCAAGGGTCACAACAACCACTTTAATACCTTTCTCTAGTAAAACCCAGATTGCAGGTTTCAGCATATTAAATAAAGATACTGTTGACAGGTTATGATTGGCTTTAAGAGGATGAAATACATCAGCACCAAATAAAGCATTTGCCATGGCAATGAGCTCATCTTCATTAGGAGAAGTATAAGTTACCTATACAAAATGTCATGCGTCAGAGAAGCAATTTGATATTTGGTCCAGCATATGATGATTATAAGCCAGAATTGAAAATTTAAAAGTAACTATGCTAATTAACTTAAACAAGTATGACATACGATATAAAGTATACAAGTTTTGAGTGGATTCTACCAAGAATTGAAATCAACGCAAATTGATATGATACATAATGATAATCTGAATGAAAATGATGGCTGTTGACACCGCAACAACTGTTTCAGAATATTACACTCACTAATTTTTCAAAAATTCTTTCAACGAAACCATTTCAAGAAATCTTAGAGAGAAAATAAACATTGTATATAGCTTAGCACTTACATTCTTGACAATTGAAGTAATTCTTTTGGATTTGGTAACTGACACTGGCTCAAACCAGACAGGACACTCTGAGTCTGCTGCTACTGAGAAATGCCAATATTTATGTATAGAGATGAAGTAATATTGATCAGTATTTATAATCCACCAAATCAGACAGGCAGAAAAGAAGAGAATTAGTAGTGCAGCATCACATTATTTACTTTTGCAAGACGCTCGTAGAGAAGGAAGATTCAGATTTGCATCAACCAACAACAATGGAGCAGTATCTATGGTGCTCTTGAAGTGCAAGATCCAGTCTGGTGTCAGATATTTCTCCTGCAACAACTAGACTTTATAGGCATTCTTTTTCCTGTCTCTTTTTATTCCCGTCTATTTTTAATACCACTACTATCATTTTACAAACATATAAGGCAAATCTTCAGGCTTATGATAAGTTTGGTAGTTACTTCTTAGCATGATACATGAAGAAAAAACCCACTTACAATAGCTTCCACACTAGCAACACCTGCTGCTACTTCACCATTAGCATCAAATACATTACAAACAACTGGAGTCTCAATGTCACTGTCCTTCAAAATACCTACCTCAAATTCAACAATGTAAAATAAATCATTAATAGGCTTTTAAATTTGTTTTTTCCTCCGGACACAGAAAAAGAGAACAAGCTTGGACAGCTTTGGGGGGGGAGATTACAGGAAAACTGAAGAAAAAGGGAACAGTATTACCATGTGCGTGGTTATTAACAGATCTATATGATAAATAGTCACGAAGATAAGAGATCTCACCTTCTATAGATAGTCCAGCAGACTTCCACCGTTCAAACAAGAGATTTCCTAGTTTGAAAAAAATTAAAAAAAGAAAGAAAGAAAAGAAAAGGCCAAAATTTGGTGAGTTTTTTTCCCTACATTTATTTGGCAAGTGCTATTCTGATCAAAATTCCTTTTAACATACACATCCTAATCAATTAACCATATAAGCTTCTTGCCTAATTCACATAACAAGTATAACTTCATATTTAAAGGCATATTAGATCGAAAGTGTTGCAAATTTTAGATAATTTATATATAGACATGAGTGAATGTATCATCAATACATCTTATCTCTCAGTTTCTGGATGCTAACTCTTACATGTACAAGAATATGCATTTCTGACAGGAGTAGAGGCACTATTCAAATAGAGCAACTTCTTCAAGGTATTATATAATATTATTTTTCCTTCAAAGAAAAGCAACATCGTGCATTTGTGTGTGTGTGTTTGAGGTTCAAATAAATTAGTAAAATATATCTCTGAAAATATACAAGAAATTGCGTTCGAGGCCAATTAGAGTTGTAGTAAAATTGAGCCTATGGATGTGGTAAATACTGTATTTTTCAATGGCAGTGAAAAATTGATGGACCCCATGGCACGGGTGGCATAGCATTAATGGCAACGAAGCCTGAGGATGGTAATCATGAGCATGGTGACATAGAAGGAGCCCAATTCTTCCAATCCAACGTACCTAAAGACCCATTACAACATATTGGAGGTCCAATGACAAGAGCCCGAACCAAAGCCATGAAGCAAGCCTTGTTCAGCCTTGTGCAAGAAGTTCAAGAGCTTGGAGAGCATTGGGGCACTCCTCTCAAGCCCAAAGGAGAGCATCTATACGTGTAGAATGTATTTAAGATCCAAACTCATGAAGAGTCAAGCCCAAGAGATGCAGACCTTAGCCCAATACAAGGAAGACTACAAGTTGAGCCTCTTGCAAGCAAGGAGGCATGAAACCCTAGTAAAGAAGTTAAGGGTGGCGTGATTTTAAATCCTTTATGATCCCTTGATTGCCTCCTAAATTATTTCCTATTTTAATGGTCCTTTGATTTAATTTTCTATTTTGAGTCTAGTCAAAGGTTAGAATTAATTATAATATTAATTTCTAAATTTTGTAATCCCATAATTTTAGGATCACATCTCCTAAATTATGTGGCTGAATATTTTATCATTATTTTATATTATTTCTCCTTTTAGTATTAGGAAATTAGGGCTTTAATTTTAGAAAATATTTTTCTATGAGCTTATATAAATTAGGCATGCTCCCTATTGTAAGCAACACAGAAGTTGAATGAAATTATTCATTTTAGAGTTTATAACTCTTGTGAGCCTCAGTGCTTTGTGGTGGTATCCCGTGTGAGAAACAGACGTGATCAAGAGCGTGATCAACTCTTGTGGTGTCTTCAAAGGTTGAGGTTCCTAGAGGCAGGTGCTCTAGAGGATCTTCTCCTTGAATCATTATCCTATTGTTTACTTCATACCTTTCTTTATTTCCGTCATAAATTTCGTCCCTTTCTTTTTGTTCTTGTGTTTTTGTTGTTTCAAGGTTCTGTCCCTAAACTAGCACAATTCTGCTTCCGCGTCCCTATAAAAAATGTAAAGTTCAATGATAAAACATTTACCTGGCATGTCAAGCCCGACAGCACTAATCATGTATGGCTTTGCTCCTAGCTTTGACATGCACTCTGCGACATTCCTTGCTACACCTCCTAGGATATAACGGACCTGAAAATTCTCTATTAAAATGAGGTTGAAAAAGAGATAAAGAACAAAGTGAAAATAAAAAGAAGAAACTAAATCCTCCGTTAGCTATCAAAATCTGATAGCCCATCATCTTCATTAACATAATCAGCTTGAAAGTAACCACTGAATCAAGGGTTCATATCTTTCTAGTTGACAATAAATGGGACGCTTCCATTAAGAGTATTGCACATCTTCATGACCACATTTTTATCTTTGAGATCGTGTACATACAAGTAACACACATACAGAGAGAACAGAGAACAAGGGAAGAATAAAGCTCATAAAATACACCAAATGGGAAGTTAGTTTATTCTTTGAGAGAGGAATATTTGACTAACCCTGCCGGGAGTAGTAGTCCTTGGATTTGCTGGCATGGAAGGGGTGGCGTGAATATCCAGAACCATGCCCCCAATTATTACTGCTTCTGCGCCACCATGTTCCATTTGTCTACCTGTTAGCAAGATCCTACGAACCAAGAACAAAAGATTATAGAAGCGGTATAAAATTTAAATTTTAAAACGCTATGTCAACCAGAGGAAGAATGAAATAAGAAAAACAGATACAAAACATATACAAGATGGGTTTTCTCTCTCTTTCCTTTTTGTTTTGTTTTTTGGTACGTGAGATATTTCCTTTCAAAACAAGTAGAAATCATTTTTTGAGAGGCTCGTAAAAGGAAAAAGAAAATACAATAATATGAATGCCGCATGCGCATACTGATCGACCAGTTATCCTCTTCAAATAAATCCTTTTCACAAAGGCAATACATCAAACACCTGTTATTCAATGCTGAGAAAAAGAGACCACCGAAAGAAGAGGGTCATCCAGAAATCCAACAAAGGCAAGATGTCATTACTTTTGCAGTGTAGAGGATTTTTCAATTAGATTGGGACCAATTTAACTCACCCCTGCTGTACAAGATAGAAGGCAAATGTCTTCTTCCTAAGGGAACCAAACCGAGAACTATGCAACGAAGATTAGTAGATATGAAGTCAAATCCAAAGGGTGAAAGAAGCAGAAAACATGGCGGAAGCTGAGCCGGTAGCGGTAGGAGAGAACATGGTCAGCACAAAGTACCTGACCCAGCACAATTGAGTCACTGGCCAGTGAAGTGCAGAACCATTGACCACGACACGAGGCGACTCCTAATCATCTGCCTTCGCCCGAGTTAGATGGATCCACATCTGGTGCCGTGGCTTTTTGTGCAGTGGTTGGAAAATATGTGATCATGACCGTGCAATTGAGGGATAAAAAGACTTTTCAAATACAATTTACAAAGCATATGTTTATCAAGATTTAAAATTGGATAAAAAACAGTCAGGAAAACTCAATATCTTAAAGTAGAGAAAATAATATACCCATAACATTATATAAATAGGTGTAAAAGTGATCAAACTATTAACTTTGATCTAGTGCCATTAACTTTAATCATTAAATATTGACTGTGCATGCCATGTGTCAGTTTTTGCTAATGTGGACTAATAAAACAATGAAAATACCTACAAAATCATCAACCAGGAATAAAAATATCCACAAAATTATCATCCAAAAGTAAAAATACCCATAACCTTTTCAAAGTTAATGCAAAAGTGATTAATTTATCAAATCCCTTAAATGTTGATCGTTTAGCTAACACCTAAGTAGAAATTAACCATTTTTTGTTGATATGAATAAAAAATATTCCTAAATGAAATTCTTCGAAGATTATTCGATCATTGTATGAATATTATATGAAAAAATATCATTTTGACTAAATATTAAATTAAATCGTTTGTTTCTTTACAATAGTAGTGAAAACCATTTGAAAATTTTAAACCCATCATAAATGAAATTGTTTAAAGTTGTGACAATATTCTTAAGGTAGGGCTGTATAAGAGGTACGCTCAGTTTCGATCTTTGATTATGTATAACCTATCTCACTATATTGAATATCAAGATTTTACAAACAAGAAAAATAAGTGAAAAATGAGGAAGGAATGGGGTGAGATATGTGGCAATGAATTTTAACAGATTGGTCACCATTATATATACTAAAGTAACATTATAGGTATTTATGTGATGATCGATCAACATTTGTAAAAATTCATTTGAGAACATTTTTTGTCTATATCAACAAAAAAATAGTCAACTTTTATTTAAGTATCATCTAAATGGTCAACATTTAAGGGATTTAATAAATTGGTTACTTTTGCACTAACTCTTTAAATGTTATATATATTTTTACTCTTGGTCGATAACTTCGTGAGCATTTTTGCCCCTTTATTAGTCCACATTAACAAAGACTGACATATGGTATGTATAGTTAGCATTTAACATTCAAAGTTAACAGCGTTAGGTTAAAGTTAACGGTTTGATCACTTTTGCACTCACCCCATGTAACATTATGAATATTTTTGCCATTTTCCTCACTTTAAGATGCTGAGTGTCTTTGATTGTCTATTTTGTGAGTATTTTTGCCCATTTACACTTTAAAATTTTTATTTTTATTTTATATCTATTAAAAATTTATAAAAATTACAAATTTTTTTAATAAATCTGTTAATCTCCAACTCAAACATTACAAATTTAATTCAAAAGAAATTATTAAGCCAACCAAATGTGCCATATCATTTATAATCTGTTTAATTAGTAAAGTCAACAAAATAAAATCTCATATGACATTATTTTAATTAATTTTATTCTTATAACACAAGATGCATTTAATTTTTTATATTTTTTAACTATCATTAATATCAAAATTAATTTATATTTAATGTTTTCTGAATGTCATGCTTTTATTAAATAGACCACAAATGACATAGTATACTTAGTTTATATAAATTTTTTTAATTTGGACAATCAAATTGAATATTATTTTTAAATTTTTATAAATTGACTATCTTAACATACTATTAACAGTTCATATAATAAATTTTTATATGATAAATACAATATGAAAAGTAAAGATAATACCTGGGAACTTTGTAAAAAAAAATTTAAAAAAATTATAAGTTAACAATTTTGACAAATTAATTTTATTAAAAATATAAAATATGATTGTATGCTTTGCAGAAAATCTTTTCACGCACCTCTCCCTCCTCCTTGGTCGTTGGATAAAATTCGGTCATGTTTCTTTGCCCTTTTTCTTTTATTTAGGAAAAAAAATTACAGACAGCCAATAGGTATATCACCTAAAGATTCCAAGGGATGCGAGAATAACTTGGAAAAAGCATTTGAAATGATTAAAATGCCTCTCTAATAACCATTGATCACATTTCCTTTTTATTTTAACCATCTTTAGCTCTAAAATAATACTCCATCCGTCTTAAATTATAGAACATTTTTAAAAAAGTTTTTTCATTTAAAAATATAAGACATTTTGAATAAATTAATGTTTCATTAAATGCATTAATTTTAATATTATTTTTTCTTTATTTATAATTAATTTTCGTCCCTTCTCTTTTTACTATATTAAATGATGGATATTTTTAGAAGTTTATATTTTTATTTTAGAAAGATAAGGTTGTTAAGTCTATTTAATAAAACTTATTGATATATAAAATTTTGTCTAAAAGTGTTTTATAATTTGGGACAGAGGGAGTGGTTTACAATATTTTAAATATTAATTTAATTTAATTTATAAGTTCTCTTCCATGATTTATGCATAGACTATATCCTTGTTTTGTTGCACAAGCCGGTTAAATTTGAGGGACTTGGATCTATAGTCTCACTTAAGTTCATTCATTTAATTAATATCTCAATTATAATTATTAAATTCCATTAATTTTTTGAAAATTATTAAGATATATTTCTTAATAAAATTTCAGAACTATTCTCATGATCAAAACAACATTCACATATGCTCGTCCCTTCAAAAAAATTCATAAAAGCCATAGGTCTAATTTGCGATCTGATCTGAAAGGTGAAATTTAATGTTTTTTGGACATTAAATGACAAGATTTTTGACAATCATTTAGTTAAATGGACAATTACTATTGTATTATGGCGAACACTTATTGAAAACAAAATCCAAATTTTAGAACTTTATTTCTGAGGCCCAAAATGATAAAGGAAGAGTAATAAAATTTTTTGGAAGGGACAACAATCAACATATATAAAGGTTGTTCTATCTGTGAGAGTAGTTTTGAATGAAATCTTATAACTATTGTTTATACATGTATATTGTTTTATACTAAAAGTTTGGAAGCGAACCACTAAATATTTGAATCAATTGGTTAAAAAGCTGATATAGTTGACCTAAAGATTTCAAATTCAAGTCATGATATAGAACAATGATTAAATCTTCAATATCAAAAACTTGAAATATCAGAGTTGGTTCAGCGTTCATGACAGAGAGTGCATGGCTCTTGTAGAAGCTGTGAAACTAAAGGATATTTTTAAAGATTGTCTTAAGATTTATAGGGGAGTGAAGAATCTGGATGATGTGGGCTGTGAATGGGAATGCTTTGATTTGCTGCAGAAATGTTTTGGGCTGAGGGGCTTGTCTTTGTCCCTTTGGTGTCCTGTGATGGTAATAATGCTGCTAATCACATGGCACCTTTGGTGATGCAAAGTACGGTAACCATAAGGATGGCTTTGTCAGCCACCACCCTCTCTCTGGTTTCTGTTTTGCAGAAGGATCCATGTAGCAAGAATATTGATGCTGCGAAGAAAATAGGTATTAGCTAATTGATTAGGCTTGCTTTGTTGTGGTCCGGTTTGTTACTTTTCTTTGTTATTTTGTCCCTTTTGTTTGTGGTGGGTTGTACCTGCTTTTTGCCCTTGAGAGGCCCCACTCACCAACTTCTTTTTTTTTTTCAAAAAATGTCTTCCAATTTTTATTTACCATGAAGCATGGGCGTATAGCCTGAAAAATATGAGCTCCCCATCATTATATAATATAAATGATTGTGATTATTATTTTTAAAAGATCATAATGTATTGCTGTTTCTAAAGTTTTTAATGCGAATTTTAATTTTATTTTTTAATAATTAGTTACCATTATCAATTTTTTGCAAGTTTTAAATTTTTTCTTAGATTTTTTTTTTTGGGAAAAATCTGTGGGTTGGCTCTCACCGAACGCCACAAGACTCTCATAATCAACTGATTGGATTCTAACCTGAAACTCCAAAGAAGTAACAAAAAAATGAAAACAAAAACAAAAACTACAGTCTTATTTTTCACCAACCCTACAATATTCGACCACCCTCCTGTGATGACCACAGTGTTTCATTTGAAGAGAAAATGGCTTCCAGACTTCTGTGGGCTTCAAGGGCTGCTTCTTACCTCAGAATCTCTGTCTCTCACAGAGGCTTCGCCACTGGTAATGTATCCTTCTTCTTCCTTCATCGTGCACACATCATTTCATCGTCATTTAACTCTCTGGTAACTTGTATTATATTTGTGCATGCTTCGATTATTGATCTTGATCCGTGTGTCAGTGAATCTGCTTGATCTATGCTTCTCACTATTTAACATTCATAAGCTTGCACCGATGCGTACCCTTTGATCATCATTGTAAATTTGGGAGGCTTTGTGATCATTGCGTTCTTCTATCTCCGTTTCTCATTTGTGATTTCGAATGATTCCCATCGCTTATGCTGCTTTCGTCCCTGAATAGCGATCTGGGTCAGATTCATGCTCGATGTGGCTTTCTTGACTGCGATAACAACTGTTCGACCTTTATTCAGTCCTGTTTTGTCGTTTTTAGTGTCCTCTGGTGATAGGAACTTCCTGGTGAAGAAGAATAGAGAAGTGCTTGTGGGATTAAGAAAGTTCACGAGCATTAGCATCTCCAATCTTAGGTCTAGTTATTAGTTTTACCACTAAAACGTAACCTGATAAAAATTTTATTCTGCCGGTGTTAAGCTGTAAAAAAATACATTTACATGATATAGTAATATTGACATAATTGATAAAAACATTTAAAAACCGAATTTAGATTGTTCGGTGCTCTAGAGTGCTGTAATTGTCGGTATTGCTTTATTTTCTAATTTTGGTCGAAATGTGTAATTTATAATGAGTACAAGCGGTAGTCTGTGGATTGTGGGTGCACATGGTGGGTCTTGTTTATGTTCAGCTTGGTTGGTTTGCGATAGAGAGGAGAGAGGGACAAGTTGAGGACTCAAAGGATAGAGACTCAAGAAACTAAAGGATTTTAAAACACCCAAAATAGAGGCTGGTTGTGATACTACATGTGTGCAGGGATCACCATTAATTTTAAGCTTAGCAAACTGTCACAATTAGTATCTCCCCATTATTTTCTCTTTGTAGTTCATAATTTGTTATTTTCATAATTTGCTTTCTGTCTAATCCTCCCGTCTAATATTTCTCTCTCTGTTTTTTTAGGGTTCTTTGTATATCAAACAAGTAAAAAGTTGTTTTGTATTGCATAAAATCTGTATTTAGATGGAGTATATTCTATCATTAAATGTATATCATTGTCGCTCAGTCACACTGCCATGCCGGCTAAAGCAATATTTAATTAGTGATCTCTCTGCATGCACATGCGTCCCTATATGGTTCGTCTTCCAAAAAGTTGGCTGATGAACATCTATTCAGCCAATCCGAAGGAAGCATCTCAATTGGTAGATGAGATAATATCTCTGCTTATGAATTTGGATTCGATTCCTTTGGGAGCATGCTTTGGGTAATATCCTAAATGGACTGGGTTAATATCCTAAATGTAATACAGAAAGAAATATTCCACTAAAGGGTCCCTCATGTGACTGCCCTTTTATTGGAATTGATACAAGAAGCAACAATGAAAAGTCGTCTAAAAGATTTGTGAGAAACCTATGTGCTTATTGTGCTTACCTTCTCTGTTATTTCTGCAGTTCTGAAAGATCTGAAGTATCTTGATTCCCATGAGTGGGTTAAGGTTGATGGAAATTCTGCAACTGTTGGCATAACTGATCACGCCCAAGATCACTTGGGTGATGTTGTATATGTTGAACTACCAGAAGTGGGAGCATCCGTGACACAAGGACAAAGTTTTGGTGCTGTTGAAAGTGTTAAGGCTACTAGTGATGTCAATTCTCCCGTTTCAGGAAAAGTGGTTGAAATTAATGAGAAGCTGGAAAGCTCTCCTGCTTTGGTGAGTCTCGTTATCTTATTAAGTATTTACTTGAAAGACAGAATTAGTTCTATTTCGTGGCTGATTAATTCATAGAAGATTAAATTCACCTTAATTGAACTTTTTAAACCTGCAGACAGTGGTTTCTATTTATACAAAAACCTTCGATTAGTTAACATAATAAGTATGACAAAACTTGTGTGTGGTTTCCAGAAGATGTTTGTTACCGGGTTTTCTCACAAGAACCTAATACGTGCACATTTTGTAATCCCTACATACTTGATAGATTGTTGCGTGTTTATATCCTCTACATCACATTTTCTTCTCCAAAATCCAAATAGGCTAATTCAATGCATCAGCACAGTTCCACAGAAGGCCTTCTAGATGCATAAAGTAGGGGGGGGGGATCTGAAAATAAGAGTAGTGGAATGTTTTAAAATTAAAAGGGGTGTTAGTGAAGGTTCTACTTATTTCAGAGGATGTTCTATGATTTATAAATTGAAAGTAGAGGAGCGTGTGTATAGATGTCGAAATCCATTTGAAGTGAAAATAAGACTAGTGGAATGTTTTGAAGTTAAAAGGGGTGTTAGTGAAGGTTCTACTTATTTCAGAGGATGTTCTATGATTTATAAATTGAAAGTAGAGGAGCGTGTGTATAGATGTCGAAATCCATTTGAAGTGGAATCCTCTTCGCTTATCTGAAGTTGTCACCATAAACCATTGATTCAAATTCATAGAGAAAGTGGTTGACTCTCCGAGAAAGATGACAATGAATTTGTTCTCAATCCCAAGTGTTTTTCTTTGTCTGTAGATCAACTCAAGCCCTTACGAAAATGGATGGATCATTAAAGTTGAACTGAGTGACAGTGGTGAACTCAACAAGCTGATGGATTCAGATCAGTACTCCAAGTTCTGTGAAGAAGAAGATTCCAAGCATTGATGATAGTCTTCTTCTCAGGATTTTTCGGGACTATGCATCCAAGAAAGTAGAACGGGTTAATTTGGGAATCCTCAATATTGCCTCTTTTCTTTCTTCTTTCCCCCGTGTTTTGACTTGCTTTTTCTCTGGTTTCACGATAGCTTCAGATTCGGTGGAATGGAATAAAAATCTTTGCTTTTTCTCCTAAAATTTCAATGGACGGATAAAATAAATAAAAATAAAAATAAAGCACGTATGACTAAAACTTGAAGTAGTACTTGTACCAATTTTTACTAGGTTACTTGATCGTGAATGAGTGCTATAGCTGAGTCAAGGGAATTACGTAACCTTGATAAGATTATTAGTCCCCACATTTTTTTCAAATCAGTTACAATTTACGAGGACTCTGCCTTTATGCTTTATGCTTTCCTCTCTCTCTTTTTTTTAAATGAATAATATAAAATAAAAATTAGCACAGGTTTTATAATTTTAATTGTAGGGAAAACATATGTTTTATTATTGGTTCTTGTATTTTTTTTAATATTTTAAATTCCTACAAAAAATAAAAATTAGGACGGATTCTATAATTTTAATTTTAGAAAAAACATATCATGTTTTATTATTGGTTTTTGTATTTTTTTTCAATATTTCAAATTCCTACAATTTTTTCCTTTGAAATGCGAGTTCATCTATCTTTAAATGTGCCGAAAGGGATGATGATGTAGTGCTAGCACAAATGGGGTTAAATAAAGGCATTTGATGCATAAGGTCAATGTGTAGGAAATAATTGAAAATTATTTGTCAACGCTGACAAGCATGTTGCTGCGAGTCCAAAACAGTCTTTATCATAAAGCAATCACTTTTTTTCTTTTGATCAATTTCAAATTGCTATTTTTTTTATTCTATTTTTAAATCATTTTTAATATGTTTTATTAGTATTAAAAAAATTTTAAAACTCATTAACTTTGTTTTAAAATTTAATAAGTTATCAACTTTACCCCTATTAATATACATATTTTAATAATATATTTTTTCTTTTCAACATTCAATAGAAGGTAAAAAAATTTTTATGATAAAAATTTAATGACGTGATTTATAAATAGGATCAAAAAAATTTTACTTTATTTGCCCTATAAATAGGACCAAGGGGAGTAATTTATTGTGTTTTAAACATGTTAGCATCCTTCAATGATGCTAACATGTTAGCACTTAGTGTCAAACAAATTTAGAGAATTTATCAATTAGAGCCTCGCTTTCTTTTAGACAATACCTTGAAATTCAAGTGCATTAACTCCAATGATGATTTCTCTCTTAAAAAGCCTTATAATGTGAGTTGGTTTTGGAAAGGCAATTTTGAATTAGCTGACACTGTTACCTCACACATTTCTTGGCAAGTAAGTAATGGTAGTCTGATCCCTCTCCCTCATGGTAAATGGTGGAGACTTACAAATGTGGTTTCTATGCATGAACGGTAGCCAAATATGATTTCTATCCTGATTATTCCTTCTCATCAACCTTGGCAAAAGGTAAGATGGAATCTCTACTTAATGAAATATATAGATCTGGGATTGTTGATCAAATACTTCAAATAGCCCTCTCTTTCTTTGACTGCTTGGATAAATTGGGTATGGGGTGTCTCCCTTTTTTTATCATCCCTTTCTCATCCATTTCCATAAAACGATGCTGTCTGGACGGCTAAAAAATATACTGAAAGCAATAAGGGAGAGGATCTCTCACCGCTATCCGTCTTTCGCACGACTAATCTTCTTCTTTTTCCTGATTAAGGAGAGAAGGTAACTAGAAAAAGGACCCTCTCTCTCTCTCCCTAGGTACACCAATCTACTCCTCCTTTACTTATCATACGCCTGCTTAAAGATTGAATATATATTTGTTATTGAGATTAATTGAACAAATAGTGAGTAGAACAATTGAAAGAAAAGAACTTGTATATTAGTCTCTACCTTTTTGTCAATGAAATCAAATCAGAATCTGGCTTGAGCTCGATTGTAAGGATCTAAAGAAAAAAAGTAGAGCTTTGTCTTTCCAAACCTGGTTGATGTACAACATGATAATGGCAGATTCGAAAACGGGCTTTCCATTAAGGATTGGAATTGGATTTTTCTTATAAATCGAGTTTGTTTGCAGAAGCAAAGGGCTGTTGTCCTTCAAATTCTCTTCCTTGTACTCATACTCCACACTCTTCTCTTCTAAAGCGGTCCTAGCTCTCATTCCAAAATTCCCGCCCATGTTATCTAGCAGAGCTACCCCCCTCTACCATTATTTAGCTCGATCCTATTTCGTTTGAGCGTGTCAGAGTTAGAGACCCTTCAGTGAATTAGAAAGTATCCAAGGATCAAGAAACACATTATTTGCTAATTAAGTGTGCTTGATAGGTGATGAAGATAAGCTTGGTGATAAAATCAAAACACACAAATTAGTTGAATCTAGGAAGAAAAAGGAGAGTAGTGTTGTCAAGAGGGAGACGACAGGTAGCGAGAAATCCTTTCTTTAGTTGCTTTCGGTATTTTTTGTCTAAGACAATACAAACGGCATCATTTTGTGGAAATGGAGGAGAAAAGGATGGTAGGGAAGTGGAGAGACCCTGCACCCTTCATAAATTGGTATGGATGAATGGCTCCTATCTTGTAAAAAGGGGTACAAGATTCTATCCACTCCTCACCATGATGCCAACATTTGGTCCTTCCTTTGGACATTAAATCTTCCTTAAAAGACTCTGTCCTTTATTTGGAAGCTTGTTCACAAAACTATTCTTTCTCATTCAAGATCTATTATAGGTTTAATTGATTAGATCATCTTTACATTGGAAGCTCTATATTGTGGTAAGAAGATTCAAGAGCTAGAAGGAATCTTCCTTCTTTACCATGTTATTTGGTTTAAGATAAATCAAACCTTTCATGAGCTTTCAATTCCACACCATCTCAAGTTATTTGAGAATTTAAAGGACAATTAAGCTTTATTTACAATCCCTATCAATGGAAGCCCTCATCATCCACGTTGGTGACTAACAACCACACAACAGGGGTCTTGAATTCTTCAACTTCTAAATTGCTACAAGCCAACGGTTCACTTGTTTCTAGGAACAAATGGATAATTAGGATCACAAAATTCGAAAAAGGAAGACTTACTGTGGATCTCAAATCCTATTCAATGGCGATGAGTTAAGTAAGTTCTTGATTCGAAAAGCCAATTACAAAAATCCTCATCCCCTTGTGCTTGCATGGTTGAGAGTAATTCTTCACTAGATCTTTAACTTCATAAGTAATCTCGATCACGCTAACAATTTGGGCCACGTTGTCATTCTTGCTCACAGGGGAAACTTCAAACTTTTGAAAGACAAAGTTGATTATTTTGCTCAAGATGTTTGTCATTTGTCAGGTTACTTTGCTTCTATTTTGATCAAGAGGCAACAACTACAATACCTTATTGATCTTTTTTCTATAATTGTCCTCTTTTATTTATGTTTGATTTGCAAAACTTCTTTTTATGCCAATATATTCATTTGACTTTCTTAAAAAAAAAACATGTTAGCATCCCCATTAATGTTGCTAGTTATAGATCAAATATTTTAATATTGTTATTAGCATCATATTATCATCACTCTAGGAATATTTAAAAGCAAAGAAATTAATGTTGTAGACAAAAAAAACTAAAAAAACCTGAAACATTAAAAAAAAATACAGAAACTAATAACAAACACCATAAACTAAAGGGATTAATAGTTATGTTTTTCTGTGTGAAGTTGGGAAAAAGAGCTACATCATTCACACATACATTTGAACATTTTTATATATGATAAAAATGACGATGTATTGTTAATAATTTTTTTAACAACAAAATTCAATTGATTTTGTTGAGATAAAAATATTTTAAAAAATTAATATGAAACAAATACCACATAAATCTGTGCAATTTGATAACTAGTGATGTTGTTGAGATAAGAATATCATTTTAGAAAACTTTGAAGAAAGCGCATAGACATAGATGTGGATATACATTTTTTTTGGTAAACATAAATATTGATACATTATATTTAGACATAAATAAACCAGAATATTGATATTTTTATTTACATTGAATTGATATACTATATATAATTTAAATTTTCTGTTACAATATAAAAAAATCTGTTTACATTGAATATTGAATTTATTATTTTTATTGTTTTTATATTTTTTATTCAAGTTTCATTGCATGGGATCATTATTACTTATTATCATTGATGGCTTTCCAAGTATCTTGAATATACTTTTGATATATTTATAGAAAAACATAACTTTGGATCTAGGTCCTCACACTTTTATTTTTTAATATTTTAGATTTTAAAATGAACAAAATGTAGAAATCTTGAATGGACATAGAACATTAAAAAATAAAAGTGTAGGGACCTAGATCACTAAAAAAGTGTAGGAATCTATAAAAAAAAAATGTGAGCAAAGTGCAATGATTTAAAGTTATATTTTTATATATATTTATTTGACATGGCTTTATATTCGAGGACTTGAACTTAATACTAGGATAAGTTGATTCAATTTTTCTATATTTCCAAAGGGGTGGATAATTTATTGAGAAAATGACAATAAAATAATTTTGAATTATATAAATAATAATTTGATATTTCTCAAAAATGTAATAATTTCACTAAAGTCTAGGAACTTTGCTATCATTAATTAATTTATATAAATGACAAAATTGCCCTTATTGAAAATAAAAATTCTGATATTGCTACAAGTATTGAAAATAATAAGTAATGATAACAAGTCTTATTTAAATAACCACAACTTTTCTTCTTATGTTAACAATAATACAACAATAAATCACAACTTTGCATGTCAAAATCTTGATATTACTACAAGTGTTGGAAATAACAAGTAATAATCATAAGTTTTGTTTAAATAATCAAAACTTTTCTTATTGTATTCGTAACAATGCAATAGAAAATCATAATTTCGCATGTCAAATTTTTGATATTGTTACAAATATTGAAAATAACAAGTAATGATTATGTATTTTGTTTAAATAATCATAACTTTTTTTTTACATTCCTAACAATACAACAACAAACCACAAGTTTACATGTCAAATTCTTAATATTGTTATAAGTGTTGGAAATAATAAGTAATGATCATAAATTTTATTTAAATATTTACAACTATGTTTCTTATATAAAGATTTTTTATTCCATCACCCCGCCATCCATTTTGTCAAATTTCACTATTAGTGGGGCTCACATTTAAATTTTTTAATATTTTTAATAGGTTCCACCATTTTTTTTATAGGATTAAGGGTTTAAAATGCCCTTCAACTAAGTAGAAAGGATTAAGGTCGCCCCTAAAGTTAAGAAAGGTTCATTTATATCCTTTAACTGTTAAGATTTTTTATTCCATCACCTTACCGTCTATTTCATCAATTTTCACCAGCTCGCATTTAATTTTTTTAAATATTTTTAATGGGTTCCACCATTTGGATCTCCTCAGGGCTCAGGCCACACCTTCGAATGAATTTCTGTTCAAACTTATAAAAAGTTAAAACTTCACACCATGGCTCTTCAATGGCTTCAAGCCCAATTTTTTTGTCGTAATTCTTAACTTTGTCCTCTAATTTGCATTGTTAAATGGTGCTAGAATTTCACCAATCATTGCAAGAACATGCTTCTAGTACATTTTTTAGCTAAGCCATTCACGACGATAACGTGACTGCAATCAGTGTGCTAAGTGTTCTGCCATCCCTACTCTACTTGCCTCAATCCAAGAACGAGCAAACAGGAGGGAATGAAAGGGTGGGGGGGGGGGAGAGGGAGAGAGAGAGGGAGAGGGAGAGGAGAGGGGGTATTTTTTTTTTAAGTTATAAAAATATTAAAAAATGATGGTACCCATTAAAAATATTAAAAAAAATTAAATGTGAGCTCCACTAATGATGAAAATTGACACAACAGACAATATTAATGGAATAAAAAATCTTAACAGTTAAAGGATATAAATAACCTTTTTTTAACTTTAATGGTTATTATAACCTTTTTTATTTAGTTACAGGGCATTTTAAACTCTTAACATAAAAAAATATAAAGTGAGTTTGAGTGTTATATTTTATTATTTAAAATATTTAAAAAATTTACATGAACTTCACTAACAAATAATTAACATTAAGGGCACAAATGAAGCAAAATTATAAGATTAAGAAATAAAATTAATTTTAAGTTGAGTTTAAAATTAATTGTGAGCTTTTGCATATGATTTAGAAGTGAAAATAACCTTTAATTTTTTTTTTTTATAAAAAAAACGAAGACTGTACTTTTTATACGCCCACATCAGAAATCAAACAGATACAGATTGCGATAAAAACAACAACAACAACAACAACAGAAAAAACCTCAAAAGCTCACCCCTGGAACGATCAAGCTTTGATGCTGCACTTGCCCTGAGCAGTTTAATCCTGATAGACCGGATTAAGTGAAGGAAAAAACCTTCACTCTCGTCTGCGACAAAGGTCAGACTTGAGAATCCAAGCTCTAAAGTGTCTCTATCATCTCACTAAAAACTAAAGCAATGTCTTTCTCATTCTGTACGTCATCTCTCTTTTGCCCCCAGAAGGTTTTCTTGTCTGTAAGTATCTCTCCGGCTTGCTTCTAGTTCGTGCGTGCGGTTTGCCCTGTCTTTATGTCTATGTCTATGTCAATTGTGACTTCCAATCATTTGATATTGTCCCAGCCTTGTTTTTGGAAGAAAAGGGCATATGGCGTTTCTAAAAATCCACACATTGTTGAGGGCTTTGTGGTCAGGGCAGGCCCCAAAAGGATATCTTTTGATAAAGAGTGCAGAGACGCTTTACAATCAGGGATTGACAAGCTTGCTGATGCTGTGTCCCTTACTGTAGGACCCAGAGGTATGTGTACTTGAGACGTACTCCTGTTTTTTAAATTTGTATTGATTACCTGAAATTTTTGCTTCCATGGGGTACTCTTCCTTTTTCACAAATGGAAAAAAGAAATGGAAGGCTCACGAAGTTGAAAATATTTTATTAGCTGTTGAAACTCATTTGTACAGTTCTACAAAGGGGCATACTTAAAATTTGTAATATTGCTTTATCCTTGAATTTCATTGACGGATAGATTTTATAGCAATTATGAACAATCCCGAGAGCTCTTATTGTGATTTAAGTTCTGTGATTTTGTTATTTTACCTTCGCCAGTTATATTTGTTCAACCATGGAGGACGGGGATGCAGCACATTCCTCTTCGAGGGGATGGGCAAATTTGATTTCAATTTTTAGTGGTGTAGAAAGCTACCATAGAGGACTAACTTGATTAGATTTTTCTGTAATCCAATGTCCAGAAACAACTAATAGTACGTGGTATAATGCTTCAAAGAGGCATAAGGTCTCTTGCCTGATTTTGATTCATTGTTAAATGAGTGTTCATGCAGCATCAACATTTTTAATGAGTTTTACTCAACTGTGCAGGACGGAATGTGATTCTTTCTGAATCTGGAAATCTCAAAGTAATTAATGATGGTGTTACTATTGCTCGGTCCATAGAGCTTTCTGATGCAATAGAGAATGCAGGTGCCATGCTAATTCAAGAGGTTAATCATGGTTGTTAGGCTTTACCTTAGTTCATATTGGTGACTGACTTGGCTGGAAATGTTAATTATATATTTAACTATCTCGCTTGTAGGTTGCAAGTAAAATGAATGATTTGGCTGGAGATGGTACTAGCACTGCAATTATTTTGGCACGAGCTATGACTAAATCTGGACTATTAGCCGTTGCATTTGGTGCTAACCCCATTTCGCTGAAAAAGGGGATGGAAAAGACTGTAAAAGGTTTGATTAAGTTCTTGAAAGAGAGAAGCGTTCCTGTGGCAGGAAAGGATCATGTTAAAGGTATTTCATAGTTTGATTAAAGTATTAAGATTGCCCCAAAATAAAGTATTGAAATTCCTTTATTTTTTGCAGGCGTGGCTTCAATTTCTGCGGGAAATGATGAATATATCGGTAACTTGATTGCCGAAGCTATAGAGAAGATTGGTTCTGATGGAGTGATCTCTATTGAGTCATCCCCGTCATCTGAAACGTTCGTAATCATTGAAGAAGGAATGAAGGTATTGAAACCCCAATTTATTTGCTTTTCAAGATTCTACAGAGGATTGGGCTGCATATTTTATCACCTGCCTCTATCTTTCTCATGTTCGAATAACACTCTCTCCTTGCTTAACATGTTCTCCTTCCTCTCCCTTGAGGAACTTGAAGTTTTCTTAGCATATGATGTGCCACTGACGCTGGTTACATATTGTTTTAGCAACTTGGGCTTCTTTTTCTATTATTTCTTGCTCACCTCTGATATTTTCTTGGACCAAAATGTATGGTATGTTTGTCACATTGGGTAAGATCTTTGAATCTGCCAAGTAAGCCTTGTGTTTTAGATCCTATATCTGAATGATTGTTGTTGTTGTGAATCGATATTGTTAGCTCTTTTTTTGCAGATTGACAAGGGTTACATGTCTCCTCACTTCATTACAAACCAGGAGAAGGGTATTGTGGAGTTTGACCGTGCAAAAGTCTTGGTAACTGATCAAAAGATTTCTACTGTCAAAGAAATCATTCCGTTGCTGGAAAAGGCTATGCAACTGAGTGCCCCACTTCTAATTATTGCTGAGGATATCACAAAACAAGTATTGGAAACAATGGTGGTGAACAAATTGCAGGGATTAATAAGAGTTGCGGTGGTCAAATGTCCAGGATTTGGAGATGGGAAGAAAGCTTTGTTACAAGATATTGCACTGATGACAGGTGTGATTCCACAGCATTTGATGATTTACTGCTTGACTGATATGAATCCTTGGCAACTTATACGATTCTGCTTCCCATTTGGAATTATATTCATAAAACCTACATGCCAATAATTTGCTCGTTTTGTCAGTGCCAAGAACCATTTTCCCCCATAGCTTTAAGTTGTTATGAAGGGCTCATGATTGGTTAAGCAAATTTTTCAGAACTCCTCTAAATTTTGTTGAAACTAAACAAAACCTTCCTCTATTTTGGAATTATACACATTAGTCTGATTTTAAACTCTAGCTAAATTCCTTACTTAACAAAAATATGCAAGAATGACTAATGGAAAATGATTTGGTAAAAAAAATTAAAAAATTGGGCTAAGTTGTAATATAAATTTATTGTCTGGAATGTCAAAAGTGATCTTTTAAAGCATTTATCTCCCAGGACCTGCCTTTTTCATTTCTTGATTCTTTGATTCTGATTATAAGGGATATTCACAAAGTTTAAAACTCGGATAACTAGGCATCTTTACAGTCAGTTAAGAAAATCTTACATATCTGGTCACACCTCTCGAGTTTTTAACCCCATTTTATTTGATCATTGAAGTCAAAATTTTTTTACATCATGTTAAGATCACAGGTGCTGATTTTCTTTCTGGAGAATTGGGTCTGTCACTTGAAGGTGCAACATCAGATCAGCTGGGCATTGCACAGAAAGTGACAATAACCAGTAATGCAACGACTATTATTGCTGATCCTATCATGAAAGCAGAAATTCAGGCTAGAATTTTACAGATTAAGAAGGATCTGAATGAAACAGATAATGCATACCTGTCAAGAAAGCTCGCAGAGAGAGCTGCAAAACTGTCTGGAGGTGTAGCTATTATTAAGGTATGTAAAATGATAAAAACACAAGGGATTTCTTCTATTATGATGACTTAAGTTCCATGTTTTGCTAATTTCGCTTCAATCGTCCCTTGTTTATTCATCTACAATAACTTAGCAATGTTTAATATTCCTGATTGGGTTTAACTGCGTTGTCTTGGTAATTTGAATTCTTGGCACCTCTTGGCTCTTAGCCGTTATCACTAATCCTCGCGAGAGGAAGGCTGCAGTTTCTTTTACCTACATCCTGCCAATATTTTATTATTATGATTATTATTATTATTTTGAGTTAGCAATGTTTTGCTTCCTTTCAAATATAACGGGAACACCATGCATTTGACGGAGGATAATGATTCTTGTTAAAAAGTAAAGGAAAAGAACATTGCAAGCCACAATGGCTTGACTAACAATAAAGCTTCCCATTTTCTATGAATAAACCATTACATTGAAACAAAAAACACAATCCTATCCATCTTGTCCACTCTTGTTGATGTATGTTGTCTGCATTATCATTCTCTTCTCTGATACAAATTTTCTGCTTTTAATTTATGAAAGACTTTTTGGTATAAGTCAAATTGAATGTTATCATCACAGTTGCCAAATGCTGTCAGCATTCTCTTGTCCTTTGCCTTTGGAAATTTCAAGCTCTCATGCAGATTTTGATCATGATATGTCTTGTCATGTAGGTTGGTGCACACACTGAGCTGGAACTTGAAGATCGAAAACTTAGAATTGAGGATGCAAAGAATGCAACATTTGCTGCCATAGACGAGGGGATTGTTCCTGGTGGTGGTGCCACCTATGTTCACTTGTCAGAATTGATACCTACAATTAAAAACTCTATGGAAGATCTAGATGAGCGAATTGGTGCTGATATTGTAGCTAAGGTATGGTACCGCTTCTGTCTCCTCTTACTTTCTATCTTTCTTAATTAAATCTTCTCTTTCATAAATATATTAATAAATTGCTTAGAATGTTGTGAACTGATTTCCATAAAAATGTAATATTTTTCCAAGAAAAAGAATTGATGAAAATACAACATTTCTGTTACTGAGTCTATCTAAAGATATTGCAGAGAAGATTTACCTTGGCACTAGGAAAACTCAAGGCATGTGGCCCTTGCATTCCTCACCTAACTGGACCATTTGTTCTTAAGAAATTATTATCTTGATTATCAAGTTGAGATAATAGTTGGCAAATTATTTTATCTTTGGTGCTTAATGTCAAATAAACATGGTGCCCCCCCCCCCCCACAAAAAAAAAAAAATCCTTTTCTCTATCTCCGGTCTGCCAAAAAATTATATCTCCTCTCAAACTGGTATCAAATACTATAGTTCTATTTAAGAAGTTGCTCATGAAAAAATGCAGTCACTTCTTGAACCTGCGAAATCGATTGCTACTAATGCTGGAGCTGATGGAGACATTGTTGTCCAGAAGACAAGAAGTTGTCATTGGCGAACAGGTTATAATGCAATGACAGGTGAATACGAAGATCTTTTAAATGCCGGAGTAGCAGATCCTTGTCGAGTCACAAGGTGCGCTCTTCAAATTGCAGTTTCAGTTGCTGGTGTGGTCCTAACAACTCAGGCTGTAATGGTGGACAAAACAAAGACACCAAAGCCTCCTGTGCCCCTAGTTCCTGGTATAACCCCTTAAAGAAGAACAAAACAAAGCGAAGTCTTCCTTGTATATGTATGGCCCTTGCCTGATTCAAAGTCCTAGCCTTGAGAATGACCCTTGGCTTGGTTCACACTTCATCCTCATGGAGCAATGAGGTTAATTTTTGCAAGAATGGGGAGCCAGAGGTTGCTGATTCTTCCACAAGTGCTTCGGTTGTGACTTCACTTGATGAAAGGAACAGCCTAAGTATTTGCTATCGGATTCTTCAATGGAATCATGAAACTTGACACAAACTTCATTTGGAGAGATGGTCGTAAGGTGATCTGTTAAAAGATACACAGGTTTTATAAAAATTTAATTGGGAAATTGAGTAGCAGCTACTTAAAGAAATTTATTTAAATTGTTATGAAACCCATGCATGGTGAAATGGCATGAAGAACTTGACACCTGTTAACAGCACTAATGCAATTTGTTGCAGCTCTTTTTCCTCAAGAGGTTTTTTTTCTTTTCGGTTTTATATATCCATTATTATTGATTCATTTTATGTTTTCTCACTATATGATAAAATGATTGTTTATTGTCAAAGTCTATATATTACTAGACTGTAAATATTTAGCTTGTAGATTTTTGATTTGGTGCTTGTGAGACATACTCATGTATTCTCTGATACCCAGAATGAAATTTAGAAAGAGAATATAATGAAACTCAAACACTGTTGATTGAACATAATTATCCTTTTTTTTAAAAATGAAAATAGAATGAAATCATTGAATAATGATAATAAATATGATAATGGACATTAATTTTTTTTTTAAATTATGTTTCCAATTACAATGTACCAAACAAACATTTCGTTTTCTTCCGTTCCCCCATTCTTTCCTTACCAAACTTTCTACACAACCAAACAGGACCAAATTTTTTTCTTAAAAAAACAAAAAACGGAAAATTGCAGCTTTGAAAAATAAATGAATTGAAAGTTACTATTTGTCTATTTCTCTCCGTTTCATTAAGATCTTTGTCAGGTCCACTTTCCCATGTTTCTCTCTCACAAGTTCAGCCATCAATTGCGGACAGTGAAGATGTGGAGAGAAGAGCAGAGAATAGAGATCAAGGCTAGTGGCTTTGGAGTAACGGATCAAATACTCCTCGAATCTGTCTATAGGCTTTGACTTAGTCTATAAAAAATTGACATATTTTGACACTAAAAAGATTTTAATTTTGGTTTTGCAGCAACACTTGACTTCAAATTTAGATAACTTCATCCACTTCTCTCCTAAGTTTTAGTCATTACCTGAAAGGAAACAAAACCCTTAAGCCATTGCTCTTTCCCTTCAATGTTGTTATAAAGCATTTTTTTTAAATATTATATTAAAAAATATAAAACATTTTAAACCTTTCAAGATGTAATTAATATATTTTTTTAAAAGTACTCTCAATGAGCAGGTGTGATTAATACAAAAATTTAATTTTTTAATTGAGGCATTATATTAAATAAGAGTAAGCGTGGAAAGAGTGTGTAAGCTTAAAGATAATCAATTAATTTATTGGGATTTAATTTGATTAAAAGTATATTGTAATATTAAAGGGAGGAAGCACACATTGATTAATTAATTGGAACCAAACTTAATCGTGAGAAAACAATTGATTTATCTAGACCTTGTTATGTGGGATCGTTTTTATGAATAACAGCATCACAAATATATTGGAGATACTTTCATTATTTTTATATGATATTGTTGCATATTTTAAGACTGAAATTTAAAATTTTAAAATAAACTAATTCAACTTTCTCACGATGAATTGAACAAAACACCTTTATATGCCTGTGTGTAAAATAGTTATATTATCTTTTTTTTTAAAGAATAGTTATATTAAAAGCTCGGAGCAGTAGGTTGAATAAAGAAGAGAAAATAAGAACCTGAACAACTACCAATAAATGCTCGCCGAGGTTGTTAAATGTTTGTGGTAAGGTACACTAACTCGAGCAAGTTTTTATTGTGATAGTGATAATTTCTGTTTGGTAGAGAATCTAAACCCTTTCCTTGTTTTATGTTTGTATCTTTATAATCACTCTTACCTTTTGGTTGAGATGTTGATATTTAATCCCTTTTGTTTTGAAAAATATAAACAAAACTAATCCTTACTCTGACTTTCCTGAATTAATAAGAGCTTAGAAGGCCTTGTTATTCAAAACACGTGCATGTTGTTTACACAACAGCTTTTAACTTCATCCAATATAGTGGTAAAAAGGAAGTACTTATCTCTTGATTTATAAATATGGATAGAAATTACAAAAAAGAAAGAAAGGAAAATAAGGATAAAAAAAAAAAAGGAACAAGAAATGGAATGAAATGATGGTGGCTTGACGTAAGGGATAAGTATGCTGGCCACTAAGTGAGAGAAATGCTTCTAAAATACGCAGCGTTTGGTTTGAGTTTCAAAGTTGAATAATAACGTCAAGCCAAAAAAAAAAAAAAGGTCACATAATAATGTGAACGAACCACCTATAAACATATAGTAGAGTCGTAGAGTAAGTATTGTGAGCCAATTAATTATTAATTAATTAATTAGAGTTTCATAATTATATAATCTTTATTAACGATTCATAATTAATGGCCCCCACCACCCCACTTCACCATACCATCTCCATCTCGATCTCCATCTCTCCCTTTCATTTATTGGGGTTGTTAATTAGTCCATAGTTTATACTTGCCGCCAAAAGATAAAAGAAAAAAACCATAATGAGTTAAAATTGAAATTGAAAATATATTAAAAGTAGGACTAGACATTAAATCATTAGAATATTAATTCAATAATTAATAGTTAAAATTACAATCAAATCATGATTAAATTTGTTAAAAATAAAGTATTTTATTGAATTAGTCAAGGCACTGATTTAATAATTTCTCAGTTTAATTGATTGAATAGATTTATTTTTTTTAATACTATATAAATGGTGTATGTATTTGTTTGAGATACAAATCCAAGGAACGATATTAGAAAAAAAAAACGGGACATGATAATGATATTGATAATTGACATCGATGAGTTGATAAATGTGTGTATACCTCGTACGGTAGTGACTGATTGCTCATTACTCATTCTCTTTTATACATTATATGCCTGTTGGCAATAATACTATGATTTGTATAATAAAATATTAAATAATACTATATAGAGCTTTTGCATGAGGAAGCTGGTGAAATCATTTTTTATTTAAAAAAAAAACAGATGGTTAGGATTAGCTCAATATTAAATGACTGACATATCTACAATCAACGAAATCCTGTGTTTTTAAGTTGATTTAGACTGGAAGCCCATAAGCTTAAAGTGTTTTCTTTGGACCTAAATATAATTATTTTAAATTTTCTTGTTGCAATACAAAATGAAAACATTATAGAGTAAATCAATATTAATACATAATATTACTTAGACTCCATATAATGAACCAAACCTTCCTTTGGCTTAATTAGATATAATTCAGTTAAGGTTTATGAAAAATGTAATTTTTGAGTGGAAAATTATCCTCTTATAGTTGAAAAATGTTCAAATCCTCCTATCAAAAATTATCACATTTAGTATATAACACATGTGTTATATACAGTATTCTTTTAATAATAATTTATAAGACATTTTTATATAAAATCATATATATCTATAAATATTATTAAATATATTTTATAATTTTATTTTTAAAATAAAAATATGAATATCTAAAAATGACTTTATTTAATATTTCATTTGTAAAATGATATTAAAAAGAGAGAATACAATAAAAAAGGATAATATTAAAAATATTATTAATAAAATTTTATTTTCATATGGGCATTTTATATTTTGAAACGCCAATCGCTCTCAAAAATATTTTATATGTACTTTTTTTAATTTTATTTATAAATCAATTCTCACATATTTCATCCAAATCAAAAAAATTTTAAACTTTATCAATTTTATTTTAAAATTTATTAAGTTTTTGCTTCTATTTTTAATAAAAAATTATTTTTTTAACATTTGATTAGTAGAAAATTAAAAATAAATATAAAAATAATAACATATTTATAAATAAGAAAAATTAATTTTCATATAGTAAATATTAACAGGACCTCGGGAGTAATCAGCTGGTGCGTAGTTATGAGAAAGCGATTAGACTCAGAGCGTACGTCGTGTCCGACGTCCCCAAAAATTTCCACCTGAAAGGCTGAAACAAAGAAAGGAAAGAGAAAGAGAAAACGGCTGAGGCTGATCTGTAAATTTTGTTATTGTTTTTTATCGTTTTTATAATTTTCAAACGAAAGTCTGCAATAAAATTTTCTGTAATGAAAATCCAGCTCCAGCACTGGCTCACGACTAACTACCCTCACTCCCTCTCTCTAAAACCTCTCTTCCAATCGAAGAAGCATCCCCTCTCAGATCTGTGAAGCTCTATGTCTATGGTGTAATGCACTCCTGTACTCTCCACGCGCTTTCTCATTCAACACTGAGCTCTTTTTTTTTTTGGCAGTGTAAGCAGCAGCTCCCTCTTTCTTGTTCTTCTTTTCTATCTTGCCTTCTGGGTTTTCGGAAAATTGTGGGAAAATGGAAAATCGCTTTATTTGGGGTCATAACTTTTTTTGGTTCCATTGGGGCTGTAGTATTTGTTTTGCACACTAGTATTCGGTGGGAGCAGTGGTGCACGGTTTTGTTTTCTTGGCATCTGTCTCATTTCTGTTAATTTGCTTCATCTGTTGTGGTGGGTTTTCTGCTGCTGATCACTGTTGTTACTGAGGAAAAGGAAGAGAAGGGAAGGAGGCCAGAATCGGGTTTAGTTCTATTTGCCTTTTACAGAGTGCTTTGGTTGATAACTTCAAAATTGTTGCCTAGAACTCGCTAATTTAGTTCGGGCGGAGCATTGTTTGTCTTTCCCGGCATTCTTCACATAAAATTGTGGAATTTCCTGTAAAATTTCAAAGACAATAAAGCGGGAATGACCTTATTTCTTAGCGCCTCAAAGGACCAAAAAAATAAAAAAAGAGGTTTGTTGTAAGAAGGCTATTTTCTCAAGCAACCAAATCGAACTCGAACTTCAAAATAATAAAATTGTTATAGAGAAGCTTCGTAGATCAATTGCCATGATCGTACACAAATTGATTCCTTGACCCCTTGACATGCAGAAGATTTTAGTAGATTGATTGGTTAGTCGATGGCTAAATCAAGACGCCACTTATCAAACCACGATTCATCACAGTCACCAAATGCTGTAAGATCAAGAGAGGGCCCATCTAGATGGACGGACTACCTTGGGGCAGAAATGGCATCTCCACTATCTTCTGGCAGTTCGAGGAGCTTCTTCAGTGATGGGCAGGCTCAGAGCACTGGGGGATCCCAATCCCATAGGGGTTTGAACATGCAGTGGGTGGTCCAACTCACAGAAGTTGCTGAAGGACTTATGGCTAAAACGTATAGGTTAAATCAGATTTTGGATTATCCAGATCCCATCAATCATGTATTTTCAGAAGGATTTTGGAAAGCAGGAGTATTCCCCAACCATCCTAGAATATGTGTGTTGCTTTCTAAGAAATTTCCAGAACACTTCAGCAAATTGCAGCTTGAACGTGTAAGAAATGATGTTTAACATGTTTTGTACTTTGTTTTCAATTAATTTAGGCCATCATGAATTTTATCATCTGAGAAGTGAATGAATGCAGATAGATAAGCAAACTTGGGATTCAATGCAAGATCATGCAGAACTTCATCTACAAAGCATGGAACAATGGGTGCAGGTGAGCTCTTTTGTTACTTTTATTTACTGATTTTGTCCAATGAAAATATTTTCGGTGAAAGAAGTCTCAAATTCAGGATCTTCTGCTATGCAGATTTCCTGAGAAATGAAGTCATGTTTTGCGTTTTTAATTAGGATTCAGACATATATGATTAACTAGAAATTTCTTATGTTCTTCATTCCCTTATCTTTATAACCTGACTTGGTATCTAGAATCAGGATTTTCTATTTTTCGTCACTCTACTTATTTGCAGAAGTATGTAGGATTCAGAAAGTTTTATCTCAGTTTTAATATTTCCTTGTGGAGGAGAGATTAGGAATGGATGAAATGGAAGACTGAAGCAAATATTAAAACTGGGCCATTTAGATTTCTTTTTCACATGCTTTTGTCAAGTCTTCTTATGACAGGAACTCTATATTGATAATTGATTATTAATTAACATGTTCAATTTGGAGATTATGAATGTGCTACCAAGTCCTTGCTTGCTAGTTTTCTAACAACACAGTCCCTTTGCTAGGAGTTTGCTTTATGCGAAGTTCAAGATATTAGAGTGCTCAAATTTTTACTTTTTTTAGGTGGGACATAGAAAGAATCTTTATCCCAATATCAGAAGGAACAAAAGACTATAAGGACAGAGGATAATGTTTCCTCTTGGAAATTCTAAAAAAGTCATCCAATCAGCTCTGTATCTGACAGGGACACCCCTTTGTAGTAATCATGAGAGGAGCACTGGGTGAAGGCTGAAAAAACTACTTATTTCACTCTACTAGTATTGGACACAAAGTGCCATTAATTTGGGCGTTCTCCCAACCAAATACACCATAAATCCGCACAAGACTTGATGCTCCACAACAGCTTCTGTGGTTGCTACTGAAACTATGCAATACCCTTTATGAAAGTTTAAGATTTTTTGTCCATGTATACGATAGATATTTAATGAATGTGCTATCTCCTGAAGATATTATATGTGTAATCATGGTTGAATAGGTGCTTTTACTGTTATCTGTACTGTATCCATGCTTTTGCTGCCCTTCTTCCTTTGGAGTGCAACACTTAAATTAAGTTGATTCCTTTTAGCTAATTTCGAATAATATTGTTCCTTTGGCTTCTGTATTTTATTCTGCTATGCTAACAATTTTTTGATTACTCCTGTTACTATTGTTAATTGACCTGCATGAGATAGACATGTCATGTGTTATCATTGTAATTTATAATTTTGATCAACAAAAAGGGAAAAAAACCTGCTCTGGGTTTAAATTTATCTCAGCCTAAACTTGTAGATTGCTTGGCTTGACTATATTGCCTGTACCTTAAAATTTTCAATTTTATTTTATGTTACATGCTGTCACTTGACGAGGATTCTTCTGTGTATCAGCTGCTTCTGGACTTAATGGTGTTTCGTGAACAAGCTCTCCGGCTTATATTGGATCTAAGTAGTACAGTAATCACCTTGTTGGTGAGTCTTTATCTTGTCTCTTTTTTACCATTTGAAATAATCATGCGTTTAAAAATGCGAGGGCGTTCTATTCAACAATAAAGTTGTTGATATCTTTTTCTATATAAAACTCCATGTGAAATGCTACTAAGTGTATAAGATACTCTCTCTGGTCCTTTTTACAAGGGAATTTCTAAGCTTGCGGTGGTCCTAAATCAAGGAAAATATGACTTAATGGTGCATTATTTTTTTTTGGGGCCAAAATTAACTTTTATTAACTATGAGAGAAATATTACAAAATGCATCCTAGGGATCATTATATGATGTGTAGACATTATACCACTAACTTTGGGTACTTTTGGAAGAAATTTTGAAGGTGAGACAAATTAATCAAGTCTAACCAACCAACTCAAACATAATGAACTAGCTGCCTTTCATGTCGTAAAAAGCTCTACAGGAGATGTTTACTATAACAAAATGATTTACCTCTTTTTTAGATACATAATGCATAGATGTGGTAAATTAGTGACAATCAATTTTCTAATCACAAAATGCCAATGGTTTGGATGGAAAGAAAAGGAAGAATAAAGAAGACTCTAGATTGTGTTTGTTCTTTTCTTTAAATTATTTTTCATAACATCAGAAGCATTTCTATCAGCTGTTAGTTATCCTTCTTCCAGTTCTTTGATCGTTGGTGTATCATTTAGGTCCTTCACCATATTGTCTATATCTTTAGTGTGATTAGCCTGTTGAAGTCCCACATGTTTTTAATTTTAGAATGGTCATTCTATTGTCTTACTAATAAGTGAAGGACGTGATATATGATGATACAAAGACTGTTAATCAAACTGTGGGTTCTTTATCATATGCAAAAGGTGCTTATATGTTTATATCTTTCTATTCATGCTCCGTTTATCTTTCTTGCACCCTAAGGTTTTTTGGTGTGACTACATTTTTGAAGGGAGAGGAAATCAACATTCAATATTATTCATTTCTACTGATGTTTGTTCTTCTATGTTAAGTTTGTACAAAGCAGTCATGAATGGGGAAAATTTTTGGGAGTAAAATGCTTATTCTTTCTCTTGAGGCCACAGCATTTGAAATGATTGTGAGCGTGGTACTACTTCTATTTGTTTTTCTGCATATCTCAAATAACTTGGCACGTTCTTTTCAGCCCCATCAGAACTCTCTTATATTACATGCGTTTATGGATCTCTTCTGTTCCTTTGTGCGGGTTAACCTTTTCTCTGAGAAGGCAAGTTGATTCGTCTCTGTTTGCTCCTTAATTTTCATTTCTTTTCAATTTTGAGAAACTATTTATTTTGCAGAGGAACTTTTTTTTTAAATATTCTGTGACTAAGTTCAAAATTCAAATGGTGGTTGTGACAAACCAATGCTTTCATAGCAGATACCAAGGAAGATGTTGCTTCAGGTCTATAACCTTCTGTATGCAATGTCAAGAAATGAGCGGGATTGTGATTTTTATCATGGGTAGGATTTTTTTTTTTTTAACTATTTTATATGAACATATCCTTAACTTCTGCAGGTTGCAATTGGTAACATTTAGGTATACACTTGCACTGACAGATAAGGTTGCATAACCTATTTTAGAGGGATTGCGTACAATAAATTCTTTTTACAAAGGTCATGCCTAACTGTAGGTTGTAATGAAACTTAATTTTTAATTAAGAGATCGGGCTAGCAAGGATCAAACTCTTTATGATGGAGGCTTTGGTACTGTGTCGAGGACTACTTCAATTCAAAAGTATGGGTTATTGAGTGAAGGGCCATGGATAGTTTTATCATAATGCCTAACACTATGGGAGATCAGTTCCAAATTTTGCCAATGTCAATATAGTATTTAATTTTCTACTTCTTGTGATATTTTATTTCCTCAGGTTTAATATTTTTTTTAACAAATAACTGATTATTACATTTATGTTTAATATATATATATTTTAACTGCATCACAGCTTGGTTCAATTTATTGACTCTTATGATCCACCATTGAAAGGCTTACAGGAGGACCTAAATTTTGTGAGCCCTCGTATTGGAGAGGTTATTCCCATCCTTTAATATAGTGTTATTTTATTTTTCAACTGCCAAATTCAATTAATATGATGGAGATGTTGAGTAGGATACCTTCTTTTATTATTTACATTTATCCAATTTACTTTGTGCAATGAAATTCAGCTTCTTGTCAGCTTTCTTGTTTGCTGCTTTTTGGGTGCTTTTTATATTTTGACAGTAGGTAATTGTGCTGTTAAGAGAAGAGAGATAGGAGAAGCTGAAAAGGAAAGTAAGAGACAAGATAAATAACCTGGAGGATTTTTTTAAACTGATGAGTGATGAAACCAACTTTGTTGTTTATATTGACACTGAGATTGGAACATAACCTTAGGTGTAATACAGACAACATCCTTCCTACTTTTAATTCATTAGCGCTTGATCAATTCAACTGCCAGTTTTAATACCTAGAATGCTTTCTGTTTTTATTTAATATGAATAAACATTAGTATGAAATGGCTTCATTTGATCAATTCAATTCTGGAAATTTTTTCATTCGTGATTAGGAGAGAAAAGGACCAAAAAATAGCATATATCCATATATACCAAACAATTGTGAACAGAGCACATCTCCACAGAACTTTGCCCCCTTGTTGGAAGAATTTTAAACTAAGCATGAGCGATGAGTTGGAAAATTTGGTTTCAACTTATTTTGATAAGTTAATTGGATTAGCTTCTCAAAATAAGCTGAAAATAGCTTTTCTACAACAAATACCTCATGTTTAGCTGAAGTTTCTCCCAACAACTCCCTAATGTTTTGCTAACTAAAATCGCCTTTTTTTTTCCTTACTGTTAAACAATCAGGCCATTAGAGTCAATATGTACCAGACAAGCTACAGGAGTTGTGGAAGAACTAAGTAGGTTAGAGTCCTGTGATGGGCTGCAGTCTATGTCGTTTTATGACCTATGTCCTTGACATTGTTTATTTAAAGGAGTGTCCTTGTTGGACATGCAAAGACATTGTGGGGCTTTGCCCCTCTCGAGGGATTTTTATTTACTTTCTGTATTTTCTAAGTCAATACGTTTTCATCATATCTTGTATTCTCTTCTTCCTCTCCCTCACACACATAGAGACACACAATTATATGTACGCATGTGTATACTGCATCATTATGCTGTAGTATTCAAATTGCGCCTTTGATATCAAAGCTGAAAATTTTGATTTTGATTCTTGTATTGTAATATATGATATCTTTTTTGGTGGATTCATGGAAAAGTATTTTTCCTCTTCCAGCAGATGACCATATGTTTACCAACTTGTGAATACGATTTGGATTTTTTTTTTCCTCAGGTATTAGAGGCTGTGGGTCCTATTATTTTTCTATCAACAGATACAAGGAAACTTAGGAATGAGGGGTTTTTAAGTCCATATCATCCTCGGTATCCAGACATACTCACAAATTCTGCTCACCCAATGGTAAGGTTAATTTGTGGTCAAATTGAGTTCTTCAAATTGACTATTGCTTGCTATTACTATGCTAATTCTCTCTTGTGCAGAGAGCTCAAGATCTGGCCAATGTAACTGCTTATCAAGAATGGGTTTTATTTGGTTATCTTGTCTGCCCTGATGAGCTGCTTCGTGTCACTAGCATTGATATTGCCTTGGTACATTTCATGCTTGAGCAATTGCATTCTTTTACTTATATTACGAGTCTCCTTTTAAACTAACCATGTGGATTGTACTTGATATGTCTGGCCCATGAGTTTTACTTGCATAGTTATTGGAACTTGAGACCTGTGCCAGGAACTTGAGCTTTGGATAGCTTGTTCTACTATATTCTTAGTTTGTTTAGAGATATGTCCTATTAATTATATCAAGTTTGACTGTGGATAAAGATATAAAGGAGGGGCCAATCTATTTATGATTAGGCATCCGAGTAGGATGTAAATTCTTCCCCAAAAACTGCCTATTGAGGTGGGAGAACCATCTTAGTTAGTACTTTGTAGAGTATTTCTTGCTACTCCATGTGAGATTTATGGATCTTATGGGCCTAGTGCACCTGCAGCAAGGGTTTACACCAGAAACAAACCCAAGGTCCTTGCTCACAAGTGAGGTAAAGGGTAATGAGAGGAAATTGGCCAAGGATGTCTCACTTTCCAAAAATAGGGTTGTCTAAAGGAGAGAAAAGCAGTGGGGACAGAGAGGTTGTTTTCTAGGGTAATGTGCAGTGGTAAGACGTAAGAAAAATTTCTGGTTTGGGTGAGGACTGAGGAGAGTCCCTGACCTCTCGTAAGTCAATGGAGTGGTTTCTTTTCTTGCATTTTCTTTTGTTCAAGTTATTTTCTGGTGTGTTTATGGCTGCATCAAGGGGATTAGTTAATTTCAGTGTGTTTCACATCATTGAGTCTGAGAGTTGTAACCAGTCCCTTTGTATCATTTAATATATCAAAGTATCCAAGTTTCCATCAGTATCCCATACTAATCTAAATTCCTATGGACTGACCATCCTTGGATTGGGAAGTCAATTTCCCTGTGACTACACCCTGCAACACTTCACTTGATCTTCCATGACAGGTAGCCTTTTACAAAGCCATTGATCACTCGCTTAGATGCCAAACGATAGGCACTAAAGGGAGATTGTGAACCTTCTGCCAAAAGTTAGCTATTGAGATGGGAGAGTCCCATTGAGCAGCCCATTCAACTCAATGTTCTGAGCTCTACATAAGCAGGATCATCAAAATGTTAATTTAATTTCTTTACATGTAAAATTTGAGCTTTGTAGAAGGAGGACATTGGAGGAGGACATTGGAGTCGAAAGGTTTTCGTCTGAGTAGAAGTAAGACGGAATATTTATATTGTAAATTTGGTAAAGGACTATTCGACAATAATTTGGAAGTGAAATTGGGAGATCAAATTATACCTCAAGTGGAAAAGTTTAGATATCTAGGAGCCATTATTCAAAATGATGGCGAAATCAGTGGAGATATTTTACATAGAATTCAAGCTGGGTGGTTTAATTGGAGAAAAGCTAAAGGAGTTATTTGCGACCGTAAGGTGCCTAATAAACTTAAAGGAAAGTTTTATCGCACTGCTATCAGACTGGCAATGTTATATAGTAGTGAATGCTGGGCTCTAACGGGATAGCAAGAGCATAAAGTTGGAGTAGCAGAGATGAGAATGTTACGATGGATGTGTGAACATACACGTAAAGATAAAATTCGAAATGAGCACGTACGCGAAAAAGTGAGGGTGGCACCTATTGAGGAAAAAATGGTAGAAAATCGGTTGAGATGGTTTGGGCATGTACAAAGAAGACCAAGGGAGGCACCAGTAAGAAAAGTGGAACATATAACTTTGAGTCCGATTAAGAGAGGTAGAGGAAGGTCTAAGAGAACACTTTTGGAAGTTATTGAATGCGATCTGTTAATTAATAATATTCCTAAAAGCTTGATAAATGATAGAGCACAATGGCGTCTTGCAATCCATGTAGCCGACCCCACGTAGTGGGATAAAGGCTTGTTGTTGTTGTTGTTGTTGTTGTAAAATTTGAGCTTTGTGCTTCAACATGTGGCATCAAAAGGCAGTGTTTGTCAAGATTCTTTGGATTAGCTGGCCCTGGTTTTATTGTCTATTGTCAATGTGACATATTACATGTTAATATGAGTGCTTGGGTTAATGATACTGGGAATAAGAATGTTTACACCTACTGTCCATTTTCAAGGAAAAATGTCAGCAGCTTGCCAATTTCGTATTGTAGGCAGCAGTTACTCTGATTCTAATCCATGTTTTATAACTAGAGCTACACAACACGAAATGTTATTTCATTTCAATTTTTCATGATACCCTTTTATTTGAGTCTTTTACTGATAAAGTGGAATAAACAAGACTTCATATTTTAGATATGATAAATGTTATAGATGCTGAGTTTACTTCCCAAATCCAATCTGCTTATTATCATGGTTTTACAGGTTGTATTGAAGGAAAATTTAGTTCTCACTCTATTCAGGGATGAGGTACATTTTATCTATTGTCTACAGTATAGTGCCCCTGCACTGCAGTGGTTAATGATTTTGTAATTCTTGATACAGTACATACTTCTGCATGAGGATTACCAGTTGTATGTTCTACCTCGAATATTAGAATCTAAGAAGATGGCAAAATCTGGACGCACAAAACAAAAGGAGGCAGATCTGGACTACAATGTTGCAAAGCAGGTGGAGAAAATGATCAGGTATATTCCAAAGTTCATGTTTAAATATTTTCATCTATCAACTATGACATTTAAAATGTGCATAGCTGAAGTTGGGAGTCTACGGTATCACTGAATCAGTAGAAAGGAGTGAGGCAAAGAATCTTGTGACTTGGGAAGTGCAAAGAACTTTTTTAACGATCATAGTTCTTTTGTTTAGGATAGGGAAGTTCTTAGATTGCACCCTTATTGTGATGGTGGATGCGTAAGATGCTTTGCTTGTACACTGTTTTACAGGGCTGGGCATGGCTGATTTTCTTAGTCTTTTTATGGCGTTGGCCATTATTATTTTGGCAGGGATTTTTGTTTTGCTCTTTGGTTTGCTGAGGGATTGATTTGCTTAATTTTGTTGAGACATCTAGAAATTCAGAGTTGAGAATAATGTTCTGATCTTAATTTTGTTGAGAGAAAACATATGCATATATAGAGATCATGATAGCAAGTTTGCCATTAGAATGTCTTGAGATAACTAATTTAAATGCATTTAGATCATGATCAGCATAGAGAGAACTAATCTTAAATACAGTACATAAAAGATAAAACAGAAGAAAAAAAGTAATAAAAGAAAGTTAAGGGTGAGAGACGCTGGAAGTTACAATGGCAATCAGGTAGTTGTAACATCTAGATGAGGTTGGAATACTCTTGAGACTACTAACTATTTGCGTATTTCTTTTACTTGGCTTCCCTTTCTGATTTTGTCTAGTTTGGGGTGTCTCTTTCTCAATTCCAATATGCCCCTCTTCTCTTCAAACAATTTATCACGTTTCTTTTATCTATTAATGAAATTGTTAATGGTACCCTTACCATTGAATATTCTAAGCTTAAAAGTGACAATAATTCAGTGAAGTGCATGATCAAGCGATATTATCTTGTGATGCCATACATCGCGAAAGGAGAATACTACTGAAACAAGAGATTGGGAGAATGGTATTATTTTTCACTGACCAACCCAGTCTACTGGCGCCTAACATTCAGGTATTTTCTTATTTTTCACTTTTTAAGTATGAATAAAATTGTATCTGACATTAATCGAGGCAAAGATGATATTATTTTCGTTTGTACATGAGTGCAATTATAAGAGACTAAGAATTTGTGTTATAATATACTAGCTTTACTGCCTCACGTTAAGAAAATTATATTCTTTTATGATATAATCTTATAATCTCTAGTCTAACTAGATGGTGGGGCCTGTGGTTTGCATGGAGCCTTGCATAGTGAGCTACACCATTCCCGGTTTGTAATGACTAAATATCTCATATCCAGGACCTTCGATATGAGTCAATGCATTTACTGGTCTCTATTAAGCCATCTCAGTTCATCGTAATGCTTGACTATGGACATTTTAAGTATAATAAATTATTTTAAGGACAATTAATATATTTATTTATATTATGTAGATATATCAATCAATTTTTTGAAAAAAAAGTTAATACAGTTTTTGCAAACAATCATCTTGTGTTTGACTTCTAGCACATATAAAAGGATTTTTCAAAAGTTTTACCGTTGTTTTGTTGCTTTCATAACAAGATTGTTAGTGACTCACGTTTGGCCTACTCTGGTTGCTCCATAGAAAAGGCATTGCTTTTTCATTGTAGAAAAGACAGTATACAGTATCTATTATTTGTTGTTATCATTGTTAAGCAGTAATTATCTTTTTTATTTTTTAAACCAAGGAGCACAAATGATATTTTCTTATTCACAGAATCATTTTTCCCACTTCATTTCCCCTCCTATTCCATTTTTTCCAACGTACCAGATGGGCTTAGCACCAATATTATTTATGCAGACCTCTGATAGTATGTATTTCACAGGTCAGTGGTCAGTGTCTAAATTAGAAACAAAATGTCTTGTAGTTGGTTCAAGATTCACTGACATTTTCTTGAAGAGTGGTTCTTTTGATTATTTTAGTTCTTAAATTATTTAATGTCATGCATGATTTTTGTGAAGTGATTGTACTGTTATCTTCTACATTTTTGACTTTCTTTTTCCACTTACTCATGGCTACTTGTTATTCAATCTTGTTTTGTATTTTGTTCCCTTTCCTGGTCAGCATGAAGATGCACGTAAAGGGTTTTTTGGGTGTTAAGCTTTATATACAGTTTTATCTTCTTTTCTGATGGGCTCAATACGATGTATTTATTTTTATCTTCATATGGGTTACAAAAGCATGGTATTATACGTTTTTGTCATCATTAGAATTGATGATATATTTCATTTATATCTTCCTCTGTGCTGCCCCCCCTCTAAATATGTAGCCTGCTATTTTTTATTTATGGTAATTTTCAACTTTTTTTTGAATTTTTTAATTTCTTTTCTCTAAGAATTTAATGTTTCACACAGATGGTGTTTTCTGCCTTGGCTTTAGCTCAATGTGAAGTGATTTGGTATTTCCAACATGTTGGAATTGCATCATCAAAATCTAAAACTTCTCGGGTGGTTCCAGTGGACATAGTAAATATCTTTTCAGTCTATGACTACATGAGATTTATTTTCTGCTTAGGATATTGTTTTAATCTGTTAATATGGTTGTTGACTTGACTTTGACTTTTATGGTCATGCTTTTAGGACCCGAATGATCCAACCATTGGATTTTTGTTAGATGGAATGGACCATCTATGTTGTTTAGTGCGGAAATACATTGCAGGTTGGTTTAAGTTTTTGTATACCAATTTCTTTTGACAAGAATGAATATGATATTTAATTACTACCATTATCACCCAAGAATATTGAAGTACTTGTTTCAAGGAGCATACACGGGAAAATATACACATTTGACTTTTAAACTTTTTAAACTGTTATAGGCTTTTAGAGAACACTAGTGAAAGTTGTTGAATGAGATTTCTTAGTTAACAATATTCTTAAAAGTTTGATTGATGATAGAGCATAATGGTGTCGTGCAATCCATGTAGGTTATTCTACCTAGTGGGATAAGACTTCTAATTGTTGTAAACTGTTATAGGCTTTTATTATTTTCTACTTGAGTTCAAAATGCACTTTAATTTTTTATTATGATTAATTTTTTAGGTGAACATTGTTCTGATGTTTTCAAGTTAAAGGGGTGTTGTCTGGTTATTTGGAAGTAGGGTGACAAATAGACTTCATAAACACAGGTGGGGTTTAAAGAAAAGCATTGCAAACTTGTATCAGTTGTAATATTAACTTTTCACATAAATCACTTGGGTTAAACGCTGGCGTCAAATTGGTTACGCTCATTAGTTTCATATAATTTAGGAAGCAGTTGGTTTCTGTGGTATTTTGCAAGATTAATGTACAAAATGTTTTCAAAATATAATGATTATCAACCATCTGGTTTTTTATTTCTTAGTATCCACCTTATTTGTAGTTGGTCCTCCTAGATATAATATTATCTCATTACTCTCAGATCAGAATCATTCTGTTCGAGCAAATCTCTTTGATGCATGTCAAAGACCATTTGACTCGAAAGATTAAGCTTATTAGTGAAGGCTGAATATTAACTATAATACATAACATGTTCTCTCACTTGAAAGCTTATTAGTGAAGGCTGAATATTTACTATAATACATAACATGTTCTCTCACATGAAAGCTTGTTTGATCTTTGGCTTGAATTGTGTGCAAACATCGGTCTATTATTCCTTGTGCTAAATCTTGTTCTCATGAGAAGAATGGAGTGGCATGAATTGAATTCGTGATTACTTGGTTGGCTTTAGTGCAAAGTCAATGACTATTTCAAATCTGATTATTGAAGAAGTGTCTCATCCTCAAGGGTGCACTTTTTTATTTTTTCTTGGATAGTTGACTTTATTGTTGTGTTAGAAAAGAAATGAAAATTGCAAGAAGCATATGAGGGGATTATCGCTCTGTTTTGTTTATTACTTATGGACCTATATTTGTTGTCTAATATAAAATTTTGCAATATGGTGAAGTGAAGTTTTTCTTTCTGATTTTCTTCTTCCAGTTTAGTAGATTATCAAACCTGTCCCTTTTTAGGATGTTAAAATTTTGTGTAAATCTCTAATGTTGGCGTCGTGGAACAAAGAACAGACGCAGAAGTTTTGGAAATAATTTCTGAGAGTTTGACCATTGTTATTTAGTCACCTCTGGCTACTCTAATTTTGAGTCATGTTATATTGGATGGTTATTGTACTTTGGGTGTCAGTATACTAGTTTTGTTTTTCCTGATATTTGATTTGCTTTCATCTGGAGGTTAAAAGTTGTTAGTTGTAACATTTGATTGCAGCAATTCGAGGTTACTCATTGTCATATCTTTCATCTTGTGCTGGGAGAATCCGGTTTTTGCTGGGAACTCCGGGAATGGTAGCCCTTGATATAGACGCTAACTTAAAGGGACTCTTGCAGCAAATTGTCCTCCACCTTGAAAATATACCAAAACCCCAGGGTGAAAATATATCTGCTATTACTTGTGATCTATCGGTATGTAAAACACATCCATTTCTGGATATACAGTTTTTATATAATCTGATGCAAATATGGTTACTATTGAGGTAATAAATAGTACAAAGTTGTGAGTATGGAATAATCAGTTTCATCATTATGCGTCTTTCTTATGAGGAAGCTAATTATTACAACAGAAGGGCTAAAGTTGTAAAAGTCATGCCATGCAGACCTTAAATAGTGCTACTATGTTCATGATAGCTATTTCATTTATTTAGTTTTTTTTTATTGTAAAACTAAAAAGAATCTTGAACAGAAAGAAGAGAATCACAGGAAATGAGGATAGGAAGACTTCTTGAATAGAGTAGAACAAAGAAAGAGAAAATAGAAAATAAAGAACTGTTGAGGTTAAAAAAAATATCGATGCCACTCAACTCTGGTTTGTAGTGGTCCCAAAAAAAAAAAAAAAAATCCCTTACAAAACCCATGAGTCAGGAACAAAACACCAAAGGGAATCAAGAGATAAGAACCTTTTCCATAATGGGATTCTCATATTTGAATATTTATCTTCGACAGTGAATGTTTGAGCATTGTCTTTGTAGTTTTTGCCAATGAAACATTTTGTTTTTAAGAAAATTTTGCGAAAATAATTCTTCCAATTCTTCTATCAGGAATTTCGAAAGGATTGGCTATCCATTTTAATGGTAGTCACTTCTTCACGGTCATCTATAAACATCAGACATTTGGAGAAAGCCACAGTTTCTACAGGGAAAGAAGGCCTGTTGTCGGAGGGAAATGCTGCATACAATTGGTCCAGGTTTTCACCATGATTTTGTCTTTACATTTCGATAGGCTGCATTAATCAATAGTCTTTCAGTCTCTGGAACAGCAGCAGCAACAAATTAATGTTAACTAGGGATTAAATTTAATGCCTGGATTTTCTCGTAGAGCACCACAAGGAAAGAAAAAGAAAATAAGTTTTCAAAAAAGCAGCCCAACCCCTCAGCATATTGGAGAACGAACCTTCCCGTTGAGCCAAAGCCCATAAAGAAGCTAGATAACAGGCTTATCCCACAAAAGCTTAGGTGTTTAGCTAAAAACTTTCATTTCTCTTCAACCAGCTCTTTGCTCCAAAGCAAAGAGCCTAATTTCTTGTCGCACTGTCACCTTTGTGACCATTCTGATACTCTTTCAAAGTACAATCCGTACGGTGGTCTCTTACATCCAATATATAGAATAAGTGGTTAAATTCGTTTAGTAAATTTTTTTTGCTATATAGTATTTTATTTTCTAGATCCTAAATCCTAAATTTCTTTTTTTATTCTTTCACATCCAATCTAGAATGAACAGTTAAATTGGTTTGGCAAGCTGTTTTCCCTTTACTATTTTGTTCCTTTGGTTGGTGTAGTGCTGGGGTCTGGGCTTATGAGCTAGACGTATCTGTAACCTTACCTGCAGTGTGGGGATAAAACAATTACAGGAGTTTAGTGCATTCCAAAAAATTGCATCATGGTATCAATCTTTCTGTATCCCTAACAGCAGTGTGCATAGAGTTCACTTATAGGAACCCAACAATTGAGTTAGTGGTTCCGAACTGAATAAAGAGGGAGGAGATTGATATAAGGCAAAGCACTATTTTTGGTCCCAATGCTTTGCTTGAGTTTTGCTTTAGATCTCTGTACTTTTTTTTTTTTTTTGGTTCCAAGTTCCTATATGTTTTTCCATCTACAATGTTGGTCCCTCTATTTTCAAAGGAACATTGATGTGGCACAATGGTGTTAAGATTGCTAATGTGTCCACTAACATTGTCAAGTTTGTGCTGACATGTTAAATTGGTGCTGAGATGAATTTTTTAATCAGCAAAATAAAATTAAAAAAGCCTATATCTATTTTTTTTTTTAAAAGAGGCTGACCTGGAGTTAAAAAAAGATCCTCTTAAACGAGTAGTACATTTCTCTTAAATTAAGAAGTATTTTCTAGGGTACTACCTACAACTTCATCTACTATATCACTAACACCAACATCAACATACTAGTTAGTTAAAATAATCATTATCAATATGTTCATCGTGGGTTTGTGCCTTGGAAAATACTTCTTAATTTGAGGGCCATGCTGATTGTTTTAGAGGGTCTTTTTTTAACTCTAGACTAGCCTTTCTTTTAATCTGATGTAACTTTTTTTAATTTATTTTTGTGATTAAAAAGTCTATCTCAGCACTAGTTTAACACATTAGCACAAACTCTTTTTGAAAATAGAGGGGCCAATGTTGTAGATGGAGAAAAATATAGGAACTTGGAACACCGAAAAAAATACAGGGACTTAAATCAGAATTGGAGCAAAGTATAGGGACCAAAAGTAATGTTTTCCCTTGATATAAATAGTTCTAAATTATTTGCATGAAAAATTGGTTACCATGTAAAGTAACCATGGCTATACTTTCATCTGTAGAGTTCTGATAGATAGTGATCCAGAAAAGGAAAGAAACGAATTTGAATAGATGCCAGGAACAAGGAGGAGAAAGCTTTTATTCTGTTGACTCCATTCCATGAAATCTGGGAGTCATGATCAACCAGAAATGGGAATAATTTAAACTAACAGCTAAGGGCATTTGAGAAAGCCAAAGGCTCAAGTAATAAATAGGGAATCCATGCAATAATTGCCAGCATGAACCATTCTCACTCTGTTAAAAATTATATAAGAGGAAAGTAGACCTTAAAGACATAGTAATAATACTACAGTTTTCTTTTGATGCAGATGTGTAGATGAACTGGAATCTCTTCTCTCAAAGCATGGTAGTCTTAGGAAGCTGTATTTCTATCACCAACATCTCACAGCTGTGAGTGCCAATACATCTGAAAAAAAAGGACGGGAAAAAAATAGGGGCTAGTTTTCTATCTGCAGTGATAAATCTTTGATTCAGATGTGGACTCATACTTTCCTTTCATCCTAAAAACCCAACCTCACTTACTAATTGCCTGAGCTGTATTCTTAAATTAGGTATTTCGGAACACCATGTTTGGTCCAGAAGGACGACCTCAACATTGCTGTGCATGGCTTGGGATCGCTAGCAGTTTCCCAGAGTGTGCTTCTCTGATTGTTCCCGAAGAGGTAAAAGGATAAAACTAATTCCTCCCCTGCCGTTGGACTGACACTATTAACTTGTCAAGTTTCAATCATGACTCTGAAACAAATAAGGAATATCATGCCATAGCCTCATTCTATTCTCAATTTTACTAACATGAGGATATAATGTGCCAGATATTCATAGCATATAGTAGTTTCCCATTTATTTAAGAAATGCTGATGTTGCAGCAAAAGTTAAGGGTTCATTGTACTTTTGGATCTGCTGAAGGAGATGCTTAACATTTTTGACCGGCTTCACGCAGCTTTTGGGCACTGGAAGATTTTTTTTTTAATCTTCATTTATAATGAGTAGATTCTATGTTCTTCTATTTTAATTTGTAAGCTACTTTGAATTCTGCTGCTTCCAATTTCACTTATCAGAGTTCCCACAATATAAAGAACGGCACTGATTTCTTATGAATTGGATTCATAACTGTAAATTAATCTTAAGGTCCTGAAATCAATCTCATCAAAACCAGCTGCATGCATGATTGGAAGAGTGGTAAGCATGGGTAATTATTTCATTTATTTTCTTCAAACAGGTAACAAAAATTGGTAGGGATGCTGTTCTTTATGTTGAGTCCTTGATTGAATCCATCATGGGAGGGTTGGAAGGATTAATAAACATTCTGGACTCCGAGGGAGGATTTGGTGCACTGGAGAATCAGGTAAAAGTTATGATTATTTTAACAAGCTAGTCTCATTTCAGAAAACTTACTGTTATATCTGTATCAGCTTCTTCCAGAGCAAGCAGCTTCTTATCTGAATTATGCGTCTAGAGTTTCTATTCCTTCATATAAATCTCCAAAAGGAGCAGCTGGTTTTCCTTTACCTGGCCATGAGAGCTTTCCAGAAAACAACAGTTCTATCAAAATGTATGTTCTTGTAATCTCCTGTCCCGCCGTGCGTACATGTCAAACCGCACTATCAACTTTCTGGAGCTAACTAGTGCTTTTTTTCTCCTTTTTCTTTAACCAACAGGTTAGAAGCTGCAATGCAGAGGCTAACTAACTTATGCTCTGTTTTAAATGACATGGAGCCTATTTGTGTATTGAACCACGTCTTTGTTCTAAGAGAGGTTAGGCATGCATCTTTTCCTTCTTCATTACTTTGTAGTTTAGCGTTCAATATTGCTGAGACAAACAGTCTAGAGGCTGTCTTGTAGGAAAGCAATTATTGATCAATGCTAATTTTTCTGGGGACATGTTTACTTCGTTGTGATTATCTTCAATATTTATATGTGGGGGAGAGAGAGAGAGACAAGTATAAGATTATCAGAGTTAGATATGCATAGGGTGAATGGTTGCAGGTCTGTCAGTGCAACTAGTGTGCATAAGATTATCACTATGATTTTTTCAGTCGAGTTAAATGTTGTCAGAGGCTATTTTTGAGAACCAAAGTGCGTTTAGCAAGTATTTATCAATAGATGTGTTTTAGGTGGCACTTCACTTAGCTTCCTTGTCTGCAAGAACTCTTTGCAGATAGCCCTTTCAAGAGATGATAATTAATCTCTAGCATTGATACTAATTGATTTGCATACCCATCCCCAGAAATTAGTCATTGAGGTGGGAGAACCAACTTGCTAAATTATCCCATAGAATATCTCATACTACTGAATATAGAATTTGCTTCTCATACTGTCTTGGTTTCTATCATACACCTGCAAGTATACATAAAATCTTTGACAAGGATTACTTCATTTCAAAAGTTTAAGCTATCAGGTGAAATCACATTAAAAATATTATTCAAAATTTCTAATGTGCATTGTTTTTCGAAAGTTCTTGGGACTTGCAGTGCAGACAAAGCATGCGCCTATTGTCCCATGTTGAAGCTTAATTTCAATTGAGATGGGGGCTACAAGAATTAAGCTCCTGATTACTTGGTAATTGAGGGTCTAGTACCATGTTAAGCACCATTTTAACTGAATTAAATTGATAATTGAGGGCTTTTTGAACAGTGTTATTATAGTTTATTAAATATAAAATGTATTGTCTTTAGCTTGATATTATGGTCGAATATTGACTAGATGTTCAAGTAATGGATCGTTAGTACAGATTTAACATCCATCCACTCCCATTCCTAAAAAATACACATTTAGATCTAGTAATTTCATAGATTCTTTTGTTATTATTTTAACACAGCCATTCATGCAGTACATGAGAGAATGCATCCTTGGAAACTTCAGGAGAAGATTGCTTGGAGTATTGAAAACTGATAATGACCTTCAACGGCCTTCTGTTCTGGGGTCCCTGATTCGAAGACATGTTAGCATCGTGCATCTTGCAGAGCAGCACATCAGCATGGATCTTAGCCTGGGTATTCGAGAAGTTTTGCTTTCAGAAGCCTTTTCTGGACCTGTTTCTTCTCTGCACTTGTTTGATAAGCCAGCAGAGCAACATACTGGATCAGCTACAGAGTCTGTATGCAATTGGTATATAGAAAACATAATCAAAGACGTATCAGGTGCTGGGATATTGTTTGTGCCGATTCATAAATGCTTTAAGAGTACAAGGCCTGTTGGTGGATATTTTGCAGACTCAGTTACTGATCTCAGGGAATTGCAGTCTTTTGTACGTATATTTGGTGGTTATGGAGTTGACAGGCTGGACAGAATGCTGAAAGAACACACTGCTGCACTTTTAAATTGCATTGACACATCATTAAGATCAAATCGTGATGTATTAGAAACAGTTGCTGCCAGCCTCCTTTCTGGGGATAGATTTGAAAGAGAAACTTCTATAAAACAGATAGTTGATCTGGAAACTGTAGTTAGTTTTTGTATTCAGGCGGGCCTAGCTCTGGCATTTGATCGGTTGCTAGCTGAGGCTGCTGGTGCCATACTTGAAGAAGGTGCACCTCTGATACATTCACTGCTAGCTGGGATGGTTAAGCGTCTACCTGATGAAATACCTGAAAAGGAAGAGATCCGGAGAATGAGAAGAGTGGCAAATACTCAAGGTGTGTTAAGTGATCATGATTCACAGTGGGTAAGATCAATTTTAGAAGAAGTTGGTGGTGCAAATGATGGTTCCTGGAGCTTGTTACCGTACTTATTTTCCACATTCATGACATCTAATATTTGGTCCACTACTGCATTCAATGTGGACACGGGGGGTTTTAGTAACAATGTCCATTGCTTGGCAAGGTTAGCATTATGTCACAGTTCTATTGAATTATAATTTTTCATAGCTATAATGTTAAAAGAGCTTCTTTGGTGATTTGTAATATGCATTTGCATGCTTATAATCAGTTCCTATGCCATTGGATAAACCTCCAGCCAGTAATTTTTTTCATCTTGGATTGAGAGAGTATCTTAGAGTTTCATTTTGTTGATAAATCTTTTCGAAACTGAACTAGGAATCATTGTGTAGTAAATTTTTTAGAGGTTTTTATTGTCATTTGTCTCTTTTGTCTTTTGTCTCACTCTCCTGACCGATTTAGTGAATACTGGGCAGGTGCATTTCTGCAGTGTTTGCAGGAAGTGAATTTGTTAGATTGGAACGCGAATATCAGCAGAGACAGTCTTTATCAAATGGGCATGCTACCGAGGCAATGGATCCTGAGTATCCCAGTCACATGTCAGCTGAAGCAAACATCAAGTCCACAATGCAGTTATTTGTGAAACTCTCTGCAGAGATTATTCTAGATTCTTGGAGCGAAACAAATAGGTATATACACACACTATTAGAACCAAGTATATGCCCTCTGAATAGTATAGGCACGCGTGACTTAAATATATTGCAGCTGAATTTCTTTGGTACAAGTGCTCTGTTTCTCTGAAATATTTATTCTTTCATGGTTTACCTTGCTGATCTTTTTTTCTCTTCTCGGGCACAGATCTCATCTTGTAGCACAGCTTATATTCCTTGACCAACTTTGTGAACTCTCGCCGTACCTTCCACGAAGTTCACTTGAATCCCATGTTCCCTATGCCATTCTCCGATCTTTATACAGCCAGTACTATGCAGACACTCCATCTACTCCTTTAGCAATATTGAGCTCTTCACCACGACATTCACCTGCAATATTGCTAGCACATGCATCTCCTGTACTACGGCATCCTCGTGGGGACTCCACACCGCTGTATGGTGGCAATGATTCAGGTTATTTCAAAGGATCCTCATCACATAGCCATGAACACCACCTTTATGAAGCTGATAGTGGCAGCTTAAAGAGCATGGATAACAAGCACAGGAATGTTCGTCGTTCAGGGCCTCTGGATTACAGTTCAAGCCGAAATCGAGCGAAATTTGTGGAAGGCTCAACTTCTGGGAGTACAGGACCAAGTCCCCTACCAAGGTTTGCAGTATCTAGATCTGGTCCTCTAGCATACAAGTAGGGAAGATGAGGAAAATACTCAAGAGGAAAAGGGCTAGTAAATTATGAGACTAGCTGCTAGTGATAAGGTATTCATCACCATAACTTAGCATCTTGCAGCTTCCCCTCAAATTTTGGCAAAATGTAAATTGCACTTCGCTTGAGATTCCTCCTGCCTGATTAGTTGTATTCAAGTTGAAGTATATATCATCAATATTGCTATGTGACAGTGGTCCTATCGAAGAATAGGGTTTTAGGATCTCTACGTATAGCGGCATCGACAGAGACCAATGGGTCAAAGGTCCAATTATAAATGTTACAGTGAAAATTATATACACTATCCATAATTATTTAGTGCAGTGATATGTAGCTATCTAATCAGATAAATGCTTTGAAATGAATGTAAAATTGTCGTTAGTCCATCCAAGCTAGATAAAAACTAGGCTGTTTTGTAGTTGATTATTGGTGATATTGCGAGTTCTGTCACTTCCAATATTATCCTCTGAAGAAACATATAGCGGCATATAAATTGATTGAGGATGTATGATGTGGAAGAAATAAAATACATTGAAAATATGTTATGTATGATTGAAATTTGTATCTACATAAGCAATATTATGATTGTAACTCCCAAACCCAGGTACCTTGCATATGAATTTCTTCTTTTTCCCCCTTTTGGTAAAACGCGGGGCTAACCCTATCATGTCTCTCCTAAGCTTCCCTGATCCCCTCTGGAGGGTCCCTGAAACGCATAAATATAAAGATATTTTTATATTACATATTAAATTAATTATTCTATTCTTGTTGAACTAAAATATACCTGTTTCTCGTTTATTTTCTAAATATCTACAAACTTTATATGGAATAAATTCTTGTATTTTGTTTTTCATATAATTTCTATTTTTCATTAAAATATTACCATTAGTAGTTATTATTTTTTACTCGAATTTTTGTTACTACATAATTAAATTTAAAAATTGTAATCAAAATAAAATATATTTTAATGCCAAAATATTGTATAATCATTAATAGGTATACCTATACCTTCATATATACAAGACTCGTGACATTATTTCAGCTTGGCAAATGAACCGATTAATGTGACGACACCCCCATTCAGTTTAGGTGGAATTGTAGAACATTATTTATAACTACCAAAAGAAATATACTAAATTCACTCGTCTCACAAGATATTATATTTCAACAATTTTACAATTATCAAAACTTTTATGGCGCAAACACTTTTATGGCGCGCCATGTGCCAATCACTTTCAATCTTTCAAAGAACTAATGATTCAGACGTGAAAGAGGTGACTGTGACTTCGAAAGATAATTAGCATTGGAGGTGAGGCAGCACATGCTGCAGCTATTCGCTTCAGTACATGATCCAATAAACAAGTTCTAGGTTGAACAAACAATATCAACAAACAAAAATTCTTAGGTCGTCTGTCCGATCCCTGAGACATTGGTTGATCAGACCAATCTCATAAACAGACAGAAACATATTCAATAAAATGTTTAGACGTCTGTTTATAATTGACTTTGACCATAAATCTGTTCCTTTGAAAACTGTGCCTATCTAAACTTCCTCTCAGAAGCGCTGTGAAGAAACCTGATCAACCTCCTCGCATATGTGCACCTAATTCACCAAACTGTTCCTCAGTTTCCACATTGTCGTCTGATAGCCTGACTGCATCTAGCTTCTGTTTAAGAACTTCAATGGCATTCAATAACAATTGAGAAGCTTTGATCGCACCCGTGGATTCCACAGTGAATATGAAGGAATCTTGCCTCGCATTGATTTCCACAAGCCCAGGCTTGCCCATAGCTTCAGCTTTCTTGATCACCTCATCATCATAAGTGTATGCCTCAGGATCAGCGACCATAACCTAGTAGATGATAACAAGTTAGCTATGATAAATTGCCTGTGGTCAGTCAGAGGTTCTTGTGCAGGTCTCACCCATGAAATATAGATAAGTAGGCTAGCTAACTCAAATATATAAACACAATTCATTGATAGTTATTATTGAAAAGAATGCTTGTTATGCTTACATGCCTTTCTATGATTGACTTGGCCCGCATATTTTCTAGACCAGGTTAACTAAGTTTTGCAGTTAATTGTCAACGATGGGAATCATGTACCACACGTCAACATTTCACGAGTTGAATAGAACAGGCCTATTGGGTACAAAGTCTTCTCCAGATGCATCAATTTCAGAAGCTTTTGAGCTCTGAAATCAGATACATCAATATCAGAAACTTAAGATTTGATTCAGCAAGTTTGAACTGAGCAATAGTATCTTCTCCAGAAAACGCACCCCAGCATGCTATCAAGTTTTAACAAACATCAGGGACCATATCATGCATGGCTATACAACTTCCTCAAATCATAACACTAACACTTCTGTAAGTTCTATCTTGAAGCAACAAAATTTCTCACTACTGCATCATGCCTATTGTTGAGATCTGCAATGGTCATATTTCTCCACATTTAGTCACCTTTTCTGGCACCCATGATCACCCCAACAATTTGGATCCAACCTAAGTAACTGCAGGTACTTCCAGTAAGCAAGCCAACTTAAGTAAGTATCTTCAAAGATTCACCAAACTCTGGAAGCTAGGAGGATCTTTATTGCGGCATGTGCCATCTCTATCGTTCTGTGAGCTTAAACTAGGGATCACTGCCATAAACAACTGAAACCCAAACTTGAAAACCAACTGCCACCAACCTTACACACGACAAGGATTACACATCATAAGAAAATATCGATTCACTAATGTCTATCATACTAGCTAGAGAAGAGCCAGAAGAAGGACACCAAGAGATACCTTCAATTCTACTTTTTTGTCTTCTTTAATCCAGAAAGCCAAACAGGAAGAGTGTAAGGTTGAAGAGTCACACAGTATGATCATAAATCTATAGTCATACACAGCGCAGTGCAACATCTCTATCCAAGGTTAGTTCCCAAAAAAAAGCAGTGAAATACGCAACTGCCTTGCATCAAATTAAACCATCATTTCAACACTAAACCCAGAATCCAGGACTGAAAAGTGTATAATTACTAATTAGTATAAGTAAATAGAAGCCAACCTGTTGTGTTACAGGATCAATGTCAAACACACGGGTAGGACAACTGTCAACCCATTCTTTTTTCTCTTCGAGCGTCAATGACTCCATAAGATCTTCATTTATATGAATTTCTGGCTCATACATGAAAGTTACAGTCGCTGCTGGCGACCATTTCGCATGATCTTTGCCAATTCCCTTCCTAGCTATTGCTCTCAGCCTTAGTTCTTGCCCTCGGCGTAACTTCACAATTATAATCCCCCTGAATACAATCCAACAAGTCATTAACGAGTAACAATCATTATCTCATTTGAGATCCAACAACAAACTACGTCACAGCATTTAGCGGAACAAATAGTTAACAAGACCCAGTTGAAACACATACAATAAAATACAAAAACCATGATGTCCATGGGAGATCATTAACAAATGAAATTATGGCCAAGTTAACCAACAAACATGATAATTACATCACTTAATAAAAAACTTTACAAAATCAACAGAGATCACAACATAATAATATATATTTTAAAACTTTTGGAGTTGAAATAAAGAAGACAATTTTTTTATATATAAATTATAGACTAAATCTGATGAAGCGTCCAATTGAGAAATTTATCCAGAAGAAAAAAGAGGACGAATATGTAAAGAGCCAATTAAACATCCAAACAAATGCTAGCTAGGTCAATTATGAAAATGAGTTAGTTAAAGAGGAAAATAGATGAAAACAACTTATTTGAATTCCTCATTTTCGGATTTGAAAGTCGTGAGTTTTTTGCTTCTCCCTCCATTCAAAAATAAAACACATTGGTGGATTACCTGTTCTCAGAAGCCTCCATACCAGCAGGGTCAGAGAAGTCTACAGGAACTACCGTGTGGTCGGAGCTATAGAGGTCCTTGCTGGTAACATCTAGGGTTTCGTCAGTCATGCACTTGACTCTGAGGTGGAACTCGACGGAGCAGAACTCACACTGGCCGTCACCGTCGCAGGCATCGCAGTCACGCGAGAAGCGCATGGCCATGGCGCGGTCGCTCGTGAGGGGGATGAGGCCGAGGCGGTGAGCGATGAACTCGTCGTTGAGGACGGACGAGTTGACCTCGATTTCGACGAGGTCAATGGCAATAGTGGGGACCTCGGCAATCATGACGCGGCGGAGGGCATTGGCGATGCTAGCATCGGTGTCTCGAAGCTCAAACTTGACATAGTCGTCCTTGAGCTCTCGAATTTTGACTCTTGGCATGCGAGCGTAGGATACTCCCTCCATTGTTGTAGTGAAGAAACACTGATTAGAGAAGAGGCTCCTTCAGGCTTAAACCCCGAAACCAGGGTTTGGCTCGGTTCCGTTGAGTTTCAGCCCGACGTCTTCTTTGTTTCATTTATGTCGAGCTTCACCCCAAAAAAAAACAAACACAACAAAATAAAACAAAAAAAAAGGAAAAAAAAAAGCCAAAAACAAAAACAAAAGAAAAGAAAAGGAACCAAATAATGTCCAAAATTAAATTATTGAGGTTTTTTGACGAATTAATTGCGTTTTTGTATGATAAAAAAGAATTAATATCATTTTGATTTTGAATTCAATTTTTATGATTTATTTTCTCACTTTTTAAAATCATATATATATATATATATATATATTTTACTTTTTGTTATTAATTTTAAATTGAAATTAAAATGTTTTACCTGGAAATTGAAGAAACTTATACTTTTATTTTCTAGTTTATCGTATTTAATAAAAAAAAATAGATTGTGGAGCTTAGGATATAAAAATGATTAATGAATCCGACCGTTTATATATTAATTTATATTAATCTACTTCATAAAAATAAATTATAAGAGCAATGGGTGAAACTGTGGCAATCAACATGACTTAAACAAATAAAGAAAATGAAACACAACGGAGAGTACACCTCAACTTTTTATTACAATATAAGATATAAGATGATTTGAAGTTCATTCTTCTTTATTAAAAATTCTAAGAATAAGAGTTAGAAACAAATAAGCAAACACGATACTTCAAAAGTTTAAATTAAGTGGGAAAATTAGAGAGCTTGGATACCACCTTTTTTCTTTTAAAATAAGTTACTTATAAACAGCATATTAAATTTATTTTCATTTATTACTTTTAATTTGAATCAAGAACTCAAAGTTTCTCTTTCTCATCACAACTTAAATTTTTTCAGTTATGATGTCGTACTCTATATAAGAAATATAAAGATTACACTTTACCGAATAGAAACATCAAGCCATACGTAAAAACTTTATCCAGAAGAGATAAATGAATCTTTCATTCACTATTAAGAGTGCACTGCCCTTTCCTTCTTTTTGAGCTTTTGGGTTTCTCTCTTCTAGACATGAGAAGAGGAAACACTTGCATCTTCATCTAATGGAACCACAAGAAGCAGCCAAGAATGGGCACCTAAAAACTCACTAACAGAAGGAATCTTCTAAGATACACTTGGTGACATGCTTAGATAGCTTTTCATAATCTACTTGATATATTACATTTACATCTCTTGAAGATGTTGTTTATCCAAAGATATTCACGGCCAGATAATGTTAGCGCAGATGATGCCTGCATGATGATAAACCAAAGCCTTTATCAGCAAGGATAACAAATTTACCTCACCAAGCTTTTGTTAAGAGTAAGCTTCAACAAAATGATTAACCTTAGAGTCTCCTTTGTACCCCGGCGAACTTTGCACCGGATGGTAGGGAGTCCAAGGCGCTGGTGAGCCTCGAAGCGGTGGCAGCCAGAGAAGCCTATAAACCAAAGAGGAGAAATATTTATCAAACTTGGACTGAGATCACCATGCAAGATCTTTCAAGAGTCTCTCTATTTTCTGTTTTCTGACCGGTCCCTTTTTTTTGTCTAAACTAACCATGATTCACTTTTGAGTTACTGTATAGCATAATAATTTTAGCCATCATCTGTGTGTTTAAGAATAAGAGTGAATCTGTACATCTTTTCTAGATATGAGAGCAACTTGATCGCGTTCCAAATGAAAACATGTTGAACCTATGATACAAAAAGTTGAACTTATGATACTGCTCTAAAGTACGGGTTATGTTGCTGTCGAACATCACTAATAGAAATGATTAAATGGCAGTACTTTTAACATACAAGAGAAGTTCGTTTAAATTTTTCAGAAATGAGGAGAGTTAAGGTGAAAGTATTGTACTCAAACGTAAATTACTAGATCTTGCACACATACCATAATAGACTCCATCAACCTCAAGAACATCAATCTGGATAAATAAAAAGTCAGATAACTTAGTAGCTCCGTCCATGATATTTTGACGAATCAAAATTTTATTTACCCAAAACAAGATGAACCACAAGTGTTTCACAAACATAAAAATTCAGCTTGCAGCTAAGCTAAACATATACTATAATTTCAAACCTTGTATCACTAACTAGTAATTGGAGAAGAAAACTTGCAATGAATGCAACTTAGGAGGATGATATGAACATACATACCAAGTTGTGTCATAGCATGCAAAATATAGTGAAATACAACTCAAGATTTGGTTTGGGAAAAACTATGTTAACTCGGCATAATTTTTTGTTCGATCATCACAGTTGATGCTTATGATTGCAATGACATCAAGTTTTTCACCTGAATAACTCAAATGTGATTATGAAAAAAACATCATAAGAAAGATGTTTTTCACAAGCAGCAAAGCTTGAAATTTCCGAGGAACAACCTTGCCAGAAAAAGTTTCCATTTATGCTTAATAGAAGGCTTGAAATATCTTGCTGCTTACTGAAAAGAATGAACAGATTTTTATTTTCTTCAAGATTCCAACTTGCTGTAAAAATTCTTGCTCCAACAAATCAAACACAATTCATCTTAGTATTCCCCTCAGTAATCATTTTCTCAGAAGCCAACTAAAGGGAAAACCTGAAGTTAATAATCTTATTATCATCTGGCGCTGCAGAACACTGAACCTGGAACAAATCATAGGCATGAACTATATGACGCAGGAGATTTGCAGTGAAAATGCTTGCTTCAACAAGAAACCCATCACAATTCACTCAGTATTCCCACAAAAATCCTTTTCCTAAAAACCAGCCAAAGCGACAATCCTTGTTCAAACAAACCATCAGAGTTCCTTCTACGTATTTCCCTCAAAAGAATTTTCCAAGAAACCACACAAAGGGAAAGAAAACCCAATCACACAAACCCCCAAAAGAAACAAGAAGTAGAAGAAAATTTGACGAGGGAAACAAGTTCTTACAGGAACTTGAAGTCCTATTTCACTAATACTATCCATAAGTTCTTTCACTTTGTTAGGATCATTTGCCCTCGTCCTCATTAGGGGCCTCCTTATCCTCTCTAGAGGAAGCTCCAGAATCACTGGTCCCCCGGCGCCAACACCTCCCGTTCCAGAAGCAGAAGGAGAAGCCCCTAATTGATATAAACCAAAAACTAGTTATAAATTAATACCAACAGACTAATGGGAAAACGAAGAAGAAATTAATTTTTCATTGATAGAGATTCAAGAGGAAATCATAACAAGTACCATTGGACGAAGAAAAGACAGGGAAGGTCCTCAACCTACTTGGAACCTGAAGAACAAAATTCGCCATTTTTCTTCTTGTTTTTTTTTTTTTTTTTGGAGATTCTTCTTTCTCTTAATTTTTAACGAGCAAGTCGGAGAATGAATTGAGATTTTAGAACCACAAGATGTGATAATTACGACAGTGGCGTGGCACACCAATTTCAACGGTCTAGATGAGATATTGTATACGTTCTCTGGAAGTACCCGACCGCACTCGATAATTTCTCAATATAGTTCACTCGCTTAGAAATTTTCCCGAGAAAATGAGGTGATATCAGCAATGCTTCACTGGGAGCTATGGCTACGACGATTTCTTTCTTGCTGATTAGGTAGATTACAATCTCTTCATTGCCAGATTGTTTATGTGATATTATTGAGTTTGGCTTCGCATAATTGTCAGGAACTCCTCGACATTGATATCACCAAGACTTTTCGTGCCTTTCTTGAAAGCAGCAAACCACAATTTCTCCAAGTTCGTTCTTCCTATCCAATCTCGCAGGTGTTGTTGTCATCTCTTTCCTTTTCTACTCAGCTTCCTTTTATATATTCTGAGCTAGAAATAAATCCTGAGCTCCATATAATTAGCCTTTTGCTGTTTTCAGTTTTACGAATTGCGAAACTGATAAAATGACGGAAATTGCAAAAAGATAGATTAGTAGTGATGGAATGAAGCAGATTATCATAAAAGGCTTAGCGAAATTCAGTTTTCAAGTAGGTTATTAATTATTATATAGAGAAATGACAATTAAGAGGATCGATAACTTGTATTGTATTAATAGTAGGAGGGTTTTGATTTGTAGTACAGATTTAAAATATCATTGTAATATTAAAAAAGTTTATGTTGTAATTTTGCATTTCATGAGTTACTTGGGGGAATACCGTAGTTGTGGCTTTTGTTCTGTTACTAAGAATGCAGGCGAAAATTTTACTAAGGAGCTGAATGCCGCATTATAGAGTTAGTGAGAAAAGAATCCAAAGGTTCTAGCATTCTTGAAGTTAGAGATAGGAACACAATTTGCTGTTAGTGGCTGTTCTTGATGAAAGAAAATGAAAGAGGACTGAAGATACTATACCAGTCATTCAGTAGTCAGAGTATTCAGCATTCAAATTCGCTTTGATTCAGATCATTGCCTATCATGACAAGGCCACTAAATTCCTGCTAGGAAGAAATTGTGAAAACAAATCCGAGGAACGTGCTTACAGCTAAAATACATCAATTACCAAGATGATCCTACTGTCCTTGTGATATTGAACATAAGAAATATATTCAAATAGAGTGAAATTTTTATGTGCCTATCCATTTAGCTCGGACTGATCAAGCGAGGCAACTTATTAAATTTGACATCCATAAGATTGTGCCTTATTTTCTTCATACATTACAAATATTTCCAACACAGATTGTTTGTCTGAGAACCGTAGTTTAAGAATCAGCAAGGAAAATAAGTATTGCGTACCTTGTTAACAATATATCCAAAGATTTGTTTCTCAATAGAGCATAATAATTCCGTGCAATCCATGTAGCTGCCTTGCCTAATGGAATAAAGCTTGTTCCTGTTACTGATGCTCTTCAATAATTAGATAAAATTTCTGGTGCCTCATTTGGTACATAGAAATTGGCACAGGAGAAGTGAAAGTGGAAATGGAATTCTGAAATTTGCTTATTTAACACGCAGGAACCCAATTTTCCAAGAAACCCAATTCCATAAAGATCATGGAATTCACTTCCAAGGAATAATATATTTTGAAAAGACCTAGGCTAGTGGATGGTGATGATGATGATGATGATGATTATTATTATTATTGTATTTTGCTTTAGCTTGTAAGAAACCTACCTATGTGGTGGCTTCTTTTTGTGTTATTTTTTAATATTTTGTAAGAGGAAGCCTGAACATTGGCTTTATGTGGATGGGTTATTAAGGTTTCCTTATTAGGCATTAGAGATTAGTTTAAATAGACTAAGTGGCACTTGTAATGGGGGACTTGGCTGAATGAATGAATTTTATGGGTTCATTTCTGAAAGCCCTCTCTCCTTCTTTGTTCTGCCTCCCTCACTTTCTTGTGTCCCCCACTGTTCTGTCTTTATTTTCTTCCTTCTCCCTCTCTTTTTCTGATTCCCCCTCATCTCTCTTTCTCTGTTCTGTCTCTCTTTATGTCTCCCTTTCCTCATCTCTCTGCTTCTGTATCTCATCTCTCCCCCTCTGTTTCTTTTTCTCCCTACTCTCCCTTTGTTCAGATCTGTGCAAGTGTGTGTGTGTGTGTGTGTGTTACATCAATACCTCCATAAGAACTCAATTCCATCCTTTTCGCTCAAATAAAATTTTTATCTTACTTCCACCATTGTACCAAATATAAATTTTTTCTCACTTCCACTTCTATTTTTACTTCCACTTTTATCAAACACTCTTCTCTTATACCAAACGGGGCATTAGGTCTTTGCTATTAGGCTTTTAAATAGAAAAGTCCCACGCGTCAAGGAACTTTTGTGCAAGACAATCACATGACTAAAAATGCAACAGAATATATAATTCTCATATTATGTTGGAGAAGTTAATAGAAAGCACATAGAAGTTGTATCTTAACTTTCAGAATGTTCTGTTTGTCTGTTCTCTGAATAGCACTGACTATTGACTTATATTACAGTTTGCCTTTCAGTACTGGTGCCGCAAATAATGAAGAGGCTGCAGCCAAAGCAGCTGCGGTCAACGCTGATAGTGGAGCCCCAACAATGTACATCCATTCTGACTCTCAGTCTTTAAAACAGTGCTTGCTTATCATTCTGGAGTTCTATATTTTGAACTTCCTAAGTTTAATTCTTATTAACTTGACGGGCTTTGCAAATATTTAAATATTGAGGTTTTAACATTTATGGCAGTCATTTTCCTTGTCATAGAGAAGTGAATTGCTGTGATGAAACATAAAATACAAAGTATCTCTTCATAGAATTGCAAAATAGCAATTATCCAAAATTACCTAACATTGTTGAACTTCTCTGCCCCTCTGAAAGAATGTTCCAGACTGAGTTTGGAAAATGTAAAGAATCAATTGAGAAGATTTTGAGCATCTTTCACAGAGTTTCACTGGCAAATGAATTGTAACTGTGAATGGTCATTCAGGCTTCGAAAAATATGATATGTGAGTCTTAGAGATGCCTCTTGGGGGTAAAGGATAACCAATGTCTTCCTTGATCTTAATATAATTAGTACATAATGGTATTTTCATTAAATCAAAGGTAATATACTAGTAATCAGGATAGTGCTGTGTCCTGAATGTAATGACAACTAGTAACAAACATAATTGCTTAATCATCTGGTTGTTTCACTTTTGTTCTTTTTTTCCTGGTGTTCAATCTAGTGACCCCGATTTACCTCAGATTTGACAAGATCATAAATAAGGAAATCCCTTCAAGCATTGTGTATGAAGATGAAAAGGTCCTAGCATTTCGGGATATTAATCCCCAGGCACCGGTTCATGTTCTAGTCATTCCAAAATTTAGAGATGGACTTTCGCAGCTTGGGAAGGTAATTAGTCACCCTTTCCCTATTGTTTTTTGTGTGTGGAAGAAAATTTTGCATGATCGGTTTGTGCTGTTTTTTTTTTTCCATTTTTTTTTTGGGCTTAACCTTCCAAGTAGCAGTAGCAGCTATAGGAAGTGTATTTTGTAAAATTTGGTTTAGCTGTTGTTTTCTTATATTTGTGCTGTAAGAAGATTTTTAGGGAATGATTGGAGAAAGTAAGTAATAGGAAACAAAAGAGAAACTACATGTTTCATACTACATTTTTAGGGAAATGAAGCACCATGATTTTTCCTTCCCTTGATTTTAAGTGATTTTTCCTTCCTGTCTAGGAGGATAAGTAATAAGAGTAAAGAAAAGAAAGGCAACTGTTTTTGTTTGATCCAAGATGCAGAAATTGGTTTTATGTTCTATTCTTGTTTGATTGATAAGATGTTTTTCCAATTCTTGTTTTCTTCAGATTTCAAATTTTTTCTTCATAAGCATGGAATCAGTGAGATTTTAAATCTTTACTTAGCAGGTGTTTGAAATGATTATCACCATATCCGTGATGTCAGTGCATGATTAATATAAAATCCACTTTCTAAATTTTCACTCATTGTTCATAAATCTATGGGTCCAAAAATTCAATATATATATATATATATATTATATAGGCATTTTAATTGGAAATGTAGCATGTTTGCAGGCTGATCCTAGACATGAGGAGATACTAGGTCAGCTTCTTTATGCTGCCAAAATAGTGGCTGAGAAAGAAGGTATTCTTGATGGATTTCGTGTGGTCATCAATAACGGTCCCGGTGCCTGTAAGCATGTTTATCTCTGGGTTTTGTTTCTGTGGCTTCTCCATATTAATGTGCCATTTTTGCTGCCAATCCCACTCACCCTATTCTCTCATTATTATGATTAGGTCAATCTGTGTATCATCTGCACTTGCATGTATTAGGTGGGAGACAGATGAAATGGCCACCAGGCTGAAGATTGAAAAGCAATGGCTGTTGACTTTGAAACTTAATCTCCTTTCCTATTAGTGTTAATATTTTCCCATTTAATGATAACAACGCGGCTCGAAGGCTCCTCCTCTGATTACCTCATAGGGATGAAGCTTGTCTTTATTGCAGACATGACGTAGCTACTTGAGGTTACTGACCTTTGTTCTATGGTTAATTCAACTAGAGCTTGTTTATGCAGGATGATGAATTTCTTTTGCAAACGATAACGTACACTTCTTAGATCGCAGATATTGTGAAGATGTTAGATTACAAAGCACCCACCCATTAAAGGAAAGAATTATCAGATGTTCTTATCATGCGTGACATGGGCGTACAAAATTATCCGCATGTCAAATATGACACGTTTGGGAATCTTCAGGGATTCTTGCGCTAAGAATACATTAAAATGCAAAAATTCTCCATTGACGCAAGACTATTACAGCTTTCTCCTTTCTGTTGTCAGGTTAGATGAATTGGATCCGAAAGTGTAGCAAGACTCTGTATTTAAAGATTTAAAAATTAAGTATCTATTAAAATAAAAAATATTTAAAATGTAATAATAAAATGAAAGTAAATGTAGAAAAATTTAACCATGACACCAAATCCATTTTGACAAAACCACTGGTAAATAAAGGAACGGGAACAAGAGTTAAAAATAATAGTCAAATTGATTTATATTCTATCCTGTACAAATGAAGGTACAATCAATTATCAAATTGTGTCTTCTATGCCTCATCTAACAACGAAAATGTATTTTCGTATGGTGGCATCTACCACAAAACGTGCCAGGAATCTTGAAATATGGTGAACTAGTCCCTTGACTAGTGAGCTAGCCCCCCCAGAGTGAAAATAAAATATACACTCATCAAAGAGCTATAGAGTACTAATTGCAGTCCGGTTTGTACATACACAAGAGCAGTCAGGATCCTTTCTGACCAGCCTTTTATCACGATTTATCATCAGTTTGATCAAGGGTAGCTTTTTTGAAACTTGTCTCCAGATTTCATTAACTGTTCCATCTGGCTCCGCATATTGAAAGTATCGCTTCACCTGAAACCAGATATATCAAGTTGTCATTTAGTGGGGGGAAGGAAGAAGAAAAGAGTTCATAAACGGCTCAACCAAGCTATAATTACATTTCAATGAAACTATTTATAATTCAGATTGAATGCCGATAATTGGCCATGCAGTTAGAAAGAAGGAAAAATGCAAGCAACCCAAGAACATCAGAGTATAAAGCTCAACCCAAGTGTTCCATGATGAATAACAGGGGAAAGTGAGCAAGAGAAACTAGTTCTCATTCGTTATCACAATTCAGTTTGATTGAAAATGTAACTCAACATTGTTATAATGCAGAGTAAAAACATGCTCTTGTTGATTTAAAAACCAGAATGGGCAAAGAAAGTAATTCCAGCATTTACTTATTGATTTAAGAACCAGACCGGACAAAAGAATTCATTCCAGCACTACTAACCTCTTTTAGTTCTTTCTGATATTCAAGAATCCTATCTGGAGTAATTGCTCTCAATGCTGACACCAAGTACCCGGGCCTTATAGCAGCAGTAGATTCTACAAATATTGCAATTTTTCTGTAGTCTATAGTATCTTCAAATGGCAATTCAATGCTATCACTAACAATCACTGGAACGCACAAGCTAACAATAGCATCAAAGAGTCGGCAAGCTGACGGGGTATCTCCAGCAGGGTGTAAACAGAACTTTGATGTGTGCATTCCTTGTGAAGCCGCCCGTCTACTCTCTCTGGACTGTGCTCCATGCTTTATTATGACATCCTTTTCTTTTTCAAGAATTTGAAAGAGTGTATCACGAATTTTGCCTCCCTGTTAACAGATTGTAATATAAGGAAATCAGTTGCAGGAAAAAAATTGTCCCAAAAAAGTTTCTGCACCAAGGCACTGTACTTCCTTGCCGTCTATTTTTTTGGTATTTGACTTATTTGCTTGCAATATAAGGAAATGAAGTGGGACCCGGGGGGGAGTGTTTGTGAAGGTATAGACTGATGCTCCCTCGTTCGCATGTCAATAGAATAAAAAGAAAGAAAATAACCCAAATTTAGAATCCCTGGAAAAAAGGATAGCGTTTCTAAAAATTGAGAAGACCAGAAAAAGAGAAGATAATTTTTCAATGACCAAAACCAGCGTATCAGTATAAAATAACCATATATCGAAAGGATGTTCAAGCTCACTTTTTTTTTTTTTTTTTTTCTTGGCCTGATTCCTGAAAGCTCATATGTTATTACAGTAGCCTCCTGACAGAGATAATTTTCCATCAACTAGCTTCACCTATCACCAGATTTTTGCCATTCTCTCAAAGGCCCTACCCAATTATATGATGATTGCTAATTGCTGTGGCAAAATTAAGCATGATGAAGAAAGAAACTCTGAAGTGGAAAAAAGGATCATCATAGAAAATCATGGAGAAACTGCATGAATACAAACTACCAGTGGCGAAAAGCGCTTTACAACAGTTAAATTTCAAAGAAAACAATTCAAATCAAGGCACTTTAGGAAAATAAAAGTAAAAAAGGCTTGACATAGCAGTTGGCGCTAGCTCTGCCAACATTTATGGAAGGCTAGACCAAAACTGTTATGCTGATATCTGAGACAGAGAGCAGGGCTAAGTAATGATCACAATGTAAACCTCATAGCTTAGCATTAAATAATTGACAATCATATCTGGATCCTACACTAGTGCATTAAATTTTGTTCCTTTTATACATATTCAAAACACAAATTTTAACGGGAGCATTTCAATATCATCGATGCTGAAAGCTTCAATTTCCCTTCAGAATCTAAATCTCTCATTTACACTTTCCCACTAGCGCACTCAGTACCACATCTTCTGAAGAACAACCACTCATCAATCTTACATCCTCAGCCTTCGGGATCATTCATTTCTGACATGCTCATCAATCACACACAACGGAGATGCAATTCTAAACCCCACTCAAAAAGCAAAAATCCATAATAAAACTAACCTCAGAAGAGCATAAATTATAACTACCAAATTTATAAGCATCGCATATAGATATTAAACTAGATCTTATTACCTCCTTGCGATATCTGTTGCCCATGAAAAATAACAACGTATTGCGATTGTCGAGACCAACATCTCCATCATACACTCTGATTCGGTGAGAGTATGGTATTACGACGTCCTTAACAATGGATCCTTGGTCCGGTCGCAGGCGCCCAAAATCCGAAACAAGCAGCACACTGTTCTTTACCCTATCGATCACCCGGTAAAGCGCATTCGGATCTGAAGCGGCAAACACATGGTCTCTTCCATCATTCCTTTGCCAATACTCCTGCTCATCCAGCCACTCCACCAACAGCTCCTGATTCTCCTCGTCGCTATAAACAGGCTTCTCAGCGTCCGTCGTAGCAGAGGGGCGAATCGGGTTCACAATCAAACTCAGAGAAGAGAAGAACGGCACAAAGAACAGGTCCGCCTCCTCAGGATCCAATACCCTGACAACAGGTGAACCAGCGCGCTCGGACTGGGGCCGCATAAGATCAGAGTAAAGGTACCATTCTGACATGTGCTGATGACCGGGGTACTTGAGAGTGGTCGAGTCATCGACAGGTCTACCGCCACGGGCCAAGGAATGTTGCTTGATGACTCCATAAGTGAACCTGGTGGGAAGATCATATACGTAGACTTTGACAGGCGAATTCCCGGCGTAATCATTGCTCTCGCGGAGCACGACGGAAGCAGATTTAGCAGAATTCAACGAGAAGTCGGTGTCGTCGAGTTTGGCGGAGGAATTGGTGACGGTGGTGGGATTGAACAAGGTGCTGAAAAGAGCAAAAGTGACCAAAGCGACGAAGAAGGTGACAAGGGTTTGCTGCAGAGCCGATTTTCGCGCCATTGCGAAAACAGTGATCGCGCGATGAAAGAAGATGAAAAGGAGCGAGTTGGGCAGGTTGGCTAGCCAAGTCGTGATCGACCACACGGCGCACTTGGATAATGTGCGCAGGGAGTGAAGAGAAGTACCTCTGCTGTTCAGTTGATCTGGCTCATGGATTTCAAAAACCATCGGAGACGTAATGTGAGGACTGGGAGGGTATTTATATGAAAGTGAAGGGGTATTTAATTATTTAAAAAAAATTAATCATTTGTCCAAATTTATTTTAACACGCTGAGTTAACTCAGTATAACTGAATTTCTATAACTCTTATTCCTGTGCATGACAGTTAATCATCCCAACCGGTATTCTGATTTTCAATCATAGAATATGGAATAGGATTATTACTTGTAGCTAAATTCAGATTAAGGTTGTATTTGGATTAGTGAATTTAAGTTAAAAATTTAAATTTGAAATTTTATATTTGAAATTCATAAGATTTTAAATTTTTTGTTTATATGATATAAAAAATTTTAAATTATAATATTAAAATTCTTTATTTAGATTTAAAGTAAAATTTTAAATTTTAAATTGTATATTTAAATTTAAAAGAAACTTGGATGAAGTCAACAATTTATTTCTAGTCAAAGTCAATAGTTTAAAAGGTTAACTTTTATCATGACTAGACTATCAATGCCGACTAGGAGCGAATAATTGACTTTTATTGAGACTGGATAGACAATGATGACCAAGACGGGGCCACTAACTTCCACCAAAATCAAATAGATGGCAATGACTAGAGCCGGACGGCCGACTTCTGTAACAACTCAATTTAAATTTTAATAATTAATTTAAATTTATTAAAATTTTAAAAATATTTAGATATAAGTAGATTAGTAAAAGATAATTATTAAATTTAATTTAAAATATAATTTTAAATTAATATTTTTAAAAATTATTATTATTATTATTATCATCTCATTAATTCATTATCAGGAAAGAAGAAAAAGAAATATAAAAAGGGGGAGAGAGACTGAAAAATAAATAAATGAAAGAAGAAGGGGGTGGGAGAAACGGAAATATATCCGTTGTGCGCAAGTGTATAGATATATGTGGAAATTATTTTAAAAAAAAAGGAAAAAAAGGAGCCACAGGTGAGAAAAAGGGCCTGGGACCCACACTTATTTTTTTTAAAAAAAATATCATCCACCCAATTCCTTTTTCATTGTTCCGTCCTGTTTCCATGTGCTCTTCGTTCCGGGACAGAGAGGCTACCCCAGGAGGGAGAGAGGGGGGTGCGCAGGAATGGTGAGAGAAAGCTGATTCAAGCCTCATAATAAAATATTTTAAATGAGATTTTAATTTTTTTAAAATTATATAAATATTTTTAAAAAAATTAATCATCTAAACTTTTAGATTTTAATCTTGTGATGGTAAAAAATTTAAAGTCTGAAAGAAAAATAAATTTATGATAAATAAATGTGATTGTTGAGATTATTAGCAATATAATAAATATTTTAGAATATGAATTTATTAATGAAATTTGAATTTGAGGCTTATAAGTTAAACCTCAAACTTACATGGACATATTTTTGTTAAATCTAAAAATATATATTAATTTAATTTATTAAGGGTTAGATAATTATTTAGGATGAGAAACCTATTACTATAAATATAGAATGATAATTCTAGACTTGAAATTAAATTTATAATTTTTAAATATTTTTAGATTCAAATTTATAAAATAAAATGAAAAATTTTGATGATAGAAATTGATTTAGAGATTGATTTTACCTTATTAGTATTTACCGATGATTAAAAGCAGAGTTAAAAATTTTACTTAATGGTACTAACTCTAGCTTTATATTAATCATGGGATTAGATGTACAACTTGGATTTGGATTTTCAAATCTAAATTTATATATATCCAAAAATGATATAAAAAGATTTATCCCAAAAAAAAAACAATGCAGATTAAAAACTTAAAAGGAGGAAAGCCATTTGTGCCGGTAGCAAAAAAATAAAAGTCATTGCCACTTTTCTTCATTTATTTCTCTCTCTTAACTTAGTATTAATTATTTCAAATATTCTTAAACTTAAAATTTAAAATAATATATTGGTAAAAAAATTAAAATAACATAGATCATAAAAAAAAATTAAATTACTTATTATTTATGATTTATTACTAGAGTATGCCACAGCTTCTAATATCTGTTACATTTTATATTAATATATGGATGGATAACATGCCAAATTGCCATGTTAGCAAATGAGAGAAAAAATAAATAAATAAACTTTGGAAAATACAAAATGGATCAACAGTTTTATTAGAAAAAATAAGTGGTTTTTGAAAACAAGGCTAGGTAGAAGTTTTAGGGTTGTAAATTACATGAATGCAAACTTAGCGTATATACAAGACATGTAGAAATAGAACATTATCAACCTCTGTTAAAAAAGAAGAAGAAGATTATCAACCAACTACTGCTCCCTTCATCTCTAATTATAAGTTTCAATTTTCAACTTTGTTGTGCTTCTAATTTTAGATCTCATTAAAAAGTTCTATCTGTAATTAGGATTTTTTCCCTAAAATATCCCTTATAAATTATGGCATTTAATTGAAGACAAAATTGAAGAGAATAAACAAATTTTTACACATTAACTAAATTGCAGTGTTTTTTTATTTATATTTAGACTAGATAAATTAGGACTTATAATTAGACACTAATTGTGATTTATTAGATTTATTGAATTTATTCCAGCAACATGAGCTTTTACGATTTGAAAAAGATTGTCTATGCATTAGTATTATATTAAATGAATTTTAAAGATGGATAAATATTACAATTTCTTTTTTCCCCTGCCACATTCTACATAAATATATTTGCCAAGGCCCATGGCGGGGAGCAGCGGTTGGCCACTGAAAAATTGGCTGCTTGTGAGTGGCATCTAGATATTAGAAATTAAGGGGGGCCCCACTGACACATGTAAAGACGTCATTCACTGCCCATCCATTTCTACAGTTCCCAAACCACGAAACATATAATGCAGCATGCTTTTGTTTGTATTGTATTGTTTTTGTTTTTTTTGTTTTAATAAAAGTCTTTACGCACCCCTCACGATACGCATTCTTGTTTCATTATTCAAATTATTTATATTTTTCAATTTTAATAAAAAGATAATTTTGTCGTTGACTTGACCAAATACTAGTCTTCCTTTTATTCTTCTTATATCACTAAGGCAACATATGACAGAGCAGATCTTACACTTCTACCACTAAACTAACAGTCTGCATTTGATGTTGGAAACAACAACAGCGGCAACCACATGAACTAATTCATGGAAATCTCTTAGGATTTCAGGTCATTTGATCTTATTGCTCTAGTTTCTTTCACTTTTCCTCATAATTTCTCTGTTCATGTATATTTTCCTAATTAGGCACCATCACCTTTTCTATTGTCCTACAGATTTCTTACTTTAGGTTTTCCTGCTCATCTTTTTCAGGTGTATATTTGCTGGAGAAACAAGAATCCAAATTTCAATTCAAGTCTTGAGGTTAACAGAACTTATTAAATATGCAAACGTCTTGGTATATTTTAGGAGGAACAAAACATGTATAGTGTATATTTAAATAGCCAAAAAAAAGGCTAAAAAAGCTGTATTAAATTCATGATATTTTTCTTTCTACAGTACTTTTATTTTGGAGAAAGCACTTTTCACCAAAAGAATTGTTAACAAGATCAAAGGGCACTACTATTCATTGTTACAAAGTTATTTCAATTGTTTTTCTGTCAGAAATATACGTCGGACTAGATTTTAATTCTAGAGAGGCACATGGCCAAAATTACTATGAGAATATCGAAAATACATATGACAAATCTAATAGGAGAATGGTTTGGTATGTGTATAAAAAAACTTTATTTCTCACTGGAAGGAGGTAATCTGTGTTTGCTTTACAGTGAAAAATGACTACATCAGATGCAAATTCAACAACTAGCTCAGAATCATATCAACAGCTCCAAAGGGCTACTTCGGCTCACTTTAGGAGTCCTTCCCTTCATCTATTGTCAGATACAGGTAATATCTCTATCCATGATTCATCCTATTTAGAATAATTAATATTGGTATTCATTCTATATGTTGATTCTGTAAAGGGTATAATATCAAAGTATGGATCTGTAAAGACAAAAGGTCAGAATCTGTAAAGGGTCTTATGATTTGAGATGGTGCATGGGTTATAAAAAGTGATAGAAAGAACCTTACACATCTCTGACCTTTCATAGTCCGCCTGAGAGGCTTGTAGAGTCATTATGATAACTACAGATTACCCCAAATGACTAACTATGCCATATTTTCAAGGATTATGATTGCTTCCTTGTTTTGTGGATGAGTTCCTTGATTTCTTGTTCACAGCTCACTGTGTTGAATGGGCTGGTCTCTACTGTAATATGGCCTTGCCTATATGGGCCTAATGCTTTATTAAATTGGCTTATGAGTAGTGATTAGGTATAAAAGGTGAACACTAGGGTCTAGGCAGGGTGAGTCAACGAATTTGGTGATTTCTCCACTCTGCATGGTTCTGCTCTATTCCCTTCCCTTATTGCTCGTACTCTCTTCTCTTTCTTGAGAGTAAGTTATCTTTATTAGTTATAGACCTTGTCATTTGTAGCTGAGAACAGAGTTTTAGCTGTGGCTACTTCTGCAAATAGTAATTTTCATTAAGATTCAGGATGTATTTTCTGTGCTTTCTAGAGTTGATGTTGTGTAGGTTAAGCTCACCATAACATTCATGTACCATGTCTTGAACAATCTGCACTGATGTCTAACACCTACACCATTGTCAGGTAGCCCTATCTGATTTCAGGTGTTTCTAATCAAGCTTTTTCTTATTAAACATCTATGCAGTAACCTTAATCTTTCTCTTTCTCATGAGTTACACCTGTACGAATGATGACAGCAATACTTCTAATTAAATATCAGCTACTTCATGTGAATCAATACTGAACTTCCTACTCCCAAACACAAAGAATCCAAGGATTCTAAATAAATCTGAATCCACTGAACTATTTTTTTTTTTTAATGTGTTTATTGTTTCAGAAGAGTCAAGAGAGAAATACCTCAACCTTGGTGTACCTCTTTATAAAGCAGCATTGAAAGGTGATTGGAAAGCAGTTAAGCACATCATAGAACAAGATTCAGCGCTGCTGACCGCGGCCATTACAAAGGGTTGGTTAACAGTTCTTCATGTAGCAGCAGGAGCAAACCATGTCCACTTGGTAGAGGAGTTGGTGAAATTAATGAACGAGAGTGACTTGGAGCTCCAAGACTACAAAGGGAACACTGCCTTCTGCTTTGCTGCTGCTTCTGGGAACACAAAAATTGCTGAAATAATGTGGCAAAGAAATACACTCTTGCCAACAATTAGGGGTGGACAAGGAGTGACACCTGTAGTCATGGCTGCTTTACAAGGGAAAAGTGCAATGGCATGGTATCTATACCCTAAAACTTTTGAAATGTTTGGAGAATTGGATTGGATTCTGCTGTTCTTCATTTCTATCAACACTGGAATTTATGGTAAGTACATGGTCCATAACCTGTCAATCAATATAGGGTGTCAGACAAAATAGTTTATCTGAGGCTTTAAAGTTGTTAAACATGTCATTCTTTATTGCTTCCGATCTGAAGATCATGGGGAAAATTGAGATAATAGCAATTACGCTTGAAGTAAACGTCTCTTTTCACTATTATATAAACGCTTTAAGCTAGTCTTTGCTCATGCCTGTGCTAGTTGGTCTGACAAGCTAGCTTTTGCTGTAAACTTGGAGGCCGGAGGGATTTGGTTTTTGGATTAGTCAAGTCATATTTGCTACAAGCATGGCAGAGATAGAATATGATTTCCCTAGAAACATGAAGCTTACATATTTCTTAATTCAGTTGGTAAAGTTCAATAGATAACCATCCAACAATTGATGATTGGTCAAAATCCAAATAATGGATTGTAACATTTATTATTTTCACCTTTCCTAAAATTGCATTGTGAGAGCACTCCAACTTACTTGTATGTATGACACCACTTGATGTATCGTGTGAATCATAAGTACCTCATGTGTTGCACATATCTAAAGCCTTGTATGAATTGTAACCAAGGAAGTTAAAACATGTACATAAGGACACCAACAATTATGAATTTGAATTTGCAATTCAAACATTATTGGAACATTTTGCAGATTTAGCCTTGGAACTGCTACGAAGGAGGCCGACATTAGCCTTAGCTCAGGATGGAAACAATGGCACAGCTTTGCATGTCTTAGCTCGAAAACCTTCAAATTCTGGTCACCAGAGTTCATCATATCAAAAACAAATCATGAAGTCCTGTGAGTGACTACAATCAACACTATCAGGAAAACTAAATCATTTAGACTATGAAATTTCACTTTCCATCTATTTTGCCTGGTTATGTTATTTAATGGGCAGAAGAATAAGTAATTGTTATTCGTGATTTCTTGAAAGAAGGAAAGAAGGGCGGTGAAAGAACTTGCCATTAATCCTTGCTTAAAAGATTCTCAAGAAGAAAACTGTTCTGTTCTTTCTCATTCTTATTTTCATTTCAAGCATTGGCTGAATCTAATATTAAAAGCAAAAGTACTCCAATCATCCTATTCATAATTGTTGATACGAGGAAGACACAATGCTAAGATGCTTCACTCATAAATAAAATGTATTCATCCAAGGTTAAGACTAGGGATAGATTGTCAAGGACCAATTCAACTCAAAACATCAAGCAGCAATGTGGCAGTCTTTCTGTAAGTTCATCTATAGCTATATTGCAATCTCCAATTTGCCCTTCATTTGAATGTACTTTAGGAATAAGTGTGGATACAGTTCCACCACACTCTAATGCAAGGAGGTGGCAAGGATTATACTCTGGACTGCTTAATTAATGACTCTTACTATGCTAATAGCAAACTCAGAAGTTTGAAGTGTGAAGCAAAAGCTTGGCAATATTTCAAATGCTATCAATATAATATACTTTCTGGTATTGGTTTTCTAAGATGAGTTCTTCATTGTCTTACTTTTTCGTCACATGAATAATTCCAGGTGTGAAGCAAAATCTGGTCATTGAGCTTGTTAGGAATATTTGGAAACAAATTCTTCTTCTAGATGAGTTGAGCATGATGAAAGTCATAAGGGAACCTTCACAAGTTATATTCGATGCCGCTGAAGTTGGAAATTTTGAGTTTCTAGAAGAGCTTTTGAGCTCTTACCCTGATTTGATGATGGAAAAGGATAGCAGAAACCGAAGTATAATTCACCTCGCTGTTTTGCATCGTCATGCCAGTATCTTCAATCTCATTCATGAAACTGGCCCAAACAAGGATTCCATAGTTTCTTCCCTGGATAGTAATGATAAATGCAATTTATTGCATTTTGCTGCAAAATTAGCACCACCAGACCGACTTGACTTGGTTTCAGGAGCAGCTTTTCAGATGATGCTTGAGCTGTTATGGTTTGAGGTATATATATATATCTTCGCCTTAACTCCAGCCTGTGCTTAAAAGCTCAATCTTCTTTCACTTTCTGTTTGCATGTGGCATAATAAATTCATGGTTCGATGTGGCAGGAGGTGAAGAAGATAATGCAACCATCAGCGATAGAGATGAAAAACTCTGAAGGCCTGACTCCTAGCGAATTATTCACCGAAGAACACGCAAAATTGCTAAAAGAAGCTGAGTCTTGGATGAAGGGAACTGCAAAATCTTGCATGGTTGTTTCAACACTGATTGCCACAGGAGTATTTTCTGCTGCATTCACCATTCCCGGAGCCAACAACAACGAAACAGGAACACCAAACTATTTGGAGAAACTGCCATTTCTGATATTTTCTATATCAGATGTGTCTGCACTTATTTCATCCTCAACCTCCATCCTCATCTTCCTCTCCATCCTTATCTCACGTTATGCAGAAAAAGACTTTCTCAAGTCACTGCCATTGAAGTTGGTATCTGGGCTCATAGCACTGTTCATCTCCGTCATGAGCATGATGATAGCTTTTAGCAGTGCCTTCTTTGTAACGTATTATCATGGTGTCAAGTGGGTCCCTTGCTTCATTTCAGTACTTGCATTCGTTCCGATACCCTTGTTCTTGTTCCTTCAATTTCCTCTCGGGTTTGATATACTCTATACCAAATACTTCTGTAGGTCTCTGTTTCGACCAAATAAACATATACTTTACTAGTTACTCGACTCAATTCTGTGTATGCATGTTTAAGTAATGAAGTTATTTATTTTGGTCAAAATTTATCATGTCAGTGCAATTCGTAATATTATATACAGTATATTTTGGAACCAAAGCGCGACTTGAAATCGCATGAGAAGCCTCCAATCGGATTATAATGTCCAGTAGACCATATTCGTATTGTATAAACCTGTCAACACGTAAATGAGGCTATGTATTTGATTTAGGATCGGATTACTTTGTTGTATATTATTGAGTATATTATGGAATGCTTCATTGTGAAAGGACTAACGTTAAAGGTGTGCAGGGAGAGTTCTATATATTAAATTTAGACTGAAAAATAATATTAAAAAATTTACAAAACCAATAAAAATAATATGATTATTACAAAAATATTAAAATAGTATAAAAGTAAATATGTCCCAGAAGGCCAGAAGCCCTGAAAAAACCACCACTGCAAAGCAATTTTAAACTGAAATTTAATATTGTAGAAGTTAAAAATAATAACTGGGGAATTGGGCGAAGGGTGTGTGCTGTGCCTTCTCTACTGCCGTTTCTGAGATCCCTCCATTTGATTCAACGATAAGAAACAATTCATTAATCGAAACGACATCGTTTTAGTTGAGCAAATCCTAACCATTTATTCACACAACGAATCCTAGTTGTTGGTTTCTTTTAATTCCAGATCCATATCCCTTCCCAGTTTTTCGACTTCCAGCCGAGTAGGAGATTGGCGCTGTTGTTATTCTTCCTCGTGGGATTGAGACCGTTGTTTGAAACGACGATTTCCGCCACGGATGCGTTGGGGAGAATTTTGAAGTGGCAGAAATTGTTCTGATTTTCAGATTTAGATTTAGGGCTCAACTTGCTTCTTCGCCATTGAAGGTGGTGATGTTTTAGAGGTAAAGGTTTGGGGGGGTGTGTGTGTGTGTGATCGTCTTTGAATTCATCAAGTGTGTGTGTATGTGTGTGATCGTCTTGGAATTCATCAAGTTCTCTTGTCTTCTGGTCATTTTTCTTTGTAGTCTCAATTCCTTAAGGCGCCTTTGCGTTAGTGCAGTGGATACTCCAGCTTCTTAACTAATCTTTTGTGATCTAGTGATTTTCAGTACAGAGAATCTGTTAAATTGAAACACATAAAGACTAAAACACAGATGCATTATTTATCTATTTTGCCAGGTGCGGATGTCTTTTACCAACCTAACGAGGAAGACGAGGGGCTTAAGTTAAAATTGCTGATGGCTAGGAATATTGGGCATAAGCATGTGCAGGATATACTGTATTAAAATGATAAGTGAATTGTCTCTAGCCATTGGATGAACTGGATGGATAAGATAAGGAGCATAAGGGGCAGCGTCAAAAACACATTAGACACCCCTCTTCCAGAATTATTCTGGTAGATCTTCTGCAAAATATTAAATGAGACTAATTGATGCTGTACGTGCTATATTATAAGAAGTTAAAAACAGAGATAATTTTTTGTATTAAAAAAAAAAACAAAGATACTTTCATCAATTTAAAAGATAAATAAATTAAAAGAGGACAAATACGGAATGTTGCGGAGGTGTCCGTTAAACTCCGTTTTGACCTTTTCGCCGCTGACGACGCGCATAAAGGCAAAATTTGATACGGGACGGGAAACTTTTACTGATAAATTAATGTAACCATTTTTTTTTTTTTTGTGATGCACGTACGATTTTATTTAGTTCCTAGAAGACAATTATATTGGATATAACAACACATGATAGAATATTCAGTTTGTAGAAAAAAATATTTGGGCCAAATATTAAGTCCGGAGTATACATTTAATGAATAAACAAAGTTAAAAGAGGAGAGATATTGAATTGAATGTAAAGTTCTGTGTTTTGACTTTCCGAATATGAATAACGGACAAATTTGATGATAAGCGTGTGAAACTGACAATCCCCAACGTGTTCCGGCAATGGTTATTAATTACAAAAAGCTAACAAAAGTACAAGGCGACCGATACAAGAATTAAGCAGCTTTGAAATGATAACAAATTAAGAAAGAGAATAAATAATAAAGAATATAATTAATCATATCACAATAAAACATACAGATGCAACGACATCCATTAATAGTTGTTCCTTTTCACCGAACCACTTTACTCCATTGTCAACGACGCAAGCTTCATCAATCTGCATGAAAATGAAATCCAAATCAAAACCATGCATAAAGTACTGCTTCTGTACCTGGTGATCGATGGAAACAAACACGTAAAAACAACATTGCCCGGCCCAACTCAAGTAGATGAATTTTGCGAACATAAATCTGTAAATCTAAGCAGAAAATCCATCTCAAAAAACTGAGTTGTTAGGTGCAGGAGAGATTCTTAAACTTATAAGCCACGCATTACTCCTTGACATGGAACTCATAACAATGAATCGGATCAAAATGGAAATAAATATTGAGCTCAGGAACAGAACGGAACCAACGAAAAGAGTCATCATCGACTGGTGGAAAAATGATCCTTGGTGTTTGGGGTTCGAGTGCCGGGTCTTGTGGAGTTATTAGAGCCCTGATGAGTCCGAGGTGGCGGCCTAGTGGTAGGGCAAAGAATGCTCTGGATGTTGATGCTTGCAGAACTCATATTTAGGGTTCTTCTTCTTTCAACGTCGAACGGTATTGGTTAAGCAGAAAGATCAATGATCGTGAGAGAGAGAGAGAGAGAGAGAGATAGCTAGGGTTTGCTGTGAATGAAGCTTGATGAGGAATTTAAACAGATACCGGTGTGTATTTATAGAGAGAAGCCCAGCCACGTATAGATAGGCTATAAGGTGGCTTAACGTGGAAGCAAGTGATCGATAAGAGGTTGATGAATTAGTTGAGTAATAAATGGAGAGAAATTTACAGGGAAAGTTCTGAATATGTTTCGGGCTCAAGCAGACGACCGGCTTAACTAAGAGAGACAGTGTTAAACCGCGTCGGTGACAGCCGATGGTATGGTGTGCTGGCATGCGGTCAAGTCTTGCATTCAGTTCGTTAAGTTTTCATGCCATGGGCGATGACTTCGAGGAACGTAGACTGTGAATGTGTGAACCCCCATACCATGGGTTTGATTTCCCCGTCATATCCGCGAGGTCTTTCTAGTATTGGGTTTCGGGTCCGGGTTCGGTCTCGACAGCAACCCAGAAGTGGGGAAGCTTCTTTACACCACGCGTCGTGATTGCATTAGATGAAGCTCCGAGTTGAACGGTGGGGCAGAAGTGGAGCCGATGGAGGTTGCTGCCGAGGAAGCAGAGAGCAGGAGCAAATCTTCGAAAGTTGAAATTTATAAATTTCTGTGAATTTTTTTTTTCCTTTTGATATTGCTTCCATTTTATTATTTTTTCATAAAACATAAATTTTTCTCTCTTTAAAAAAATGTATATACTTCATGAAATTTATTAATTTCAAACTTATCAGATAATTCATTCTCTTTAATTTGTAAATAAGCTTCTGAAATTGCTAGTGAACGAATTAATTAAACCATAGGAAGCTTATTGGAGGAAAATTAAATTAAATTGAGTACTATGAGAAGTAAATTGAAAGCAACCTTTAGGATTTAAAATATTAATTTTCCTTAACAATATATTAATTTTAATTTATATACATCCTGGCCTGTTTCAAGTAATTCCTTCCCTGGGATAATGTTGTTATGATTGAATTGACAACATTCTTCGCTGTCCTAGTCCTAGCTAGTTTAAACCCTGCATAGTTAATTAATCATCACAATCATAATTAATTAATCAACTGAATGATTGATGTCGCTGACAACACAAGACTGAACAGGCGGCTTTGAATATACGGCCAAAAACAAAAAGGAGAGAGGTGCGAATACTATATAAAGACGTACAATCTTTCACGTTGAAAGTGAAATTGATTCCTCAGTAGCCAATTAAACTTTATCTTATTCAAATGATTCCGCACAAAAATAACAATAAAACAATACCGACAAGAAGGTTCTTTTTCTTTTCGGCCAGAGACAAGAGGGTCCTTTCAAATATTGAATATCTCCATTATTGGAAAAGCGGATGCGGACAATAAATTGAAGAAATACAGTTATTTTCGCTATCAAGTTTGAGATGTATATTTGGGGGGGGGGGGGGGTCACACAATCACACTAGACACATATCTATACGTAAAATGAACAAATTAAGAAAATCAATAAACATATCATTGACCCTATATAAGCAGATTTAATTTATTTTCTTGCGTTGTTTATTGATGAAACCACCCTCCACATTGTGAGTCATCATTGATATCTATTGGAAAAGATATTTTAAGTGTGAACACTATATTTTATACGAATATTTTTTAAATTTAATAAAAATAATAATAAATTCAACCAAAAAATATAATTTTAATAATATAGATAAAATAAAAAAATCTTTAATTAATAGGGTTTAATTTTATTTTAACCTAGACAATATTTTGTTAGTTAGAATTTTATTTCTTTTAATTCATTAAAACAACCAAAATAATAATAATACAAAAATAAAATTTAATCCTTTTTAAGATTGTATTTTTTAAAATAATAATAATAAAATAAAGAAGATAAATAAATTTAATTGGTCTTCAGAATCAATTTTAAAAATGAAAATATTGTTTAAATAATAAAAAAAGGAGAGAGAGTAATGCGCATGCATGAAGGTTTCCCTCTGATAAACACATGCATGTTGCAAAGGAAAGAAGAGGCAGGTGCAGAAGAGCAGACTCACACACACACGAACACAGCAGACGAAACGCAGAAGAAAAGAAAAGGCAAAGAGAGAGCGAACTCACACACACACGAACACAACAGATGGGAATGCAATAGAGACCAGCTGCAGAGAGAGAGAGAGAGAGAGATGCGCATACACACGAACACATTCGGCCACACACAGAAAAAAAAAGTGAGAAGAGCAAAAGCGAGAAGAAAACGTAGAGAACAGCAGGAAAAAGCGAGAAAGGCAGAGAAAAGGGCTTCACTTGGTAGAAGACTAGCATGAACAAACGAGAGAGAAGAGGCACAGGTGTGGCTCTATCCAAGGTCACGATCAAATTTTA